GCGTCTCGGCCTCTCGTTCGTTATCATTTGTAACTGGTAGTTAGGCCTACCCCAGTTACATATATATATATATATATATATATATATATGGGGTCGTCCAAAAATGATGTAATGCATTTTGAAGATTACCCCCCCCCCCCCCATCTCCATCATCGTCCCTAAGAGGTCGTCACCTCCCCCTGAAGTGATGTCATAAACTAGTTCCCCCTCCCATCCCAACTAAATTGCAATACTTGTTATATGGCACTGCGATTTCTTTCTAAAAACTACAAATATTAATTTTAACCATTCTTCAGTAGCGTAGCGAGGGGGGGGGGGGGGGTGGGGGGGACATATGTCCCCGGGCGCCGACCTTAGGGGGCGCCAAAATGGGTTGGAAAAATAAATTGAAAGGTTGAGAGGGCTGCAAATCGAAAGTTTGAGGGGGGGGGGTGCAAATCGAAATCTCGGGAGGGGGTGCAAATCGAAATCTCGAGGGGGGGTGCAAATCGAAAAGTTTGTCCCCCGGGAAGGGTCGCTACGCCTCTGCCATTCTTATAGGCCTAATCATTTAATTACACAAATCTAACTGTAATTTTAGCTATCATGTTTATACAATTTAAAAAAAAAACTGTTTTCAAAACATTGAAGTGTGGAAAGTTCCGACGATGTAAGATGGGTTTTAAAACAACCCTTTACACCTCAAATAAAAAGTCTGGCTGAGAAAGGATGAACGCTGAGGTCAAGTCAGCAGAGGGGCGGAAGTGAAGAAAAACGTAAAGCATGGAGATAAGCAATCGCAGCTGCGACTTGGTAGGTTTACTAGTGCGGGGTTTCCCGGTCAGCGGACCATCGAAGCTTCACTGGCTTTAGGCCTTCCCAGCATCCAACAGTGAAACGTCAGGTAACGCATGCTCACTTGCCGTGTTTGAAACAAAAACAAAGTCCAGTTACGTCACAAAGAAAATCGTTGAGAATAGTCTCTTATGTAAGGGTTGAAAGGTAATAGCTTACATCAGAGGCGTAGCGAGGGGGGGGGCGGGGGTGCGGACCGCACCGGGTGACACCATTTAGGGGGGTGACCCAAGGCAAAAAATAGCTAAATATATAGAGAAAAACTTGATGGGGTGGTGCAAATCTAAAGTTTGAGGGGGGGGGGGTGCAAATCGAAAGTTTGAAAGTTTGTCCCCGGGAAGGGTCGTTACGCCTTTGGGGGGGGGGGGGGGGGGGTAACACCATTAAGTGCCGCACCGGGTGACACCCGACCTCGCTACGCTACTGTCCTACATTACCTCTACCGGGTCTAGCTCTCTACCGGTCAGAACACCGTTGCCCTTAACTATCGATGGTTAAAAAAAAAAGTAGATCTAGTTATTTTTTAAACCTGATGTTCTATGGGGCAAGTGAAGTAGAGTTCACCTGTGTTTGTGATCTCGCCATATGAAGGGATAATGTGGTCAGCACTATGCCTAGCTGTCTTTTCTTTCCCTAACGTGAATTAGATGATACCAGTCAGAGCTCGGTGGACTCAAGGACGTTCTATTGATTTAATCCCAAGACTTAATCGAGACTTTCGGGTTAGCAGTCTAGCTCTCTACCACTAGGCCACTCAAACAAATCATACGACAAAACATTAAAGAGATCAATACAAAATCCAGAATAAAAAGTAGAAATAAAATTAAAAACAGCCTTTACAAATATTCTCAGCGGTTTTTTCTTCTTTTTCTCCTTACTACCCCCTCTTGCCGCCTACCCACACACCTCCAGCGATGCCCCTCTCCCGATTACTGTGAAAAAAACATCTGCATCAGCACGTGCTGTTTGTCGACTCAGCCCGTCTCTCGTCTGCTAAAAATTGCTGGTATATCAGCTGTTCCCTAGACTAGAGATAAGTTGGGTTTTCCGTTTCTTGTTTTCATTTAACCACGGTTTGTTGTTTTATAGTCTATAAATAGCCCAACTTTCGCCGATCTTAAAAATATTTAGAAGATATTTTACATAAGTATCATCCACTTTAAAATATTAAATTCTGAATGTCGATGGCACTAATTGACATAATTGCTCCCATTCATTCGATAATGAAAGCGTTGGTTCTTTGGTCAGCAAAGTAAGACCAACCTTTATGTAGACTTAATGGGTGAGGGCCATTGCTTTAAAAAATCTGAAGAGTTAAGTAGCAATTTGCCAGATAAACTGTCACATTTGGTTGCCAATGATGAGCTGTATATTTCATTAGGTAACTTCAGTGTGTGGGATGGGGTATAAGCAAGGTTATATTAGAGTTACATACATAAGTCTAATCTTGACATAGACTTGCTCATGGGAATCTAGACATAGACTTACTGATGTGAATCTTGTCATAGACGCACATCACTGGAATCTTGCTATAAACTTACTCATGTGAATCTTGTCATAGACTTACTCATGGGAATCTTGACATAGATTTTCTCAAGTGGAACCATGCCTTAAACCTACAAACCCCGACAAAGGATCGCTGACATTATCGACAGATGCCCTGCCAGAGCGTGACAGTATCCGTTATTTGACAGCAAGCACAGTGCTGCTAATTTCAACTCCCCCAGACCCACGGGAGGTCACCGACCGAACCGGTGACATTTCACCGTCCCTTGATGCTCTCTGTTGTACTAATGGATGACATGTGGACGGTTGATTACTGTACGACAGATTTACGGGACTTTTGTTTTATACAGAGTTACGGGACTTTTATTTTCTACAGAGTTACGGGACTTTTTATTTTCTACAGAGTTACAGGACTTTTTATTTTCTACAGAGTTACGGGACTTTTTGTTTTCTACAGAGTTACGGGACTTTTTGTTTTCTAGAGAGTTACGGGACTTTTTGTTTTCTACAGAGTTACGAGACTTTTTGTTTTATACAGAGTTACGGGACTTTTTGTTTTATACAGAGTTACGGGACTTTGTTTTCTACCGAATTACGGGACTTTTGTTTTATACAGAGTTTCGGGACTAACACTGGTCTAACAGATACACGCTCCGTTCTACGTCATAGATCTGTGCACATAGCATTCATTCTGCCCAACACTTCACAGCTAGACCTAAACTCTGTCGCATCTGCCAAACACCTCACAGCTAGACCTACATTTATTGTTCTGACACAATTTTCGAACACACAAAAAAATGCTATCTACATACAAATAATTCTTTATTAAAATCCTGTATAGGATTGTTCGTGAATGTTTTAACGTTGTTTGATGTGCTTGACCTTTGTCCCCCTAAAACAACACGTTAATCCCATGTTTTAATGACGTCAGCTATGGCACTAGTAAGAATTAATTCACTCCATGTTAACAGTAGCATTTAAATGAGGGAGGGGGAGGGTAGTAAAAGGTTGACCAGTGTAGAGACCTAAGGTGTGGTGCCGGGGGGGGGGGGAGATTAAAGCGCCCAGTGGTCGGGGTTTGACGTCTCGCAAATTTTTACGATATCCCCCCCCCCCCCCCCCACTCCCTTCTCCCTACGCTGTCATCACCATAAGCCTCGATTATAGCCGTCAATAAAGTTCTTCAGAAATACGCATTTAATTATGCTAGTACATTTCTTAGCAATATTTCTTTAGCACATGGAGTGTATACCATACCCCCCCCCCCCCCCCCCACACCCGCATGGAGTTCAATATGAAGGAATAGATTAGGGGGGGGGGGAGCAATAATGGTTTTTTAAGCGTGTTTTTCTTCAATAAAACAAGTGCTGGTCTAGAGATGTAGTCCCACTCTGTGCTGGTCTAAAGATGTAGTCCCACTATGTGCTAAAGATGTAGTCCCACTATGTGCTAGAGATGTAGTCCCACTATGTGCTAAAGATGTAGTCCCACTATGTGCTAGAGATGTAGTCCCACTCTGTGCTGGTCTAAAGATGTAGTCCCACTATGTGCTAGAGATGTAGTCCCACTCTGTGCTGGTCTAAAGATGTAGTCCCACTATGTGCTAAAGATGTAGTCCCACTATGTGCTAAAGATGTAGTCCCACTATGTGCTAAAGATGTAGTCCCACTATGTGCTGGTCTAAAGATGTAGTCCCACTATGTGCTAGAGATGTAGTCCCACTATGTGCTAAAGATGTAGTCCCACTATGTGCTGGTCTAAAGATGTAGTCCCACTATGTGCTAGAGATGTAGTCCCACTATGTGCTAGAGATGTAGTCCCACTATGTGCTAGATATGTAATCCCACCACAGGTCTGACACGAAGTCTAGACTCTAGACAAAGCCACGATTGTGTTATCTGCAAGTTGCTAGCGAGGATGTGAAGATAACGTCGAGGTCACGATGGTCGTCACGTGACCTCAGATTGGGCGAGCACCACTAGTAACGGTCTGGGGGACAACAAAGAAACTTCTAGACGCTGTAAATAGCTAGACATGTTGCCGTGTGACCATGTTATGACGTATCAGTCGATTGAATGATTCAAACCAAAATTAATTTGGGGTTTAAAAAAATATTTTCTCAAAAGTAATAACTTACAAAACATGGCCAACTTGGCCTACTTTATCCCTTTCCACTCCTAGGTGTCTGACGTTATTTATGGACGACACTTCACCCCCCCCCCTTAAAAAATTGCACTTGCTGTGCATTTATGGCATATATTGACATTCAAAAAGGGCGCCCATAACACATGCCTTATCATGCACAGCTTTGCACACATGATAGGTGCCACAGGACTACAAGAAAAACCGTCGACAACAGAATACATTCATTTCTTTGTCCTTGAAATGTGTATATCTAGAGTAGTTACACACACATCTCCACACATACCTACACTCACACTCATATCTCCACGCATAGCTTCACTCACACACACATCAACACACATATCAACACTCGCCACACACACCAACACACACACACACGTGTCCACACACACCAACACCTACACATCCGTTGCAGAAAGGAGCCAGTGCACTAACGATGTTATACGATACACGAATACTTTAGCAGGTCGCGTGCTAATTAAGCCTCATTTTCTTTTGTTAATTAAACCAATTACCATTTCCGTGTAAAGCGACTAGATCTAGTTGTGATTCCACTAAATGAAATACTTTCTCCTCCAGTGTAGCAAATCCATTCAAGGCCCATAAACCATCAAGTCACGGTCTACTGCACTAACAATAAAACATTTAAGATAACAATTACTTTTCTACACCGTCGTCAGGGGCTGTAGCTCAAGTGGTAGAGCGCTCGCTTAGCATGTGAGAGGTACGGGGATCGATACCCCGCTGCTCCAATTTTTATTTTAAATTTTTAAAACTGAATAAAAATCGGACACGACCCCACCACCTCTCCCCACACACACTCTGTTATTACATAATGGAATGATAATTTTACCCTCATATTTGACCGTGGTGTATAACGATACCAATAACAAGTGAAACGTGCCCAGAACATGTTCGCCGTGAAATGTGCCCAGAACATATTCGCCGTGAAATGTGCCCAGAACATGTTCGCCGTGAAATGTGCCCAGAACATGTTCGCCGTGAAATGTGCCCAGAACATGTTCGCCGTGAAATGTGCCCAGAACATGTTCGCCGTGAAATGTGCCCAGAACATGTTCGCCGTGAAATCTGCCCAGAACATGTTCGCCGTGAAATGTGCCCAGAACATGTTCGCCGTGAAATCTGCCCAGAACATGTTCGCCGTGAAATACTATTATAACTGACAACATATCAGTCGACGCTATCAATGGTTTTTGTTTTACTTCCCGTTTTTACAAAAATCAAGTTTGTGTGTGTGTGTGTGGGGGGGGGGGGGGGGGCTGATTAGGGATGTAGCACAAGTCACAGAGAGCATTGTTCATGCGACTGTGGGAGGATTTGTAATAGTCAGTGGGGGTTGGGGGAGGGGGGGGCACTTAAAATTTCCCCAGTGAAGGAAGGGCAATGACACTGGTTACGGTTTATTTTCTATATAAGTTATATATGCTCCTATATAAGTTATTTTTTTTTCTATATGTTATTTTTTTTTCAGGGGGTGGTGGACGTGCTCCGGGGAGCCTAGCCCCCTCCCCCCTCCCCTCCCTCTTTCCTCGTAGAGTAGGGACGTCTGAAAAAAAAACTGCAAATAAATAAGCGATGAAAAACGTGGGGCGCCGTGATTTTCTTACAGTTTCTAATACTGTTGACTCTCTACAAGCTCCCTAATAAAAGTCAATAGTATTATCTAATCAATAGTAATATAACTTTTACATCTTATATTAACAATGACCGATAAAAAACTTTTACTTCGGCGCCCCACGTTTTTCATCGCTTATAGTAGAGTGATCGCTTGCATTATTGTGATGTATAGCATTTATTTTCTTTTTAGTTCAATCAGACAACGTGGGTTTTTAAAAACTTTTTAATGATAATTATTTTCTCTTCACCCATCCACAAATACATTAAAAATGTTGTGCTTCCAGTCATAAAACGGTGAACATTGTTTCGTTTAAGTTTCGGAAATTTCAACACGACTTTCGTGTAATAAAACTTGTGTAGGCCTCAGTGGCGTAGCCAGGATCGTCTCAAGGGGGGGGGGGTTCCAATTTTTACCCGGGGACAAACTTTCGATTTGCACCCCCCCCCCCTCAAACTTTCGATTTGCACCCCCCCCCCCTCAAACTTTCGATTTGCACCCCCCCCCTCAAACTTTCGATTTGCACCCCCCCCCCTCAAACTTTCGATTTGCACCCCCCCCCCCTCAAACTTTCGATTTGCACCCCCCCCCCCCTCAAACTTTCGATTTGCACCCCCCTCATACTTTTTATATATACCGAGGGGTCTATGGGGGGGTTATGACCCCCCCTAACCCCCCCCCTGCCTACGCCACTGGTAGGCCTATATCTAGAGGAGTTATACACACACATACTAACACTCATTTAAAAAAAAATAAAGATTAACAATAACAGACGTTTTAAAATCTTTATAATGTTTTTTTATGCACTTAGATAAGAAAATAAAACAAACGTCATTTTTAATAAAAGCGCTAAAACGTCTAGGGGGTTTTACGAGAGGTGAATACTTGTATTGAAGAAAGCAAGTTTGTTTTATTTTTTCTTTAGCGCACTGAGAAGCTTTAAAATTTTAATCTAAACTTGTTTTACGATCAAACTCTCAAGACCTTGATGTTTGCTAGGTTGTTTACAAATACTAATGTCGATTTTTTAAATAATTAATTGGATTATCTAAACTCTAATGAGATAATCGGTTTATCCTTACAAGTGGGACAAAAGTAGTGGGAATTTCCGAACATGGAATTGTGGGGAAATTAGGAAGGACTGTATTCAGGTATGAAAAAAATCGATAGTTGGGAAAACCTGGTATTCAGGTTTTTTTTATTTCTGGGAAATGAAAAATTCACGGTAAAAATAAATCAAATGTAATAGAAGGCAAGTGAACAAGGATCGGCGGAGGAAATTTTTTTTTACACCATTCTCAGTTACCAAACAATATCTTATTGTCACACTGCAGAACATTCAGGTGAGTTTTGTTTATTTATTCTCATCACAGAATTACGTGAGCAGTTCTGTTTACACTTTGCTGATTTTGGGAGTTTTTGTTTATAAAGAAGTCAATGATTTAATGCAACATTTTTCTAATATTCTTGTTGACATTTTTTCTGCGTTTTTCCCTCTATAACATAGCGTTTGTCATGTCATCGGTCAGTATGTCAGCTATTATTTTGTCAGTGTCATTTAGCTTTAAAGTTTATGTCAGCACCTGTCATGTCAGTCTCTCAGAATATGGCATATCACTTGTCAGTCCGCCACACCTCTAAGACTTATGAAAACATAACATTAGCTTTGTGATACAATTTTATTATAAGCGTTTAATTAACTCGTTTCATTCTGTTCGTACAGCGTTCCACTTGTGTGTTAGGTGATTTGCATTGATGAATTAGATTACATTCACACAACCCCATACACGTTTACATATACGGCCACACAATCTCACATCTTTTTCTACACAAATAGCCACACACCCTCACACATTTTCCTACACAAATAGCCACACATCCTCACACATCTGCGTGACATACATAGTTGTGCATCTTATAACATCACTTCCGGTTGGCGGAAATCAGACCAACCAAACGGAAGTGTGACTCCATAGCGCGCATATCCCCCGAGTCTACTCTGGAGTCAGGTTGAGTTTATGACATCTGGAGTCAGGTTGAGTTTGTGACATCTGGAGTCAGGTTGAGTTTGTGACATCTAAGGTACAACATCGCACGTGACACAAATGTCGGTAGTTGCTCAACTCATGAGCTTTTGTTGACATGACCATTTGTTGACATGACCATTTGTTGACATGAACATTTGTTGACATGACCATTTGTTGACATGACCATTTGTTGACATGTTCTAACCGACATTTTAAACGTTCCTCGATGTAGATAGCTTACAGTTCTCGTGTGTTCATTAAAACCACTAAAATAATTGTTCCACACCTCTTTCTCTAGTTGACACAATCTGTGATTTACAATCGGGGATTTTTTTAACCTCGCCTCTAGCCCGTTTAGGTAGATCCTAGTGCCGTACTAGCCTCTAGCACGTTTAGGTAGATCCTAGTGCCGTACTAGCCTCTAGCACGTTTAGGTAGATCCTAGTGCCGTACTAGCCTCTAGCACGTTTAGGTAGATCCTAGTGCCGTACTAGCCTCTAGCCCGTTTAGGTAGATCCTAGTGCCGTACTAGCCTCTAGCCCGTTTAGGTAGATCCTAGTGCCGTACTCGAGAGTGAGTTGATCGCCCCTTGCTTTAGAGAATGGAACACCTGGAAATAGTTGTCTGCCCAATTGGTATTTTCAACTGAGTAGTCCTCTCAGTTATTTGCCCTTGGTATCATAAGCTGAGTTATCTGCCCTTGAGATCTTGGAACTGGCACATGTCAGGATAGGGATGGATCTTGTTGGTGAGAGGAGATAACTCTTGTTGGTGAGACGATGGATAACTCTTGTTGGTGAGACGATGGATAACTCTTGTTGGTGAGACGATGGATAACTCTTGTTGGTGAGACGATGGAGACGATGGATAACTCTTGTTGGTGAGACGATGGATAACTCTTGTTGGTGAGACGATGGATAACTCTTGTTGGTGAGAGGAGATAACTCTTGTTGGTGAGACGAGATAAATCTTGTTGGTGAGACGAGATAACTCTTGTTGGTGAGACGATAACTCTTGTTGGTGAGACGAGATAACTCTTGTTGGTGAGACGATAACTCTTGTTGGTGAGACGATAACTCTTGTTGGTGAGACGATAACTCTTGTTGGTGAGACGAGATAACTCTTGTTGGTGAGACGAGATAACTCTTGCTGGTGAGACGATAACTCTTGTTGGTGAGACGATAACTCTTGTTGGTGAGACGATAACTCTTGTTGGTGAGACGAGATAACTCTTGCTGGTGAGACGATAACTCTTGTTGGTGAGACGATAACTCTTGTTGGTGAGACGATAACTCTTGTTGGTGAGACGATAACTCTTGTTGGTGAGACGATAACTCTTGTTGGTGAGACGATAACTCTTGTTGGTGAGACGAGATAAATCTTGTTGGTGAGACGAGATAACTCTTATTGGTGAGACGATGGATAACTCTTGATGGTGAGACGAGATAACTCTTGCTACTCTCAATACTCTCGTTTGAAAAAAAGGTCATATTTTGTGACTATTAGAAATCGCACTAATTAAAATACAATTGTGTATCATTTAATTTTCTTTTAATTTGATTATTTAACTTATATTAGACAAAAAAAGCAAGTACTTTAACTTTAAGAAAGTCGTACCCTAAGGGAGAATGGCAAAACCCAGCGATGTGGGCGATTTGGGCCAGGAAGATTGAGCTATTTAACGGAAATGAAATATTTCGATGAAACGATAAATACTAAGCTATTTTACTTTATAATGACCAGACTCACTCATACAAAATATAATCCTCGTCTACCCCCCCCCCCCATACACACACATACACACACACACACATACACACTTTCAACATCCGCCCGTGATAACAACACGACAAACGCCGTGGAAACAGTATCGATACTTATATTAGCGCCACGCGATACACGCAACAGGCAAAAATAGCTCTTGTCTTTTTGTGTACATCAACGCACGGTGTGTCAGGTCGCGTGCTAGCGGTGTTGTTCGCAGGTGTGTCCTGGCTGTTAGCGTGCCGTGACGGCTGTGTTGTGTGTGCCAGTTTGTCGGTTCTCTCCCTTTAAAAACATTGGTGCATTCACTCTTTACTCTTGGATATAGAATCTAGATATAGATTTCCATGTTGTTCGTGTAATAGTGGTAAATTTGAACCTTTTAATTAAAAGCCTACAATATTTTTTTAAAAGTAGGCTACATAAAACTACACCAACAGAAATAGTATTTAGTATTTAGATCTAAATCTAGATCTAGTCATACTAAAATACTAGATCTAGGCCTAAATTAAATATTAAGTTATAGAAAATCTAGTATAGGCCTAAGCCTAATTTTAATTTTTTATTTGAATTCATTTCTCAGATTCCTGTCAGTGAACTGCTACCGACAAAGTACCGTGACATAGTGAATTGCCACTAAAAATGTTAGATAGATCTAGATCTAGATCTAGATCTAGTCTATATTTTCTTTAGGGCCTACTTATTGGACTCTGACTAACCAGTCAAGTTCAAATATTAAGCGCCCAGTAGGCCTGTTATAGTTATACAACAGACGTAGGCCTACTTCATTATACCTTGTGGATTATGTATGTTGCCCTAAAGATAACCTGGGTGAAGTGAACACAACTCTTTTAAAAAGTAAGTTGATTATTTTTAAATTTAAAAAATCCTGCATGATAATATTGTCTTCTTTCTAGATCTAGATATTCAGATTTGGTTCGCATAGATCTGGCCAAACCATATGCAACAATGTAAATAATATAAACTGTTACGTCGTGTGTGATCGAGAGATCATTGAGGCAATTTACACGTGACTTCTAGCCTAAACTTGCTTCAACTTTAAAGTTACTAACATAAGGCTACACATGCAGGCTACATACATGACACACGTGTTTTAACACAAAAACTTTAAAGTTACTAACATAAGGCTACACACGCAGGCTACATGACACACGTGTTTTAACACAAAAACTTTAAAGTTACTAACATAAGTAAGACCACTCACGGAGGCTACAACTTTAACCTGCGTGAACAAACATTTTCAAGTATAAAATACGTGAAGAACAATTTGAGAGAAAACTTGGACCTCGAGTGTGTTGGCAGGCCCCGACAGTGTTTCTTTCAGACTTTTTTCTCCGGGAGGGGGGGGGTCTTTATATATATATATATATATATATATATATATATATATATATATATATATATATATATATATATATATATATATATATATATATTTATATATATTATATATATAAATTATATTTACGTTGTGGGGGAGGGGGGGGGGGAGGGGCTCAGCCACCCCGAAGAAATGCCTGGAAGAAACTCTGGCCCCCATACTGATAATGATATTTGAAAAGTTTGGAGACCCCTGGTTTAACGTATCCATGTCAGTAAGTAATGAGTACGTCACATAATGTGCTTCATGTGATGTAAGAATATACCTAGACCTATCCTGCTTCTTGTGATGTAAGAATATACCTAGACCTATCCTGCTTCTTGTGATGTAAGAATATACCTAGACCTATCCTGGAATCAACCTAGACCTAGAAACAGATGTAAAAATAGACCTAAACTTATTCTTCTCACGGTGATGATGTACACAGTACTTTGTGTTACTAACATGTGCGTGGGTGTGAGTGTCTGTGTGGAGGCTAGTCAGTGTGTGTGAGTTTAGGGAGATCCATCAACAATGCGACGGGAAATTTGATTTAGGGCCGACGTACGAGGATGATAAAGGGACGTACAGCGTTGGTAGTGGGACGTACAGCGTTGGTAGTGGGACGTACAGAGTTGGTAGTGGGACGTACACCGTTGGTAGTGGGACGTACACCGTTGGTAGTGGGACGTACAGCGTTGGTAGTGGGACGTACAGCGTTGGTAGTGGGACGTACAGAGTTGGTAGTGGGACGTACACCGTTGGTAGTGGGACGTACAGCGTTGGTAGTGGGACGTACAGAGTTGGTAGTGGGACGTACACCGTTGGTAGTGGGACGTACAGAGTTGGTTGTGGGACGTACAGCGTTGGTAGTGGGACGTACACCGTTGGTAGTGGGACGTACAGAGTTGGTAGTGGGACGTACAGCGTTGGTAGTGGGACGTACACCGTTGGTAGTGGGACGTACACCGTTGGTAGTGGGACGTACAGCGTTGGTAGTGGGACGTACACCGTTGGTAGTGGGACGTACAGAGTTGGTAGTGGGACGTACAGAGTTGGTAGTGGGACGTACACCGTTGGTAGTGGGACGTACACCGTTGGTAGTGGGACGTACAGCGTTGGTAGTGGGACGTACAGAGTTGGTAGTGGGACGTACAGCGTTGGTAGTGGGACGTACAGAGTTGGTAGTGGGACGTACACCGTTGGTAGTGGGACGTACACCGTTGGTAGTGGGACGTACAGCGTTGGTAGTGGGACGTACAGAGTTGGTAGTGGGACGTACACCGTTGGTAGTGGGACGTACACCGTTGGTAGTGGGACGTACAGCGTTGGTAGTGGGACGTACAGAGTTGGTAGTGGGACGTACACCGTTGGTAGTGGGACGTACAGAGTTGGTTGTGGGACGTACAGCGTTGGTAGTGGGACGTACACCGTTGGTAGTGGGACGTACAGAGTTGGTAGTGGGACGTACAGCGTTGGTAGTGGGACGTACACCGTTGGTAGTGGGACGTACACCGTTGGTAGTGGGACGTACAGCGTTGGTAGTGGGACGTACACCGTTGGTAGTGGGACGTACACCGTTGGTAGTGGGACGTACAGAGTTGGTAGTGGGACGTACACCGTTGGTAGTGGGACGTACACCGTTGGTAGTGGGACGTACAGCGTTGGTAGTGGGACGTACAGAGTTGGTAGTGGGACGTACACCGTTGGTAGTGGGACGTACACCGTTGGTAGTGGGACGTACACCGTTGGTAGTGGGACGTAGAGAGTTGGTAGTGGGACGTACAGCGTTGGTAGTGGGACGTACACCGTTGGTAGTGGGACGTACAACGTTGGTAGTGGGACGTAGAGAGTTGGTAGTGGGACGTACAGCGTTGGTAGTGGGACGTACAACGTTGGTAGTGGGACGTACACCATTGGTAGTGGGACGTACAACGTTGGTAGTGGGACGTACAGAGTTGGTAGTGGGACGTACAGCGTTGGTAGTGGGACGTACAGCGTTGGTAGTGGGACGTAGTGAGACGTAAAGCGTTGGTATGGGACGTACAACGCTGGTAGTGGGACGTACAGCGTTGGTAGTGGGACGTACAGCGTTGGTACATAGACGATTGTGTGACGTACATAGACGATAGTGGGACGTCAATACTAGAAGTTTGTGTGATTTTGTATTTGACATTTTTGGGACGTGAACAAAGATTGGTATAATCAGTTCACATGACATTTGTGTGATCTGGTAACATGACATTTGTGTGATCTGGTAACATGACATTTGTTTGATCTGGTAACATGACATTTGTGTCATCTGGTAACATGACATTTGATCAGTTCACATGACATTTGTGTGATCTGGTAACATGACATTTGTGTGATCAGTTCACATGACATTTGTTTGATCTGGTAACATGACATTTGATCAGTTCATATGACATTTGTGTCATCTGGTAACATGACATTTGTGTACCATGCCATATGTGTACCATGACATTTGTGTGACTGATGTACACACGCACCCACACGACATAGAAGACAACTCGTGGAACTAGCATGACACAGCGCCTACTTGAAGCTTACACAACTTCAAATATACTTTGACTACAACTTGAGGAGTAGTTACTTTAACTGTAGGTCAAAGGTCAGTAAGGATGGATCCGCTACTGTCAACTTAAGCAGGCACTTCATGGGCTCAAGAATTTCTTTTGTTTCCTGTTAACAAGTCATTTAAAGTATTGAAAGAGTCTTTGAAATGTATTCATTTCAAACATTCGATAGTAAAATACAAGCTTTTTTATTCCAGATAGTCAAATGTGCTAGTTTATCGCAGAGCAGTACGGAAACTTTGTTTTAATTAACCGAAATACCTACGGAACTACCGACCACATCATGTAACATCATAGGGAACTATCAGACACATGTAACATCATAGGGAACTATCAGACACATGTAACATCATAGGGAACTATCAGACACATGTAACATCATAGGGAACTATCAGACACATGCAACATCATAGGGAACTATCAGACACATGTAACATCATAGGGAACTATCAGACACATGTAACATCATAGGGAACTATCAGACACAACATGTAACATCATAGGGAACTATCAGTATCAGACACATGTAACATCATAGGGAACTATCAGACACATGTAACATCATAGGGAACTATCAGACACATGTAACATCATAGGGAACTATCAGACACATGTAACATCATAGGGAACTATCAGACACATCATGTAACATCATAGGGAACTATCAGACACATCATGTAACATCATAGGGAACTATCAGACACATATAACATCATAGGGAACTATCTGACACAACATGTAACATCATAGGGAACTATCAGACACATCATGTAACATCGTAGGGAACTATCAGACACATATAACATCATAGGGAACTATCAGACACATCATGTAACATCATAGGGAACTATCAGACACATGTAACATCGTAGGGAACTATCAGACACAACATGTAACATCATAGGGAACTATCAGACACATCATGTAACATCGTAGGGAACTATCAGACACATCATGTAACATCATAGGGAACTATCAGACACATCATGTAACATCGTAGGGAACTATCAGACACATCATGTAACATCGTAGGGAACTATCAGTATCAGACACATGTAACATCATAGGGAACCGCACATTTATGAATTGTATATAAATGTAATGTGAACATGCTTGCCTAAAGTATATATGGTAATGTTGACATACTTGCATACCCTCCCCCCCCCCCCCCCATAAAGTTGTCCTCGCCCCATAAAGTTGACCTAAAGAAAACTGTTGCTTAATGATTGAGCTGAGATTTGGGGCGGTTATTAAAAATGTCTTTAGAAATTCTCCTCCTCCTCCCCCCTCCCCCGAGGCCCAAGTGTGAGAATGCTCGTCAGATGTTTCAATCAATGAAGAATTCCCAATCCGTTCAAATGGGAAAATGGATTTGAATAATTCTGTTACAAGTAGGGGACATGATTATCTGGCAACTTTCTTGAGACGGTCATCTTCAAGTGGTGGTAGGAAATATTTAAGCCAGCATCAAGTTTCACGTTCTTGGGATAGAGAAATTCACTCAACTTTTCATCTGCCCAAAGTTTTTACTTTAAAGCTTCTTTCAGGAAACACAACTCGTAAATAGCTGATTTCCTGACACGGCTTTTTTTAACGTTTGAACCATGACTTGCCTACCGTGACCTTGAAGTAAAAATGTGAGTGACGATTAAAAGAATGTTCTAGGTTGTTCACATTTAGTCCCGAGGAGGGGGAGGATGATGGTTGGCATGTACTAAATAATATGTAAAGGTGTGAGGGGAAAGGTCAGGGGTTAAGTCTTGTTTACGGTATGCCCCAATTAAAATATACACGGTGACTAGTTTCACGTGAGTGACGCCTACACGATTAAAGGTTGGGGTTGGGGAAGTTTAGGGTCTCCGGGAAACAGCCAGTGAGTTCATGTGGGGTCTACCTATAGACAACATGAGAACCTCTCCCCGCAGAAGACCGAGTCAAGCTCGCCAAGTGACTAAAGTGATTGTTTTACATGGTACACAGATCTGGGTGTCTGTAAAGAGGCATGTATATATACACACACCAGAGGCGTAGCGAGGGGGGGGGGCGGGGGGCGGACCGCACCGGGTGACACCATTTAGGGGGGTGACACCAAGGCAAAAAATAGTAAAATATATAGAGAAAAATTTGAGGGGGGAAGGGTGCAAATCGAAAACTGAAAGTTTGTCCCCGGGAAGAGTCTCTACGCCTCTGGGGGGGGGGGGGGGGTGACACCATTAAGTGCCGCACCGGGTGACACCCGACCTCGCTACAAAACTGACACACACACACACACACATTATATATATATATATATATATATATATATATATATATATATATATATATATGATAGATAGATAGATAGATAGATAGATAGATAGATAGATAGATAGATAGATAGATAGATAGATAGATAGATAGATAGATAGATAGATAGATAGATAGATAGATAGATAGATAGATAGATAGATAGATAGATAGATAGATATATATATATATATATATATATATATATATATATATATATATATATAGATATATATAGATATATATAGATATATATAGATATGCCGACACACATACAAATATATGGTGTACAGACGTCCTATAAAAGGATTCTCGTGAGATGACGTAAGTTGATCAGCAGTGGGAAACTCCGATTGTGTAGTTCTATTTTTACCTTCATCAGACTGGCCTCTCCGTGTGTCAGGTGTCCACCTCTTGTTTATATGTACGTGAATTAATAGCTTTCAAGTAATAAAACGATAAAAACTTGCAACATACGGCCAATTTTTTTAACCGTTTCTTCCTGCTGATAACAGATATTTTAAACCTGTAATCTAGGCTCTGCCAGTGTGTAGATAAATGTGTAGGGTTTTTTAGCTTCGCTGACTAAGGTATGTTTACTAGATTCTTAGTGGTGTCTCAGACACTCCTAAGTTTTTAACACGTTTTTCTTAACTCAGCTTCGCGTTTGTGGATTTGTTTGTTTGTTGTTAAAATTGACATCGAAAATTAGCCCACTTCTGATTGCTCTACAGTTCTGAAATTTGGCATGCAGGCTACTTTCGCCTAACAATTTCAGATGCAATCAAAAAAACTAGCAATTAGAGACCGTAATTAGCTTAATTTAATTACGCCCCAAGGACCATAAAATTGAGGACATGATTTCTAAAGATACCGACAAGACTAGAGGCCTATTGACACAGTTACTTCGGCCCCAATCGATGTGAGCGCGCTGGCCGTGATCGTATAGTGGTTAGTACTTCGCGTTGTGGCCGCGACAACCCAGGTTCGAATCCTGGTCGCTCAAGATTTTTAGTCCGTGTATTTATAAACACTTAGTCAAGTCATACTTAATCAAGTCATTAGATAAAGTAGAAAATAAACTATATAAAAAACTTTTTTTAAAAACCACGTTTTTCATGTGTAGCAACGGACTAAAAAGGAGAAAATAAAATACTTAAAAAAAACTTTTTTAAAAACCACGTTTTTCTTGTGGACTAAAAAGTAGAAAATAACTATTTACATACATTTGATGACAAAAAACGTGGGTCGGGCAGATGGGTCGGGAAATTTGATGGTGAACGTACCCACGTTTTTTGTCATCAAATGTATGTAAATAGTTATTTTCTACTTTTTAGTCCACAAGAAAAACGTGGTTTTTAAAAAAGTTTTTTTTTAAGTATTTTATTTCTCACTGGGTTTTGTAGACTAGATTCTAAGAGGCGTCACATTAATTCTCACATTTATCATAGGCGTTTGTGTTACCTCTTATCTTATGGGAACAATCACTGCGTGTCTGACATGTTTTTGGGTAAACTCAATCATACATTTCATTGTTATTTTCTTCACAAGGATGCCTTATAGATGCCCCCCCCCCCACACCCCCTTCTCCACTACAGGAACCCAAGCATAGTACATAATTGGTTTATGCTGGTCAGTTTTCTTGTGCTGGTCAGTTTTCTTGTGCTGGTCAGTTTTCTTATGCTGGTCAGTTTTCTTGTGCTGGTCAGTTTTCTTGTGCTGGTCAGTTTTCTTGTGCTGGTCAGTTTTCTTGTGCTGGTCAGTTTTCTTGTGCTGGTCAGTTTTCTTGTGCTGGTCAGTTTTCTTGTGCTGGTCAGTTTTCTTGTGCTGGTCAGTTTTCTTGTGCTGGTCAGTTTTCTTGTGCTGGTCAGTTTTCTTGTGCTGGTCAGTTTTCTTGTGCTGGTCAGTTTTCTTGTGCTGGTCAGTTTTCTTGTGCTGGTCAGTTTTCTTGTGCTGGTCAGTTTTGTCATCTGGTCGATGGTGTCATCTAGTCGATGATGTCATCTGGTTAATGGTGTCATCTGGTCGATGGTGTCATCTGGTCGATGGTGTCATCTAGTCGATGGTGTCATCTGGTCGATGGTGTCATCTAGTCGATGGTGTCACCCATGGGTTTTTGTAAAAACACCCAGACCCCCGGGACGACATAGAATAAAGTTTTTGTTAAGGAAACTAGCCTACCAGTTTCGCGCGTTACTGCGGTCTAAGAAGAAAGGCTGACGCATTATTTTACGAGGATTGTATGAAAACCTTTAGCTTACGTTAATCACCCTCTGTAATAGTGAGTTAGATGATACTTCGGCGACCTCCTAGGTGTGAGGGGGTTCTAGGGATCTTGGGACAACCGGTACACTACCTAAAGCAAATCTTTCAGGCACCATAGCCTTAAACTTAAGGCAAACCTTTCAGGCACCATAGCTTAAATCTAAAGCAAACCTTTCAGGCACCATAGCCTTAAACTTAAGGCAAATCTTTCAGGCACCATAGCCTTAAACTTAAGGCAAACCTTTCAGGCACCATAGCCTTAAACCTAAAGCAAACCTTTCAGGCACCATAGCGTTAAACTTAAGGCAAGCGTGACGTAACGTTATGAGCGCCTAGCATCGAATGTAAAGAAAACTTGGAGCAACTGCCAATCTTCTCGTGTAGTACCTGACACAGGTGTAGTGCCGTGTTCCCGTGGGACTGGGGCTATTTTAGTCTCACCCCCAGGGGTGCTGCTCAATTTGCTGTAGATAAAGATCTGTGGTAGTCTGCAATGATCCTGCTGTGTACGTGTTTTATCAGTGTGGGCCTGTGGTAACGCTAGGCCTTACATCTACAACTTTAGCCTAACGTTCATGCTATGCCTTACAATTACAACGTGAGCCTAACTGCCCATGCTAGGCCTTACATCTACAACGTGAGCCTAACTGCCCATGCTAGGCCTTACATCTACAACGTGAGCCTAACGTTCATGCTAGGCCTTACATCTACAACGTGAGCCTAACGTTCATGCTAGGCCTTACATCTACATAGACCCTAGTACACTAGCCATACAATTCTGATATTGCCTCTAAGGAAGTGAAGTAATTTTTCAGGTTTTTTTTCCTGTACTGAGGTTTTGCCTTGGATAAGGTATAACCTTTTGATGTTACACACCGCTGCCCATCCCTTTAATGATGTTCTCAGGTGCAAACATCCCTCCCTCTGACGTCACTGTACTCACCATCTCATCAAACTAGCTCGCATCGTTGGTCTTGCCCTTAATTAATTTGTTTATAAATTGACCTTGGTCGCTGGGACCTTCCTAGTGGCTTCCCCTCTCAGTGATCCCAGTGACCTTTAAACTAGTGACCTTTGGTTTTAAACTGATGACCTTGGGTTTAAAAGGATGATCTTTAGTTTTGTTTGTGTTTTAAAATCTGTTGACCTTGGGGTTTAAACTGGTGACCTTGTGTAAAATAAATTTGTGTAAAATAAATGAGTAAACTTGTCTAAAACAGTTTTCAATGACTCCAGTTTTCAATGACTCCAGTTTTCAATGACTTCTGCCATTCAGTTAGTGCTGTTCTCATCTTGAGTAGAAAAAAAAAGCATCGCAGTGGTGGGGGTTGGGGGGGGGGGGTGGTAGAGATGGCTGGGTGGGGGTGGGAGAGAGGGCTGGGTGGGAGTGGGGTTGCAAGAGAGAGCAGTGTTGAATGAAAGTAAATGAATGGTCTGTGCAGTGTCAAGTGATTGACTATAAATCCCCCTCAAGTATTTCTCACAGTTTTACTTTTTAATTTAAAAAGTTAAAAAAAAAACCCACGTTTTCTGATTGAATTAAAAAGTATAAAATAAATGCTATACATCACAATAATGCAAGCGATCACTCTACTATAAGCGATGAAAAACGTGGGGCGCCGAAGTAAAAGTTTTTTATCGGTCATTGTTAATATAAGATGTAAAAGTTATATTACTATTGATTAGATAATACTATTGATTTATATTAGGGAGCTTGTAGAGAGTCAACAGTATTAGAAACTGTAAGAAAATCACGGCGCCCCACGTTTTTCATCGCTTATAGTAGAGTGATCGCTTGCATTATTGTGATGTATAGCATTTATTTTATACTTTTTAGTTCAATCAGAAAACGTGGGGGTTTTTTAAAAACTTTTTAATGATAATTATTTTCTACATTTTAGTCTTTGTCTGTTTGTTTGCATTCAAATCTTGCTATCGATTTGATCTTCTCGCATTCACTTTTTTTTTTGGGTAAACGAAGACAACTCGTAAAAAACACGTGCCTTTTCCAATCGACGTTTCTTCTGTTAGATTTGCATAGGTTTGTACACAAACACCGCGTGACCACTACTTAGTAAGCCTGAAGAGGGAAAGTACCGATCCTTGTTTTCATCAAATTACAATTACTGGATTATATCCCTTTTTCCCACGTTTTTTGTACAAATATATAGGGGTCTAAAATGATCAATAAAATGTTTCCATGGATCAATTTAGTAATAATAACAATTGAATATTCTATTGTCATCGGAAACAAAGCTTCCCTGAAAATTTCAGCGCGCTAGCTAACTGGGAAGTGCCCGAAATTTTGATCGAAAGATTTGATTGGAGAACCAAACAAACAAACAGACGCGAAAGCAAGTTAAAGAAAACGTGGGAAAAACATCTAACACCGTTATGCACAGAGGTGTAGCGAAGGGTGGGCGGGTGGGTACATATGTCCCCGGGGGTGCCAAAATGGGTTTGAAAAAAAATCAAAAGCTCTTTTTAGCTGCAGTTTTGAATTATAAACATAAAAAATATATGGGGGGGGGGGGGCAAATTGAAAATTTGTCCCCGGGTGTCTGGGAGAGGTCACTACGCCTCTGGTTATGCATGTTATTTAAATCATTATTATGGCAAAAAGAATTTTTTTTGTATTTTCCTTTATTGTAATGCATCTCAACATTTAGTCTTAGTACACTCTGTTGGTATTTTATGATAGTTTTTATACTTTGTGTGTATTATCAACTAGATTTTTAATAAATGTACATGATATAGATTTAATAAATGTACTTGATATAGATTTAATAAATGTCTATGATATAGATTTAATAAATGTACATGATATAGATTTAATAAATGTCTATGATATAGATTTAATAAATGTACATGATAGATTTAATAAATGTCTATGATATAGATTTAAAAAGTGTACATGATATAGATTTAAAAAGTGTACATGATATAGATTTAAAAAGTGTACATGATATAGATTTAGGCCATAGGATGGAAATGTGAGCTGGATATCATTATCCTACTAATGTCTGTTTACTAAGATGTTTCCATGTGTTTGATCTAGGGTTGTCTTAGAAGTCTGCCTGCCATGGAGAGAGAGTGGAGGATACTTTGTGTAGTGGCTCTCATCAGCTGGACACACTGGTCACTTGCTAGTACAGGTCAGTGTTAGTTTGACCCTCTGGTCACTTGCTAGTACAGGTCAGTGTTAGTTTGACCCTCTGGTCACTTGCTAGTACAGGTTAGTGTTAGTTTGACCCTCTGGTCACTTGCTAGTACAGTAAATTTTGATCTGTTTAAATCTAAAGATAAACATTACCTTTGTTAATGTTGGCCAACTGAGAATAAAGTCTTTTAAAATATATTATTCATCTATCTGACCTGCACAACATCACTGAAAGCTAGCTGTTGGGTTCTAGAATCTAGGGGTAGGCCTATATAAATAACAACAGAAAAATACGACGTATACAACAATAACACTAACACCCTATAATAACAATAATAATAAGATATTTAATAAAATATACAGTACTTAAATAATAAAAGGATCAAAAGGGGTCTACAACATAAATACAATACTCAACACCACGTTCCATGTTCCACGTCCACAGCCACACTACAACTACAACTAACTGCTTCACACACTAGCACACGCTTTGACACCCGTCACCTGACACACCCCACGTGAACACCTCTCGCTCCATGTAAACACACTCAACCAAGGGATACAACTATACACCAAAGGGAGGGTACCTGTCGTTCCAGCACACAACACACACACACACACAAGCAGGGGACATGTAAGGGACGTAACACTAGCTAGTTGTATTAACTAGACCAAGCAGATTTTCTCAACAAAGTAAACAATCTTATTTTGTTTTTGTGTCACCCCTGTTGGTGGTGTCACCCCTTATGGTGGTGTCACCCCTTTAGGTGGTGTCACCCATGTCACCCCTTTAGGTGGTGTCACCCGTGTCACCCCTTTAGGTGGTGTCACCCTTTAGGTGGTGTAACCCGTGTCACCCCTTTAGGTGGTGTCACCCATGTCACCCCTTTAGGTGGTGTCACCCTTTAGGTGGTGTAACCCGTGTCACCCCTTTAGGTGGTGTCACCCATGTCACCCCTTTAAGTGGTGTCACCCATGTCACCCCTTTAGGTGGTGTCACCCTTTAGGTGGTGTAACCCGTGTCACCCCTTTAGGTGGTGTCACCCATGTCACCCCTTTAGGTGGTGTCACCCGTGTCACCCCTTTAGGTGGTGTCACCCTTTAGGTGGTGTAACCCGTGTCACCCCTTTAGGTGGTGTCACCCATGTCACCCCTTTAGGTGGTGTCACCCATGTCACCCCTTTAGGTGGTGTCACCCTTTAGGTGGTGTAACCCGTGTCACCCCTTTAGGTGGTGTCACCCATGTCACCCCTTTAGGTGGTGTCACCCTTTAGGTGGTGTCACCCATGTCACCCCTTTAGGTGGTGTCACCCTTTAGGTGGTGTAACCCGTGTCACCCCTTTAGGTGGTGTCACCCATGTCACCCCTTTAGGTGGTGTCACCCATGTCACCCCTTTAGGTGGTGTCACCCTTTAGGTGGTGTCACCCGTGTCACCCCTTTAGGTGGTGTCACCCGTGTCACCCCTTTAAGTGGTGTCACCCCTTTTGATGGTGTCACCCGTGTCACCCCTTTAAGTGGTGTCACCCCTTTTGATGGTGTCACCCGTGTCACCACTTTAGGTGGTGTCACCCCTTTAGGTGGTGTCACCCCTTTATGTGGTATCACCCTTTAGGTGGTGTCACCTGTGTCACCCCTTTAGGTGGTGTCACCTGTGTCACCCCTTTAGGTGGTGTCACCCCTTTAGGTGGTGTCACCCCTTTAGGTGGTGTCACCCCTTTAGGTGGTGTCACCCCTTTAGGTGGTGTCACCCCTTAAGGTGGTGTCACCTGTGTCACCCCTTTAGGTGGTGTCACCCCTTTAGGTGGTGTCACCTGTGTCACCCCTTTTGGTGATGTCACCCGTGTCACCCCTTTTGGTGGTGTCACCTGTGTCACCCCTTTAGGTGGTGTCACCAGTGTCACCCCTTTAGGTGGTGTCACCCCTTTAGGTGGTGTCACCCGTGTCACCCCTTTAGGTGGTGTCACCCCTTTAGGTGGTGTCACCCGTGTCACCCCTTTAGGTGGTGTCACCTCCTACCCCTATGTGACCCAGCATAGTGTAGTCAACAACATGCCCAGTTGCCTTTACTTTCCCTAATGTGAGTCAGGTACCTTTCAGAGCAGGGTGGACGTATGCTTGCTCGTTACCATTGCTTGTTACCATTGCTCATTACCATTGCTCGTTACCATTGCTTGTTACCATTGCTCGTTACCATTACTTGTTACCATCAGGCTCTGCGACCACATAATAATGTTATAAAAGGAAAACTTCTGATAAAAATAAAAAAAATGAAACAAATTTGAATTTATGTTGAGCATATTTTGGTTGCAAACTCTAAATTATTTTCTACACATTTTTAAAGATTTTATACACTAAAGAGAACCATTTGAGTTGGTACCTTTTTTTATAAAAGTTAAAAATAAAGTATTACATTTGGCCTTTAAGGATCTCTACTACCTTATGTTAGTGCACTGTAGTGCTGGCTAAAGGACAGGGAATCTGTCTGCTTCACTGATGGAATGTTAGAATACAGTCTTCTTAATGCAAGGCATATATCTTGATATTTGTGCACAAAAATATTCATTGGTTCAAGTTAATTTTTTTTAAACAAATTTTTTTTTTAGAATCTTTGCTGGATGCCCCATGTAATCAGACATTTACAAGTTATAATGGAAAATTTTATGGATGCCTGACAGATAACCAGGAATATTTCACCCCGACATACAAACTTCTGGAATTGTGTGGAAATCTAGAAGACATTTTTGTGATAAGTGATATAAACATTTATTCTTTACGACCCTCCAGTGAACAGCTGCACAAATCTTGTCTAGAAAAACCAACATATCTTACCCATGTCCAGTACAACTCTTCTTGTTTGATGGGGACAAAAGGTCAAGCTTTTAAAGACTTTATCTACCCATATTTTACCAGATTTAGTGGTAAAATTCTAAAAAATTTGAAATTAGAAACTAAGATGAGTGTGCCTAAAGAGTTAAAGCACAACGACACATATATTGACATCGTCGGGTCTTGTATTCCAGGTAAGTTGTGCATTTCAATCTGATTTGTATTTAAATACATAGCCTTATTATTGAAAAATAGCTGATTGTGGTAGTCATTAAGTTGGCTGTCCCCTGAGGTTCAATATTTCTTACATAGATACTAGCAAACCCTTCCCACGCAATGCTGATTTCACAGAAGAAAGGCTGACACAATATTTTAAGGGGATTTTATCAATGTGTTACCATCTTGTAGATATCCAGACGCCACAGGGCGGACTGTATTTAAGCCTTGAGTGTATGTTAATTATTCATGAATTAGAACACACCTTGGCAACAGCCCAGGTGGTGTCACAGGCATCACAGGGTGCTCTTGGGAGCCACAGGTTACATAACCACAGTCTGATTTAATCACTGCATGTTATGTGCCATTGTGTCCCTATTGTAAGGTGCTATTTTAAATTGATGTAGGTGGTGTAGTGCTCGCAGGTGAGCCCAGGGTGCTGCAGGTCACCCAACTGTCAGGGTGCTGCAGGTCACCCAACTGTCAGGGTGCTGCAGGTCACCCAACTGTCAGGGTGCTGCAGGTCACCCAACTGTCAGGGTGCTGCAGGTCACCCAACTGTCAGGGTGCTGCAGGTCACCCAACTGTCAGGGTGCTGCAGGTCACCCAACTGTCAGGGTGCTGCAGGTCACCCAGCTGTCAGGGTGCTGCAGGTCACCCAACTGTCAGGGTGCTGCAGGTCACCCAACTGTCAGGGTGCTGCAGGTCACCCAACTGTCAGGGTGCTGCAGGTCACCCAGCTGTCAGGGTGCTGCAGGTCACCCAACTGTCAGGGTGCTGCAGGTCACCCAACTGTCAGGGTGCTGCAGGTCACCCAACTGTCAGGGTGCTGCAGGTCACCCAAAGGTCAGGGTGCTGCAGGTCACCCAACTGTCAGGGTGCTGCAGGTCACCCAACTGTCAGGGTGCTGCAGGTCACCCAACTGTCAGGGTGCTGCAGGTCACCCAACTGTCAGGGTGCTGCAGGTCACCCAACTGTCAGGGTGCTGCAGGTCACCCAACTGTCAGGGTGCTGCAGGTCACCCAAAGGTCAGGGTGCTGCAGGTCACCCAACTGTCAGGGTGCTGCAGGTCACCCAACGGTCAGGGTGCTGCAGGTCACCCAACTGTCAGGGTGCTGCAGGTTAGCCCAGGGTGCTGCAGGTCACCCAACGGTCAGGGTGCTGCAGGTCACCCAACTGTCAGGGTGCTGCAGGTCACCCAACTGTCAGGGTGCTGCAGGTCACCCAACTGTCAGGGTGCTGCAGGTCACCCAACTGTCAGGGTGCTGCAGGTCACCCAAAGGTCAGGGTGCTGCAGGTCACCCAACTGTCAGGGTGCTGCAGGTCACCCAACTGTCAGGGTGCTGCAGGTCACCCAACTGTCAGGGTGCTGCAGGTCACCCAACTGTCAGGGTGCTGCAGGTCACCCAACTGTCAGGGTGCTGCAGGTCACCCAACTGTCAGGGTGCTGCAGGTCACACAACTGTCAGGGTGCTGCAGGTCACCCAACTGTCAGGGTGCTGCAGGTCACCCAACTGTCAGGGTGCTGCAGGTCACCCAACTGTCAGGGTGCTGCAGGTCACCCAACTGTCAGGGTGCTGCAGGTCACCCAACTGTCAGGGTGCTGCAGGTCACCCAAAGGTCAGGGTGCTGCAGGTCACCCAACTGTCAGGGTGCTGCAGGTCACCCAACTGTCAGGGTGCTGCAGGTCACCCAACTGTCAGGGTGCTGCAGGTCACCCAACTGTCAGGGTGCTGCAGGTCACCCAACTGTCAGGGTGCTGCAGGTCACCCAAAGGTCAGGGTGCTGCAGGTCACCCAACTGTCAGGGTGCTGCAGGTCACCCAACGGTCAGGGTGCTGCAGGTCACCCAACGGTCAGGGTGCTGCAGGTTAGCCCAGGGTGCTGCAGGTCACCCAACGGTCAGGGTGCTGCAGGTCACCCAACTGTCAGGGTGCTGCAGGTCACCCTACTGTCAGGGTGCTGCAGGTCACCCAACTGTCAGGGTGCTGCAGGTCACCCAACTGTCAGGGTGCTGCAGGTCACCCAACTGTCAGGGTGCTGCATGTCACCCAACTGTCAGGGTGCTGCAGGTCCTGCTGCAGGTCACCCAACTGTCAGGGTGCTGCATGTAACCCAACAGTCAGGGTGCTGCATGTCACCCAACTGTCAGGGTGCTGCAGGTCACCCAACTGTCAGGGTGCTGCTGGTCCTGCTGCAGGTCACCCAACTGTCAGGGTGCTGCATGTCACCCAACAGTCAGGGTGCTGCATGTCACCCAACTGTCAGGGTGCTGCAGGTCACCCAACTGTCAGGGTGCTGCACGTCACCCAACTGTCAGGGTGCTGCAGGTCACCCAACTGTCAGGGTGCTGCAGGTCACCCAACTGTCAGGGTGCTGCATGTCACCCAACTGTCAGGGTGCTGCAGGTCACCCAACTGTCAGGGTGCTGCATGTAACCCAACAGTCAGGGTGCTGCATGTCACCCAACTGTCAGGGTGCTGCAGGTCACCCAACTGTCAGGGTGCTGCTGGTCCTGCTGCAGGTCACCCAACTGTCAGGGTGCTGCATGTCACCCAACAGTCAGGGTGCTGCATGTCACCCAACTGTCAGGGTGCTGCATGTCACCCAACTGTCAGGGTGCTGCAGGTCCTGCTGCAGGTCACCCAACAGTCAGGGTGCTGCAGGTCACCCAACTGTCAGGGTGCTGCAGGTCACCCAACTGTCGTGTGCTGCAGGTCACCCAACTGTCAGGGTGCTGCAGGTCACCCTACTGTCAGGGTGCCAGTGGATGTGCCTGATTCAGTCAACAATTATAGTAGCCCACAATATCCATAAAATAAATGTAGGGGCCAAAGTGTTTGCGGGGGAACCTGGGATGCAAATCATACCCTGCAGGGGGATGCCCCTTTGAAATTTAAAAAAACATTTTCTGCAGAAACCTCTCTAGGAGAATTCTCAACAATTTCTCAAAGTTTCATGGCGATTGGATAAACAGTGTAGAAATACATAAACTATGATAAAGAAAATGCACACAGAAAGACAGACATACTTTGATTTTTATCTATATATACTTGAAACCAAATTCATTTATCAATGTCAATCATTAATTTTTAGAGAAATAAAAAGTAGTTTTATTAAATGGCTAAATTGTTAAACCTTTTTCAATGTATTGTAAAGTACCTGTTCTTGACAGCAAATCCAATAAGATGTGTTTTCTGATTTTTTTGTCCCATGAAGTACTTGGTGGGCAAGAAATGAGGACATGATGTTTAATTAATTAATTAGCACGTTTTTTTTTTTTAAAATACCATTGAATTAAAAAATGATCTTAGTTTAATTAGAATCATTTAATTTTCTTTAAACATTGTTATGTTTTGGTGGAAAGCCAGGAAAAATTAATACAGTTTTTAATGTTTGATTATTAACTTCTTCTGAATGTATCCCATGTAGAGACTTCTAGTAAATAAAAACCTTTTATTATAATAGTTAAAATAGCAAAATAAGTAGGAATACATTAATGTTTAGTTAAAAAGAACAGGAAATACATGAATTTAAAAAAATGAAACTTGTCAATTTTTGCATGCATTTTATCCACTGCATTTATCAAAATAGTAGGTAAAGTAACACACTAAAATAAAGACAATTACACTTGCCTCCCAGTAGCACACTAAAATAAGGACAATTACACTTGCCTCCTAGTAACACACTAAAATAAGGACAATTACACTTGCCTCCTAGTAACACGCTAAAATAAGGACAATTACATTTGCATCCTAGCACACACTTTACAAGCTAAAAGTAAAGATAACTCTGCAAAGTTCCACTAGATAAAAAACTAAAATTCAAGCAGATTTTTGTGTGCAAAATGTAACATCTTTTCTAATATGTCCATTTTTTTTTATTTTTCAGACAACTCTAATAAATGGGACTTTTGTCAGCCTCAGAACAGCACAGATGATATTACTAAAATTTGGTTGTACTTGAACAATGAAAACACAAATATCTCACAATGTTCATGCAATGTTAGAAGCAATTCTACAAAAACTATTCAAATTAAAACTCTAGATGTTCGACTCAATGGGATCAGCCTCCGGTTCACTGGCGCTAACAAACCACTGTATGTACAGTCTTGTAGCATAGGTTTTTTTTCCCTCTCAAATCCCTAAATTTGAGGAGTTAGATAAAATTTGTTTCTAATGCTTTAAATTTGAAACTTATTGTCATTATCAATGTTAAGAGTTGATTTCTTAACAAAGTCATTTTTAAAAAAGCATTTAAAATATTTTATTTTATTTTGAAAATGTAGTGTAAGCATACATCTTTACTGATTTGATTCTGTAATAATGATCTAATTTAAAGTAACAAAATGTGAACAATTTCTGTTTTTCCAGGCATTTATCTGACCCCAAGTTGTACTGGTCACATGACAACCTTCCACTGACATTCACTGACTATGTGGACATACAACTCAGTGCTATAGCATCTTCACTAGATCAAATAGTGCTGCTTGAAGTTACAGGTAGGCAAAAACTGGTTCATAGGTAGGCAAAACCTGGTTCATAGTCCACAGGTAGGCAAAAACTGGTTCATAGTCCACAATGTAGGCAAAACCTGGTTCATAGTCCACAGGTAGGCAAAACCTGGTTCATAGTCCACAATGTAGGCAAAACCTGGTTCATAGTCCACAATGTAGGCAAAAACTGGTTCATAGTCCACATGTAGGCAAAACCTGGTTCATAGTCCACATGTAGGCAAAACCTGGTTCATAGTCCACATGTAGGCAAAACCTGGTTCATAGTCCACAATGTAGGCAAAACCTGGTTCATAGTCCACATGTAGGCAAAACCTGGTTCATAGTCCACATGTAGGCAAAACCTGGTTCATAGTCCACATGTAGGCAAAACCTAGTTCATAGTCCACAGTGTAGGCAAAACCTAGTTCATAGTCTACAAGGTAGGCAAAACCTGGTTCATAGTCCACATGTAGGCAAAACCTGGTTCATAGTCCACATGTAGGCAAAACCTGGTTCATAGTCCACATGTAGGCAAAACCTGGTTCATAGTCCACATGTAGGCAAAACCTGGTTCATAGTCCACAATGTAGGCAAAACCTGGTTCATAGTCCACAGGTAGGCAAAAACTGGTTCATAGTCCACAATGTAGACAAAACCTAGTTCATAGTCCACATGTAGGCAAAACCTGGTTCATAGTCTACAAGGTAGGCAAAACCTGGTTCATAGTCCACATGTAGGCAAAACCTGGTTCATAGTCCACATGTAGGCAAAACCTGGTTCATAGTCTACAGGTAGGCAAAACCTGGTCCACAGGTAGGAAAAACCTGGTTCATAGTCCACAGGTAGGCAAAACCTGGTTCATAGTCCACAGGTAGGCAAAACCTGGTCCACAGGTAGGTAAAACCTGGTTCATAGTCCACAGGTAGGCAAAACAGAATTTTTCTGCCATTTGTAAAGCTTTTCCACACTTCCATTACCTGTTATTGTTATGACTGTAAGCTGCTGTCTCATTATCTGAGAATTGATTGTTTAAATCAGGGGTCTCCAAACTTTTCAATCCGAGGGCCGCATTAACTATCAAATTTCAGTTCGGGGGCCAGTTTCTTCCAGGCATGTCTTTGACTTTTCTGGGCAAAGTTCCTCAGCCATCACCAACAACCGGTTTTTCCGTGGACAAAAAGATCTCCGGGGGCCGGATGACAGGACATCTCGGGCGGCATCCGGCCCGCGGGCCGTAGTTTGCAGACACCTGGTTTTTATATTTTGCAGGTTATAACATGACTGTAAGCTGCTGTCCCATTATCTGAGAATTGATTGTTTAAATGTTGCAGGTTATAACATGACTGTAAGCTGCTGTCCCATTATCTGAGAATTGATTGTTTAACTTTTGCAGGTTATAACATGGATGTAAGTTGTGGTCCCAGTGTCCCAAAACACAGTAGTCCCCAGAATCCACATCAAGCAGAATTCAGTAAGTTGTCTAAATTTATGATTTACTTGTTGTCAAGATTTAGTTGTTGTCTAGATTTACTTGTTGTCAAGATTTAGTTGTTGTCTAGATTTACTTGTTGTCAAGATTTAGTTGGGGGTCATCCATAAATGACGTCACACTCGTAGGGGGGAGGGGGGGTCCGTAATTTTGTGACGATGTGTGATGAGGGGGAGGGGGGGGGGGGGTCAGATGTTGCGACGTCACATTTTTGCATTATAAAAAAGCAATGTTAGAAAACGAATTTTAGACGTTATTTCGCGTTTTAGATAACTGTTTTAATAAATTGTAATAGTATAGACAAGATTTTGGAAAAATATCAATGTTTTAAAAAAATTCAACTGCAATTTTGAGGGGGGTTGTAGGTTGAGGTGTGACGTCATTTTAGGGGGGGGGGGGGTCTGGCTTTTTGTGACGAAGTGTGACGGAGGGTAGGGTGGGAGGTAAAAATCGTCAAAAAAAGCGTGACGTCATTTATGGATGACCCCTTGTCTAGATTTACTTGTTGTCTAGATTTAGATCTAGTTGTTGTCAAGATTTAGTTGTCTAGATTTACTTGTTGTCTAGATTTAGATCTAGTTGTTGTTTAGATTTAGTTGTCTAGATTTAGTTGTTGTTTAGATTCAGTTGAACTCTTCTTTACTTGCCCCGTAGACCGTCAGGTTTGAAAAGGAACGTTCCTTTAAGATTCAGTTGTTGTTTAGATTTTGTTGTTATTGGAGTAAATGTTTATATCAGTTGTTTAGATTTAATTCTTACTAAAATCAACATTAAAAACAGCTGTTGTTTAAATTTAGTTATTACTAAGAATGCTAAATCACTGGCGTGTAGATGGGCTGTTTTTGTTTGTTAAATGGCTAAAGTTGGACTCATAATGTCTTATTTGTGCCATTAATTAAATTGATGAAATAAAATGTTTATGTTAAGTTTTTGTATGTTTGCAACTTTGTATATTGGCAGTACTAAATGAATATTGAAACATTAACACATTGAAGAAAAACTACAGTCTGTTTCTCTAATTCCAGAGTAGAAAAACTAAAGTCTCTATCTCTAATTCCAGAACTTTGGTAGAAAAACTAAAGTCTGTTTCTCTAATTCCAGAACTTTGGTAGAAAAACTAAAGTCTGTTTCTCTAATTCCAGAACTTTGGTAGAAAAACTAAAGTCTGTTTCTCTAATTCCAGAACTTTGGTAGAAAAACTAAAGTCTGTTTCTCTAATTCCAGAACTTTGGTAGAAAAACTAAAGTCTGTTTCTCTAATTCCAGAACTTTGGTAGAAAAATGGGGGTTGGCGTGGTTGAGTCGGTAAAGCTCAAGGTTGCTAAACCGAAAAGTCTCGAGTTCGAACCCTCAGGCAGATGAGGCTTGTTAGCTGGGGACAGCCACTCTTCTAGGAGAGACAACTCCAAAATAAAACAACTGCTGCCTTGTAGTTTGTTCTTGGTTGGACAAAGACTATGGAAGCAAATCCAAAAAGAAAAGCAGGCTGAAATCGGAGTCAATGGCCTCAATAGCGCATAACCAGTTGACACGTATCCTTAATTGTGATGGAGGCGTGGTCGAGTCTGCAAAAGTTCATAGTTGATAAATTTGAAAAAGTCTCGAATTCAAACCCTCTGGCAGAGAAGGCCTGATCCCTTCCAACACTAAAAATAAAGAACGAAGAAGAAGAAGAAAGAAGGTAGAAAAACTAAAGTCTGTTTCTTTAATTCCAGAACTTTGGTATGTTATTGTCATCTCGCTGGCGGGTGTGCTGGTCATCATACTGGTCACTGTGGTCATCATTTGCTGCTGTAGGCGCAGAAAGTAAGTGGCACACCAAACACTTTGAGCAGAACATCATTCCTGTGCTAGACTGTATCCCACCCCTCTAATCGAAATTTGGTGTACCCTATCTTTCTGCTTGATAAGATCATTAACTCTGTCTTTGAACTAACCGGAAATCAAAGTTTGCTTTGAATGACATCATCCAAAAATCATATGGTCACTGCAGGCATGAAAGGGCAACAGGAGTTACATACTATTTCCCCCCTTCCCCGCTCTGAATTTTGGTACACTGCTTTCTTAAAAGAAAACTTCTAGTAGAACATTACCCCCTCCCCCTCTGTCTTTTGTTATGCTTCCAAATAAAATTAACTAGCCTAGAACTTAATTAACTATGGATTACAATTTTATTGTATATTGTTGATTACAATTTCATAATATATTATATATTTGTTTCTTTTTTGTAAATGTAGTTTTTGTTGTATTTAATAGACATTCTTGAGATTGGTAATTACCATTTGGAATAGTTGAGAGGGGTAATTACCATTAGGAATAGTTGAGAGGGGTAATTACCATTTGGAATAGTTGAGAAGAAGTAATGTCCTAGACCAGGGGGAAAGATCATTTGATAAAAATTTGTTTTTGTGCTGTCTTTATTTTGAAAACCCTAAAACTTCACAGAAGCATGTCTAGAGAGAAAGCGTCAGATGTTATTTATGCTGAGCCAGATGAACCTGCGAAGGGCAAGGATTTTGAGAGCAAGCACCCAGCAGGGCGGGCACCCAAGGATTCTGGCCGGGCACCCAAACCATGCCATTCTGACACCACAGAAAGTCTTTTACCACCAGATTATTTTGAGCTGGAGAAACCGTTACCTCCTAATAACAATGTTGGCCGGCAGGTAAAATTATTTAAAAAGCTTTTTTGGTCTTGGGACTTGTGGATGATGTTGATGGGATCTTAAATCAAGATTCAAAGTTCTGCTTGAATGACATCCAATAAGAAAACTCCTGACATACCCTTTCATTATTTAAAAAAATCATGTGAGGTGCCCGATGTGGTTACAAAAACTTGATTGTGTGGTTTATGTATGACTTTTCTAAAGATTGGACGTATTTCATGTTAACTTTTGAATCCTGTCCTCCCTGGCCTAAGTTCTCCCATTTCCTGATCTCCCAGGCCCAAACCAGTTTTCACTTATCTGCTTCTAACTTTGCCTATAACTTTTGAACCGTTTGAGATAATCAAGCCAAATTTGATATCCAGGCTCAGTATCAAACAACAATTCAGCAAGATTTGGAAAAATTTTTTTACCAAATAATAAAATAATATAAAATAAAAAATTTTTTTGACAATGTATTTTACGAAAGGCAAACACTTTCACTTTCAACTTTCCCCAAAATCTATTTTTAGAATCATAACCCGCACTAAAAGGACATGTGCGCCGTTTTATTCAGGCCGCCGCTAATTATATTTAAAAAGACAGTACACTAGCCCCTAGGACTTTGATGCTAGATCATCATGCCGGAAAACCGGCTAATTTTGAAGCCGGTTTTCCGGCTTGTCCGTCTCAAAGGGTTAATAGTATTTTGGATAACTTCACTAAATTTGAAAAAAAAACAAGAACCCAAGATCAGTTTGATTTTGCTCATTGAAAATGTTAACAAACATTGCATAACTAGATAATGTTTTCTTCAAAAGTTAAAATAAGTTTGTTAAAATAACTATTTTCAATGTTTTTAATAAAAAGTGGGGTTTTCAGACTGGAAATCCACAATCTGTGATGTAGCCAATCAAAGTTTTTCTCACTTTAGTCAAAATTCAAGTTAAAATTCTGGGTTGATATAATTAACATTGAAATTAAATACAAAATGCAAAAAATAATTTTTAAGTTCTCTGGATTTCCAAAAATAAATCTCAAAAATATTCCATTTCTGATAAAAAAAATTTTGTGTGCTTAACGTTGTTTTTCTTCTTATTTTTGTTATGACCACTATTAAGGCAAAATTTAAAAAGCACATTTTTATCCATGTCTAATTGGGGGGGAGGGGGGGGGGGAGGGTCATCTCATCATTTAGGGCATTGAACTTTCTGTGTTGGCGTTAACTAGAACAAATGCAGTTGACCTATTGATTTGAGAATGTTTATAAGCTAACCTAATTGACCCACATTTAGGATGTGTGACCTAACCTAGTTGACCTACTTATTTCTGGATGTTTATAACCTAACCTAGTTGACCTACTTTCCCACCAGAAGTTAATAACTTAATTGACCCATTTGTTTCAGGATGTTTATAAACTAACTGACTTGACCCACTTGTTTCAAGATGTGCCTAATCTAACCTACTTATTTGACCTACTTATTTTCATTAATTGTTTCTAACCGAATTGACCTACTTGTTTCAGGATGTGCCTAATCTAACCTATTTGGCCTACTTATTGCCAATTGTTTCTAACCAAATTGACTCAATTGTTTCAAGATGTTCACTTTAACCTACTTATTTTCATTAATGTTTTCTAACCAAATTGACCCACTTATTTCAAGATGTTCACAATTTAACCTATTTGACCTACTTATTTCCAATTGTTTCTAACCAAATTGACCTACTTGTTTCAGGATGTGTACAACCATCTGAGAGAGGAAGAGAAACCTCTGCCTGAAAACATCTATGACACGACAGAAAACGAATATTCAACACTCACCAGGGTCAACCCCAAGGTCATTGATAATGTGTATGATGTGTAGTATGTGTGTGCGGCCTTGATGATGGTTTATATGATGAATAGTGTGTGTCACATGTTGCAAATTGTATGACATATTTTAAGTATGTTTGTACTATTATGCTGCCATCTTCATGTGTATCTGTCAAAATTTTATATTTACATTCAATCACATTGCCTTTGTATTCATCAGTGTCAAATATTGATATGTAAAATGTAAATAACTGGTTTTATCTTTACTTTTCTTGTTGATTGGTTATGTGCCTTGTTTTCGCAACTAAAAAAATATATTTTCTCAGTTAAACACATGCTGGCTAGAATAGAAAGAAAATGTGTGACTATACAGACTTGAATTATCTTTTCTCTTGAACAATGTTCTGTGATATAACTGGTCAGTATTAGATGTAACTAGCCTTGTTCCTCATGCGTTGTTCACGTTCACTTTTTAAAAAAAATGTTAGTTAGGATTAAGTTTAGGGTCTCCCTCTAAAAATGTCAGGATTAAGTTTAGGGCCTCCCTCTAAAAATGTCAGGATTAAGTTTAGGGCCTCCATCTAAAAATGTCAGGATTAAGTTTAGGGCCTCCCTCTAAAAATGTCAGGATTAAGTTTAGGGCCTCCCTGTAAAAATGTCAGGATTAAGTTTAGGGCCTCCCTCTAAAAATGTCAGGATTAAGTTTAGGGCCTCCCTCTAAAAATGTCAGGATTAAGTTTAGGGTCTCCCTCTAAAAATGTCAGGATTAAGTTTAGGGCATCTCTCTAAAAATGTCAGGATTAAGTTTAGGGCCTCCCTCTAAAAATGTCAGGATTAAGTTTAGGGCCTACCTCTAAAAATGTCAGGATTAAGTTTAGGGTCTCCCTCTAAAAATGTCAGGATTAAGTTTAGGGCATCTCTCTAAAAATGTCAGGATTAAGTTTAGGGTCTCCCTCTAAAAATGTCAGGATTAAGTTTAGGACATCTCTCTAAAAATGTCAGGATTAAGTTTAGGGCCTCCCTCTAAAAATGTCAGGATTAAGTTTAGGGCCTCCCTCTAAAAATGTCAGGATTAAGTTTAGGGCCTCCTTCTAAAAATGTCAGGATTAAGTTTAGGGTCTCCCTGTAAAAATGTCAGGATTAAGTTTAGGGCCTCCCTCTAAAAATGTCAGGATTAAGTTTAGGGCCTCCCTGTAAAAATGTCAGGATTAAGTTTAGGGCCTCCCTCTAAAAATGTCAGGATTAAGTTTAGGGCCTACCTCTAAAAATGTCAGGATTAAGTTTAGGGTCTCCCTCTAAAAATGTCAGGATTAAGTTTAGGGCATCTCTCTAAAAATGTCAGGATTAAGTTTAGGGTCTCCCTCTAAAAATGTCAGGATTAAGTTTAGGGCATCTCTCTAAAAATGTCAGGATTAAGTTTAGGGCCTCCCTCTAAAAATGTCAGGATTAAGTTTAGGGCCTCCCTCTAAAAATGTCAGGATTAAGTTTAGGGCCTCCCTCTAAAAATGTCAGGATTAAGTTTAGGGCATCTCTCTAAAAATGTCAGGATTAAGTTTAGGGCCTCCCTCTAAAAATGTCAGGATTAAGTTTAGGGCCTCCCTCTAAAAATGTCAGGATTAAGTTTAGGACATCTCTCTAAAAACGTCAGGATTAAGTTTAGGGCCTCCCTCTAAAAATGTCAGGATTAAGTTTAGGGCCTCCCTCTAAAAATGTCAGGATTAAGTTTAGGGCCTCCCTCTAAAAATGTCAGGATTAAGTTTAGGGCCTCCCTCTAAAAATGTCAGGATTAAGTTTAGGGCCTCCCTCTAAAAATGTCAGGATTAAGTTTAGGGCCTCCTTCTAAAAATGTCAGGATTAAGTTTAGGGCCTCCCTCTAAAAATGTCAGGATTAAGTTTAGGGCCTCTCTCTAAAAGGTATGATACTGCTGAAGGTTTCCGTCTAAGACCTTGAACTTTGGTCTGTAAACATCATGCTTGTATCTCTACAATTCTGATGTGCAATGTTTGGCTGTCACAGTTTCATCAACTGAAATCTGTCAGAAGCCTCACAGCTAAACCTACATAACCTAATCAAATTTTTGTACAAGGTTTGGTCTGATTAGCTCAAGTGATCAAAAGTTTTTGACATTTTTATGACAAGTGCCTTCAATGAAAAAAATTCCTATTTAAAAAAACTTTTATGCAAATAATTTGTACATATAATTTCATTTAGAGATCTGTTGTGTGTGGGAAAAAATGTATGTATGCTTTCTGGTGCCAAACCTTTGGGAAATAAAAATTGTTTATAAAAGAATGCTCTATGTAAATAGTATTGAATGCAATGTACATGAACATTATTGAAATGTTTCTCAATGTGATGTACTTTTCACAAATGTAATAATTGTTAACTAACGCTCTTTCAATAATATATCTATCTCTGTTTTTAACAAATGGTTTTGATGTTAACATGTATGCCTACTGCTTGCAGTGCTGGTTTGGCTTGAAGATTGTGGTGTAGGATATTTAGAGTTCACCCGTCAGGAGTCTAACAAAGGCTCATGTCTGAAACAAATTGTTGAATTTATCAGAATGCTCATCTAAAACATAAGAACACACAAATAATGTACTGGAAATAATATTGTCTTTAGCTAAATCTGGGTAGGATTCTTCCAAAAACAGTCGCAGAAGTTTTACATTTGTTGCAGATCTGGTATGAACCTGATCAAAATCTTTGACCTTGGCTACAAGGGAGGTAACTTGTGGAAGCCCAAACTTCTCCACTAACTGGTCCAAAAAACTGTTTGGACATTTCATCTGAAAAAAATTCTTGAATTTTCTTGAATCAGCAGCAAAAAAAACCTATCAAACACCACACATAACTAAACTTCCTTAAAAAGCTGCTTATTTCCCTTTGATATTTTACTTAAATATTTTCTTGACTTGTCTTATGTAGAAGTGTCTTAAATATTTTTAAGAATTGATTAATTTGGAATTATTGTGAGGTCTTTAATTTGCTGTGTATGTATAGTTAACAATAGTATTGTATTTATATGTACTTTCAATTGTTACAATATAATGTTTATTTTGACAATAATTTGAAAGATTATCTTACAAATAGTGTATGGTGTTTATGACATATCACACTTTTAAATGCATTTAATTTTTCTATTCCCAAAACTTGATTTATAAATAAATATTTGCTATAAAATCAAATTTTGTTGGCCATGAAAATTGATTCAGTACTGACTTGTATTCAGCGCCTTATGCTGCATGTACACAAACCCAGTTGTACATATACACTGTGTATTTGATGCTGCTCTTTGATTTCATCGTCTTTAACGAATCTCCTTTGTTGCTTGAACACACCATCATTTTAAATTGATCAGTGTATGCAACTTTGGACATGCTATCATTTTAAATTGATGAATTTGAGCAGCTTGCTCAATAAATCAACACCACCCATTGTATTGAGCTCAAGTTCATACACCAAATGATTTAGTTAGGTAATTTAATTTAGTTGAACTATTTCCCTGACTTGTCCTTATGTATGACTGTAAAAATATTTTTCTGAATTGTCCTTTGTTTGCGTGTTTTAAATATTTTCCTGGCTTGTCCTAATGTAGTAGGGTCTAAAGAAATGTAGAGAAAAGATGGATGTGAGACCAACAAATGCATCTACAGCCAAGTCTTGCTTACATTGAGCACTGCAAGTTGTGATTACATTGAGCACTGCCAAGTCGTGCTTACATTGAGCACTGCCAAGTCGTGCTTACATTGTGCACTGCCAAGTCGTGCTTACATTGTGCACTGCCATATGAAACTGTTGGTTCTTTCATTGGACTTTTTTTTAGAAATATTGAGAAATAAATGAATAAATTATAACAACTGGCTAAATTTTATTTTGATAGCTTGGTTGTGTGGCATAGAAGGTTGTTGTAGAAAACTGAGCCAATTTTGTAGGCTTTTCAGAGTTTAGTAATGTGGTAATGTTTTTTTCAAATACATTGTTCAAGTGTAGGGAACTAGCAAGCTATTGATCATATGATGTCTTGCATATCACAATTTCATAAAATGATTACTTGTTTGATAAAACTGTACACAAAAATATAATGACATTCCCAATATTTACTTAGTCATGCTAAAACAAAAACAAATACAGGCATGAAGCAAACAAAAGCATTACTTTTTTATAACTTTATTTTTCATTTACTAAAGTATTTTGAAAAATCACAGTAAGAATGGATTTTCCTAAAAATGGAGGAATAAATTATGTGTATATTTTAATTTCAAATTTAACAATATCACAATTTTCAGTTATTTAACATTTAAATATTCAACTTAAATAAATTTCCTTTAAAAATCTTAACGCTTGCTAGCAAAACTCGCCCAATATATCAAGCTGTACTATATTTTCTAATAGCAGTAGAGAAAAAATAATAGATCAGTAATACAATCAAAGCATGACTTGTAGACAATTATTAGGATCAAAATAACCGAAGTGTTGCACTGAACGAAACATTAAAAAAGCTATTGATGGAGTTAGTTTCATTTGCATTAATTATTTAATTGTCATTAAAGGATGAACCTCACACACAAGAGCCGATAACATGACAAGTTAAATAAATCAAATTCTGTTCCCCATACCATCATGGTTTAGAGAGTTTATTTGGAGGTTACAATTTTCTTAATAACTATTTAGAAAAAAGATTAATCGGCTTTGTAAGTTCTAAAGATGTATTTAAAAGATATCTCCATGTACTTTCATAAGATGAGCATAGCATTGCTGATCATCTGAAAAATAAGCTAAGCAATGCCAACAAAATTGGGTTCTACACAGCTTACAGTGCATTCTGTTGCAACCCTTAATTTTCTCAATGGTGCATCCACACTTGGGACAACTTTTTATACGTTTAGAATTTGACGCTTTCCAATCTTCAAATTGTTTGTCAGCAAGGCTCGCTGTTTCTACCAGCTTACAGGTGAGACCTGCGTGGTACACTGTGTGGCAGGAGGTGCACAGGCTGACAGAGCAGGATGGGCAGGTAAACTCACTGCCCTCTTCACAGGTGGTCACCTCATACACGATAGGACAGTTGGGGGTCAAGCAGAATTTGTACTTGCTTGGATTCAGAGAAACCATAGAGTTCAATGACCTATGGACTAGAGATACTCACTAATTTTAAATTTCGTTATTTTTCGATTTAAACATTACCAATGGAAACTAGAGATCAATCTCTAATCAATCAAATACTTAATTTGTTGAAAATAAACTCATTTGGAGCTTAATTACTGATTTTTATTAATTGGCCACTCCAAGCATTGCAAGCCAAATAATCCGTGACAACCAGATCGCCTAAGCTTTTCTGAAGAGACGAACTCTGCAGGGTTGACCTTGCAGCTGATTTGATTTTAGCAGAATATGCACAGTACATTTGATTTTATTACCACATTTCTATTCGTATGGACACTGTCTTCGTCAGAATAAAAAATCACATACTGGAATTAGATCTAGATCTAGAATTCTTAAATATTTTTATTTAATTTTTTTTAAATGGAAGGGTGTTTAAAAAGGAAAACTAAATTCAAATTAATGAAAAACATGTTCAAGAATATATAGTATAGATCTAATCTTTTTAAAGATATTCAATCCCATGCATGTTTTATTAACTAGTGTAAGTGTTTTAGCAATGCTTAATTGGGGCAATTCATAAAATATAGCGATATCATTGTAAAATTAATCTAACCCTCTTCTCTCACTTGACTTGGGACAGGTGTGTTAGTTACAAAGTTTTGTCTATGCTCAGTTTAAAATGTAAAGATTTGTAAGTATTTGATTTATTTTAAAAAACACTGCAATAGCATTCAAATTCATCAAGTTAGCGAGAAATACATTCTAAACAGCGTCACGGGCAGTGCGCGTGACAGACATCTCGCTCGCTTAGTTTTGTCAACCAGAAAAGTTAGCCTATCAAATACAATTAATTAGGCCTATAAAATAAAAAGAGGCCAATCGCATTAAAATGATCGCCTGTGAGCGAAGATATATGCAAATTACAAACATCGCTAGCCCGCCTGCGTTCTTTTGTCAACCAGCGAGAGAAAACTCACAGCACAGTGTGCGCATGCGCTAAATCTAGTCCAAGTACTTTGTTATCCCAAGTTATAGGCCCTAATTAGTATTATAGGTCTAGATTAATAGAAAGTTCAAATTAAATGTATTTAATTAAGATGTGTGTCTATTTGATTTTTCAAATGTCAGCGCATAAAAATTAATCACCCGAGAGCGAGAATTAGGCCTATGCCTATGCATTCCAAACATCGACACAGACCACGTGTGTCAAACGACTCGCTCGCTCGCGCTGGTTTGTCAGCGAGAGAGGCATCGCCCGCCACAGCGCGGGCACAGCACACATGTCCTAGTCCATGCGTACTTGGTTTACTTAGTACTAATTAGTAATGTAAACTTAGACCCAACGCTAAAATCATTTAATTTATCTATCAGGCCTCTAAAATCGTAATAATATTAACATTATTAAGCCTAATAAATGTATCAACGAAGACCAGTGAAAATATTATAATTAGCCTAATTAAAATTTATGAAATCAATAAGAATTAAGACACATTAATTAAGCTATAACAAATTTGAAAACAAATAATGAGGCAACGAAGACCAGTGAAAATAATATTATAATTAGCCTAATTAAAATTTATGAAATCAATAAGAATTCAGACAAATTAATTAAGCTATAACAAATTTGAAAACAAATAATTATGCCTAAGTCATTAGCCTAAGTAAGCACACAAAGACCAACGCTCACTACTAGATCTAGATCTAATTCCATGGATCAACAAAAAAAAAAAAAAATAACAGATCGTTGTGGTTTAAGGGTTTTTAGAGTCATAGTATAATCCAAAAGTCAGGTGAAATATCCATAATTAGGCTTAATTAGTCTAATTACGCTAGCAAAATAAGCTGAAAAAGAGTGTCAAGTGAAAAGAAAACACAATTATATAAGCAGCGAGAGGATACTACTGTACAGCTTCCGTAACAATAGCGGTGACGTCACAATAAAAAATAACGTGCTTTCAGTGACCTTTTTGCGATGCCGATTTCTTAAAAGGCGAACATAATATTTACAATTTTTTTTCACTAAACGATCAATCTAATAATACTCGACCTAGGCATGCAGTTTTGACACCTTAGAGACCATTAGTTAAAGTTTTTGAGCTACTCAAACTGTACCCATGTTTACGTTTGACCTTTCAATGTCGGAAGCAAAAAAAAAAAAAAAAAATCTGCCAAAAATAGCTTTGTCATCATTAGATTGCTTACAATACGCGAAAAAAACGCCATTTTTCGCGTGATAATTATTTTTAAAGTTAATGTTAAGGTGGTCTCTCGAACAGGGCAGAAAAAATTGCCCAATCGTAGGCCAAGGTGTGGTAGTCATGTTCTGGTTAGCAACCAAGGACGCTTTTAAGTTAGTGAGTCTCGCTACTATGGACCAGCTTCTCTTCTGTCACCCACTTGTTCCTGATCATGAACTGGAAGTCTTTCCAAACCAGCTGAGACTGGCAGCCCTCGTCAGCGCACTCAAGCGGAAACTTTTTCTCATCCACAGAGACGGTGAAAAGCCCCTTCAAACAGGTCAGACAGTAGCAATGTCCACATAGTTCCAGCCTGTACACGTCGTCCACGCTGTCCACTGGGCACATGCACACGGTGCAGTCCGGCAACTCTCTCACCCCCGCCTGTCTGCAGGAAGACACCAGGCTAGACTCTAGTTCTGTGATGCTGGCCAGTGCCTTGTCTACAGCTTCCGTGTCTCCAACAAGGGAGAGCTTCTGCAGTTTAAAATCAATGTTTACACTGCTGAGCTGAAACGTTTTGGTCATGTCCTCCTGGAGATTGTCGTATTTGACCAGCAGGGCCTTCATCAGCCCCATGGGTCTGCCTGGCCCCCTCAGGTTGACAGAAACATGCCTGCCCTTGCTCAGCCGATCTAGGAACGCATTGATTTTAGACTGACATTGGCTGATCCTGCTCATGGCTCCGTGTAGGTACACTTTTTCCCTTCTGTCGTCAACCACAATAAGCACTGACTCGGATTTTTCAATTTGACGTAAAAACTCTCTCCCTTCCTGTTTGATGAGATTTCTCAGAAGGTCATTGACCCCGCAGTCAATGACCTCACCATCTAGCTCTTTCTGAATCAAGTCCCTGGCTTCAACAATATACAGGGCTCTGACTGATTTAATTTCAAGGACAAAGTCCCCTTTTTTCAAACACCTTTTTGTCACTTCTACGCCTTTATGATATTTCAGGCCTTTGGTGATTTCATCCAGGCGAGTTTCACAAACACTCATTATAAACTTAGGTACGTGCATCGTTGTCTTAAGAGATGGACTAATGCTTAAGGCCTTTTGGCCAAGCATTCTAAACCTATTTTCAACTGCGCGACAGGCATGAAAGCCACTGACCGGATCATCAAACTGAATAAAACCCACCAGGTTAATAGAGTTTTCTTTAGGAGGAATTAAATTTAATTGAAACTTCTCTTGTGGTATGTAACACTGAAGTTCAGTTGTAATTTTTTTTTGAAACTCTTTAACTTCTGTTTCAATGGGAATGGTAGCTTTCTCACGAGCGACAGTGATGCGAATCTTTTTACTCATTTCATCACGATCATGGAGTAAATCTAAAACCCTGTCTTTGATTTCTATTTCTTCTGCGGATCCAGTTTTAAAACAAATTAAATCATCACTATCTCGAGCATATTTTAAATCAACCAAGCCAGTGGACAAACTCAGATGTCGACCAAAAAGATCTTCTCTGATGTTTGGTGGGCATTTTATAAAAGCAGTTCCTTTGCCTTTAATTGGGCGCCTACAATATGTTAATTTAGCCTCGAATTTGCTTTTTTCCTTCCCGAAAAATTTATCAATTTTTAATTTCCCAGCCATGTACTCGTCCTTGCTTGTAGACTCGGCAGCTCTTTCAGCTTCCAAGTATGAGGCGTATCGAACAAAACCCCAAGGATTGAACTTCTTGAAGCGTACCAGCTGCTTGACGTGACCAAAGCTTTCAAACTTCTCCCTGACCTCCTCTTCTGTTGTGGCGCGGCTGGTATTCCTCACCAGGACTTTGTTGCTCTGGTCAGGCAGGAGCAGGCACTTGACGGTTCCTCCTTGACCCAGACTCACTCGAAACCCACACTTGTCTTTCCCAGAGGAAGTTTTCAGGAGGCACAACTCTTCCTCTTCAGATTTTAAGACGTCCCAACATGCAACTTTTGTGGGGCCAATCACAGTGTAGCTCAAGTTTACCATAGTAGATGTAGAGTAGATCTCAATGGTACCCAGTTCTCTGTCAGCTTCTACAACAATGTTGGCCATTCCTTCTTCAAGCAACTCATTTTCCAACTGGCGCAGATTACTGTACCTTGGACCAACAATCTTTTGAAATATAAACCTTCCAACTTCCTCTTTGTGCACAACTTTGATCCTCCTCTCCCTGACACTCTGCAGGTTGAGGGAAATTTTTTGGCTGGCAATGGCCTCAGTGACCCAGTCTTCATCAACCACTGTCATTCCTTTGATGAAATCTCTGGAAGTTTTAGTCAACTCTGTGTACACTACCCATTCTGGTTGGGCATTTTGGGACACCAGACTAGAGGATGGATGAAAATGTACTTGTCTTTCTACCAAAGGTACAAAATATCCAGCTTTTATATGGCCCAGATAATGACTCAGTGAAGGGAGGTAAGACAGAAAGATAATTTTTCTCAAAGCGTTGAGAGTTGCCTTATCTTCATTGAAAACATAATCCATGGAAGTACCAAGTTCTTTTTTCAATACAGAAGACACTTCACCAACACATTGCTTGACAAAGTTAAAGATTTTATAATTAATGCTGTTTTCTCTACACCATTTGGACTGTCCAGATTTATCAAGCTTTTCACACTGTTTGTAAACTTGCAAGTGTGTAAATATATCACCAAACTCAGAACTGAAGAGATTTTTTTTCTGGGATGATTTCTGTTGTTCAGACTCTGCTAGGCCCCTGTAAAACAGATTTGTCCCGTGGGTTATCAGAGCTGCCACAACCACAGAGTCATACAGTAAGTTTTCTTTGTTTCCTTGGAAGATTAGGTAGCCTTGTCTGGGGTCAAAGGGTAACTTTGAAATCCATCTCCCAATGTCTGTTATTCCACTTGAGTTCAATGCCCCAAGCTGGTGCAGAAGGGTCAAAGCTGAGTCAATGGCCTCCTTGCTGGGGGGCTGAACAAACTCATACTTGGTACAGTCAATGCCAAGTTCTGCAAGTTTCAGGACAGCTTGACCCAGGTGGACTCGAAGAATTTCTGGATCACTGATGGTGGCCATGGAGTGGTAGCTCTCTTCAGTGTAGAGCCTGTAGCACTTGCCACTGGCAGTACGTCCAGCTCTGCCTTTCCTCTGGTCAGCGGAGCTTTTGCTGATGACGTGTGTCCCCAGAAGATTGATGTTTTTCTTGGGATCATATTTCATTTCTTTGGCCACACCTGTGTCTATAACATACTTAATGCCATCAATTGTAATGGAGGTTTCTGCACAGTTTGTGGCAAAAACTATTTTCCTTACTCCATCTGAAAGAGGCTGAAAGACTTTCTTTTGTTCATCAGGTGGAAGCTGTCCATGAAGTGGAAAACATTTGAAGTCTGCTAGCTGTCTTTCTGTGGCACCTGCTGCTAACTGTTTGACTAACTCTTCACAGCATCTCATGATTTCAACAGGGGAAGTGAGAAAAACAAGAATATCACCAGGACCTTCATTCTTGTGGACATGTACTGCTTTAGCAACCGCTTTCTTTTCATAATCTTCAAACTCATTTGTGTTGTCCATCTCATACAAGACATCTACTGGAAATGTTCTTCCTGAAACTCTCAACTCTGGCCCACATTGGAAGTACCTGATAAAAAGTTCAGGTTCTATAGTGGCTGATGTAATGACCACTTTCAAATCAGGTCTTTTGGGTAAACAAGCTTTGATCATGCCCAGTAGAAGGTCAGTGTAAATACTGCGCTCGTGTGCTTCATCCACAATGATGCAAGAGTACTCAGTGAGCTCTGCATCTTTCAGGCACTCATTTAGCAAACAGTGGTCAGTTGAGAAGATTATTTTGGTCACTTGTGAGACCGTTTTTTTAATTCCAGTTTTGTAGCCAACAAGACCCCCAACTTTCTTCACCATCTCCTTCGCCACACGTTCAGCAAGAGTTATGGCCGCCACTTTACGAGGCTGTGTACAGATGATAGCACCACTTCCTGCTAGACCAGCCTCGTACAGGTACTGGGCTATCTGGGTACTTTTTCCTGAGCCTGTCTCACCCAGTATGACAGAGACTTGGTTTGCCTTAACATGTTCTACAATGTCCTTTCTCCTGGCGTAAATGGGTAAAGCTGTGCTCAGTCGTTGACACTCCACTCCCACTGTCTCAAGGACATTGTTCAAATCTGTCATTGAAGCTGTCAATAGATTCAGCTGTTTCACTCTTTCTTTTAGTTCATTACAATCATCTTCAAAAACTTTCAGCTGTTTAGTTAACTCAACAAATTTATCTCTTAGGGCCAGCTCTTCACTGTTGTCAACATCATCTTCGCTTTCCTCAACAAAAGCAGGTGAATCTAATGTTTTAATAGACTCTTCATTAGAACGATTCTTTTCTTCATGTTTTTTAAGTGCTTCTTCATAAAATCTTATCTTTACTTTATGTTTCTCCATGCTAGAGACCATCTTTCTATCAATGTCACAAACAGTAGCATCAACCTGAGTTCTGAGGTGTTCACTCTTCAGTGGGGGATTCTTGCCTACAGCTGTGTCTGCTATCAAAGGTCGCACAGAGATTCCTTCTAGTCTTACCCTGTTCAGTTTCTTGACAAGCCTGGAGGCAGCAGATTTGCTTGGACAAAACATTTCAAAAATTGTACGAGAATCCAGTAGCTGAACCTCGGACAAATTATCCATACTGACCTGATGGTACAGGTAATTTTGGAAAAAATCTCTGGCTTCAGTTTTACTAGAGAAACTTTTCCCAACAGAAACTGAGACTTTTGTGGGCCGAGGACTTGAAGTCTCTTCAGTTTTAACCAACTTTGATGAATTAACATTTTCAGCCATTTTATTTTGGGCACCATATTTTTTTACAGATGTCTCAACTTTTGTTTTTGGTTTTAAAAAGTCTTGTTCTGGATTAGACCAGGCCCTTGGTTCTTTTCTTTCACCGTCCTGAATGTTGGTTTGTTTGAACGTCTTGTTATCTTCTTCCTCCTGGTCTGGGCTGTTTGCTATCTCAAAACTGACTGGAACATTCAAGGCCATTTTTACATTTTGGCTGAACTCTTTAACTACTTTCTCAGCCATTAATTTATTTGCATTAACAACCAATATGAACTGGCCTTTACTTTTCCCACAAACAACAGATGCTTCATTCAAAGTAACCATGCACTTTTCTGATGTATTTATATGTTGATTAATTATTTCTTTTAAATTCTTCTCACTAGTAAACTGCTTCATGATTTCAATGCTAGCTATAGTTTTGAATGGTCTGGCTGTTTTCTCTAATTTCTTATTTTTTCTCCTGTTTCTAATTTTATTTTTGTTAACAGCTGTTTTGTCAGCAGCTGGAGTTGTGTCCCCTGTCCTGAAATCATCTCCAGTATGACCTTGAGAGTTACTCATTGAGTGATAGCCTCCAGTATGACCTTGAGAGCCATCCTTTGAGTGATAGCCTCCAGTATGACCTTGAGAGCCATCCTTTGAGTGATAGCCTCCAGTATGACCTTGAAAGCCATCCTTTGAGTGATAGCCTTTAGCATGACCTTGAGAGCTATCCTTTGAGTGATAGCCTCTAGCATGACCTTGAGTGTTACTCATTGAGTGATAGCCTCTAGCATGACCTTGAGTGTTACTCATTGAGTGATAGCCTCTAGCATGACCTTGAGTGTTACTCATTGAGTGATAGCCTCTAGCATGACCTTGAGAGCTACCCACAGAGTTTAAACTCTCCATGCTAACTGAAGAGTTTGACCTTGATCCTTGACTGTTTGTGTAAGTTGTGTTGTAGAAGAGGCCGCCTGTCTGCCTGTAGGACTCATCCCATGACTCATCCCATAACTCATCCCGTTCTGTTCTCAGTCCACTAGCTGTCGCCAGCCGCTGCATGCTCCAGTTGTCATGGTTACTATGCTGAACCTGTGCATTTCTCGCGCTTGAGTTGATTTGAGTTGAGCGACTAACTGAAGACTTCTGTGGCCTGCCTGCTCTGCCAAAATATTTTCTTTCAGACATAACAGGATCTGCGTTGACGGAAAATTATTCAGCTGATTTTGTTTTTTAGTAGAACCTTGGTTGTATTGTGAAAAACTGAAAAATAAAAATTTGAACTGGAAAACATTGATTCTCGCATTTTAAAGCCAATGCCCCCTGGTACCCTGCCCCACATTGGGTAGCTAACACACCCAGTAGAAACACTGTTCAAACAATCTTTAACTACCACAGATAAAATGCATCCTAGGACAAAATAAGTGGAATGGCCCACCCTAAAAAAGCTAAAATGTATTGGGCTGTTACAATAACCAGAAGAGATGATCCATAGTATGATTGCACCTGTTGATCCAATGAATGAATGGACCTGTTGATCCATAGTATGAATAGACCTTTTTATTTGACTAAATCTTGTTATTTTTTGTTTTTCTCCAAATTATTTAAGCTCTTAAGGGAACCTGCAGTTGCATTAGGTTTAGCTACTTGAGCCTTAATCTCTGTCACATGACCAAGGCCTGAGAATCAATAGCACTGTTGAAGTTGAGAGCATTAGTGGGATAGACTGATTAGGCAGCCCTTTAAATATATTCCTTTAGGAACTAAAACATTAAGAGTTGGGATTGGGGTTGCAGTATCAATATAATAATGTATTGATTTTTATCTTAGTTTATTGATTTGTATTATGTTCACTATTGCCTTGATTAAACACCTCTTGCCAACAATTCCATTCTTAATTTTTATTTACTTTCAATGTAAATAACATAAAGCAATTTATCTGACAGGCAGTTAACTAAAAATAAAATAGTACAATAAGCCTGGCCTATTACTAAATCTGAAACTTAAAATACTGAAAATTATTTGGCTAAAAAATTAAGAACTGCATATCATTATTTGAAACTAACATTGTAAGCTGTAGGCCTGTACGTACCACACTGTATTAACTTCAACTAAGTTAAAATATTAATTGGCATAATGGTAAAGTAATACTATAATTAATTAATTTATTAGTTCATAATTACTAAATTAGGTAGCCAAAAATCTAGGCCCAAATAGATCTAGACCAGGGGTCTCCAAACTTTTCAGTCCGAGGGCTGCATTAACTATCAAATTTCAGTTCGGGGGCCAGTTTCCTCCAGACATGTCTTTGATTTTTCTGAGCAAAGTTCCTCAGCCATCACCAACAAAGGTTTTTTCCGTGGACAAAAAGATCTCCGCGGGCCGGATGAGAGGACATCGCGGGCCGCATCCTGCCCGCGGGCCGTAGTTTGGAGACCCCTGATCTAGACTGAAAATGTGTTTTATAACATCAATTAATTAGTTAATAATTATGCCTACCCCTGGCTACATGCAATTACTACTAGTAGGCCTATATTTTTTTGTAACAGCCAGTGGCGTGTCCAGGATTGTCTCATGGGGGGGGGGGGGGGTTCACATTTTCTCCACAATTTTATATATATATATATATATATATATATATATATATATATATATATATATATATATATATATATATATATATACTAGCTGTATGTCTTTGCTTCGCTATGATGTAAAATAAATTGTAAGTAGTACTCTGAAGAAATAAGATAAAAAAAACAAACCTAACCCGCCTATGCCACTGGTAACAGCCTTATGATATCATGTTACTCACTAAATCAGTGCAATAATAATAAAAATATTATTGAGTTACCAATTTAAATATATAATTATTACGGTGATACACTACAATATTTTGACTGTTGACTAGGCCTACTACTTACTTGCAGTAGTTATTAAAAATAAAATAGTATGTCTAAAGATATAAAAAAAAAGCTGATTAATAGAAAATAACTGATTAATAATAGGCTATTTTAATACTTAATAGTTAATAGGCATGTGTATTCTAATTTGCATATGTAAACAAATATAATAGTGTAATAATAATAATAATAATAATAGCAGACTCTAAACATAAATAATAATGAAATAAAAATGTTGAGGTACTTATTGCTGTGATGTACTACTATTTTGACTAGATTCTAGATCTATATTCATTAGGCCTGTACTGTTAATAATTACAAATAAAATAGTATGTCTGTCCTCTATCTATATAGTAATAGAAATAACTGATTAATAATAATAATATTAATAATACTCCAATAGGCTAATTAATAGCAAGTATGTACTCTAATAAATAACTAATTTGCATAAGTAAACAAATGTTATAACTGTGGACATACATCAAGTTAACAATCAAATAAGTAAACTTTAGTAGCCTAGATTCTAGTACTAGATCTAGTAGTATAGTTAAGTCAGTTAAGTAGGCCTATAAGTCATAATATTAATAAGTATATACTAATAATACTACTATATAGATCTAGTATAGTAGTATTAGTAAACTATAATACTATAACTAAAAAAAAATTAAAAAAATATTTGGCCCCTAAATATAGGCCTAAGCTTACTGTGATTTCTTCTTCTCAGGATTCAAACATTTTTATTTTTATTACGGGTAAAAACCCAGTCTAGCTCTAGCTTTTGACTGATCTAAAATTGACGATTTCGCGATCATTATTCACTGCAGTATGTCTCTAGATCTAGATCTAGTATATAAAATAATATTCTGAATTATTTTAATTCTTGGAATTCTTCTTTCATTCTTAAGTCTTAAGGCCAGGGAAAATAAAAGTAGGCTAAACACAAACTAATTTAATTTAGCCTATAGTATATAAAGATCATGTTAAATTTAATTAGATAGGCCTATCTGAAATGTACATAGCAATCAGGGGCTTCATGACTAGTTTCATGAAATGTCAACATGCAGGGACAAATTTTATTTGATTAAGGCGACAGCTCTGAATTAAAGTTACACATTCGTTTCTTAGAAAGAGACTGTCATTTCTATTTATAGCTGTTCCGATTCTAAATACTGCTTATTGACTGAACGGATATTACCGATCTCCGACAATAGACTCGTCCGAAAATAGGTGTGTTAGGTTGTTAGTCGTATTGCCCATAGGTTTAGGTCTAAAATTATGGTTAGAACTATGACATGACTTGGGTTAGGACTTGGGATAGTTGGGTTAGGTTTAACATTAGCACGTCATAATTATATTTCTCTAGCCAACAGCAATCTTTCACCCCCTTTTAAGAAGATTGAAGCATTATTGTACTGTGGAATTACCCCCGTAATAATTTATGAAAAGTTTATATAAATTATTAGCCCAAAGACTATTTTTTAAAATCACTATTTTGAGTATATATAGGCCTAGATCTAGCGAATACTACTTGCTAGATCAGTTGATCTAGGATTTAAAATCTAGATCTAGTCTAGTCAGTCTAGACTAGACTAGACCGTCTGGCCCCCGGCGTCTCTAGCTAGTAGTAGTAGCAGTAGCTAGACTCTACCAACTAGAATCTATTTTTACTTCTACTTTTGTTTTGTGGAAGTTGGTCAATTCCAGGAAGTTTCTGATAAGAAATCAACCAACAAACAGTGGGCCAGTGGCTGAGTGGGTCTATTAACTATAGGCCTAAATCTAAAAATAAATCTTACAACGCACATACAGACACATCGGTAGCACTAGTAAGTAGTGATGATATAAAATAGGCCTATAATACTCTATTCTAGACCTCTATACTCTATATTACAATACTGTAATAGATTGAAATAATTGTGAGGTCAAGGGAACTCACTCTTCTGTATTAGTTCTATTTATAATATTGTTATCTTGAGTGATGTCCCTTGTGTACTTCCTTCCGTCCTCTCTGTGTGTTACCATCGTGATGTAGTTAGACCCATTAAACGTGTTATATACAACCACAGGCTTCTGTCGTCAATCTATTATAACTGGCGACGAAGGATAAACATCTACTAGAAAGAGCACCTAATTACGCAAAAAAGAGGTTTGCTAGAGCTTATTAGCTAATTATTTCTAGAATTATGGCGCTGTATGGCCAAATAAAAGAATTTGATGCGAATGATGAAATCATTCAAGATTACCTAGAGAGGTAAAGCTTTTACCTAGAAGCTAACGACGTGACGATAGAAGCCAAAAAGAGAGCTGTTTTGTTAACAGTCATAGGGCCTCAACAATTTAGGCTACTAAAAGACTTATGCGCACCAGCTAATCTAACTACCAAGAGCTTTAACGAGCTGAGCAAATTGCTAACAGACCACCATGCGCCTACCCCATCAAAGTTTTTATGTAGAGCTAGATTTGACAGTAGGACTCGTCAACCAAACGAGTCAATATCAGAATATGTTGCTGCTTTACGTCATTTAAGTGAATTTTGTGAATTTGGAGACACGCTGTCTGACAGATTATGTGAAAAGTTTGTGACAGGTGTAAACAGCCCTGATATTCAAAGAAAGTTGCTGCTCGAGTCAGATCTAAAATTGGAAAAAGCAATACAACTTGCAATGTCATTCCAGCAGTCATCAGATGCGGCGAGATCTTTAGCACCTTCAGAGATCCATGCAGTAAACAGCAGGTTAGTCAATAAACATCAACCCCATCAGAGCATTCCAACTTATGCTAAACAGCCTGCTCGTTCAAATCCTAGATCTAAATCTAGTAATAATTATCAAAAATGTCATCGATGCAAAGGTCCCCATGCATCTCATCGGTGCAAGTTCAAGTCTGCAACTTGTTATAAGTGCAGTGAGCAAGGTCACATTGCCAAGGCCTGCTTTGCAAAGTCTTCGTCTGTTGCTAAATCTAGCCAGTCAAGACAGTACCGCAACCAAAGGCAGCACTATGTTAACTCTCACCAAGACTACCTAACCCAACCAATGAACCACTCTACCTGTGAAAATGCTCAAACTGATTCGCAGCCGGATTTCAACCTATTCTCTGTGAAATCAATAAGTCATGCTCCCATCAATGTACAAGTTAATATCAACGGTAAGAGCATCAGCTTCCAACTTGACACTGGAGCATCTCTAACAGTCATAACAAAGAAAGATTTTGACGCTGTCACAGGAGGATCAGTGCCTCTACAGCCATGTCACAAGTGTCTAACAACATACACTGGTGACAATGTTCCGGTAATAGGAGAGTGTATGGTTCATGTAAGTTATAATGGTCAAAGTGTTAAACTTCCTCTTCTTGTGGTTGAAGGAAATGGACCGCCATTACTAGGTAGGAACTGGTTAAGTGATCTTAAGTTAAATTGGGAGAGTATTTGTTCATTGAAGAATGTAAAAGAATCTAGTCTTACTTCACTAGATAAAGTTATATCTGAAAATAAATGTGTTTTTGGTAATCCAGGATTACTAAATGATAGAACAGTGAAGTTAAGCATTAAAGATACAAATCCAAGATACTGCAAAGCTAGAGTTCCACCTTATGCAATGAGGAATAAAATTGAAAATGAGCTAAGTAGATTGGAATCTAATGGCATTATAAAGAAGGTAGACTATTCCGATTAAGCGTCGCCCATTGTGCCAGTGTTAAAGAAGGATGGTTCTATAAGAATTTGTGGAGATTATAAAACTACACTGAATAAGCAAATAGAGCTAAATAGGTACCCTATACCTAACATTGAGGAAATTTCTTTGAATTTGGCAGGAGGAGACAAATTCACTGAATTAGACTTTAGTCATGCTTACACTCAACTAGAACTGCATCCAGATTCAAAAGTCTATACGACAATAAACACACATAAAGGACTCTACCAATATGAAAGACTATGTTTTGGCATATCATCTAGCCCTGGAATTTTCCAAGCTGTCATGGACAGTATTTTTAAGGATATTCCAAATGTTTGTGTGTACTTTGACAATGTGTACATAACTGGTAAGAATGACACTGAACATCTTAAAACACTTGATAAAGTATTGAAAATTGTTGGTGAAAAAGGTTTAAAGATAAACAAAGATAAATGTCAATTCATGCTGACAGAAATTAGTTTTCTTGGTTATATATTGAGCAAACAAGGCATCAGACCTCAACCTGAGAAAACAAAAGCTATTAAAGAAGCACCCAAACCTGAAAATACCCAACAACTAAGAGCTTTTTTGGGCTTAATAAATTACTATGCAAAGTTCATAGGAAATCTGTCTGGTAAACTATCACCACTGTACAAGCTGCTACAGAAAAATGCAACTTGGCACTGGGGTAAACAACAAGATACTGCTTTTAATACAGCAAAAGAGGCTTTGTCTTCTGACACCTTACTAACTCACTATGACCCAGGGAAAAGACTTATATTAACATGTGATGCTTCACCAGATGGTGTAGGAGCAGTCTTGTCCCACATGGATGAGAAGGGTGACAGACCCATTGCTTTTGCCAGTAGATCTTTGAACCAGGCTGAGAAAAATTATTCTCAGTTAGATAGGGAAGGCTTAGGCATCATTTTTGGTGTTAAGAAATTTCATAAGTTTCTGTTTGGTAGGAAGTTCACCATCTTTACAGATCATAAACCATTGCTAGGTTTATTTGGAGAAAACAAAACCCTACCTGAGCATGCCTCACCAAGAATTCAAAGATGGGCTATCACACTAACTGCATACAATTATGAATTGAAATACAAACCTGGATCTGAGAATAGTGCAGATAGTCTTAGTAGATTACCTTTAAAAAACCAAAGCCTGAGCTATGTACCAGAAGATGTATTTGTTCTCTTCACTATCATGGATAACTCCAATATAAATGTGAATGATATTAAAAGAGAAACACAAAAAGATGAGTGCTTAATAAAAGTATATGAGCACTGTATGAATGGTTGGCCTGAAGAGTCTGTGAATGATGACTTAAGGCCATATAAAATAAGAAATAAAACCCTTTGTGAAGATAATATAAAAGATGGAGAAGATGCAGTCCATTACCAGTCAGAGTTGCCTAAACAAAGTACTTGTAACTTGATAAATGATTATGGTGATATGGCAATTTCAAATGTTTTAAAGAGAATACATTAGTAAGAAGGAATGTGATCATCAAACAACTTTGCTAACATCATTAGCACTTACAGAAACTAAAAGGGTAACATCAAAAGAAAAAAAAAAGATTTTTGCCATTTAATACTTTCAGATGCCAATTCAAAAATAGTTCCATTAAATCATGACAAACATTCATTGAAAGAAAATTTGGTGTTAATAAGAATGTGTATCTAAGAAATTATGGGAGAAAGGAAAAATGGATACCAGGTCAAATTGTTCAATGTACAGGACCTGTGCCTTATAAAGTTAAAAATAACTTGTGCAGATAATAAGTGTGAATCTATCAATCCCACCAAATCTGAACAGTTCACACCAACTCAGTTTGTTTCACAACCAAGTTCTGTTGATATGAGTGAACCAAGTTGTCTGGAGTCAGAAAATGTAAATTCTGGAGTTAATGATTTAAATCCTAGACCTCCTGAGATAGAGAATCCAGATGGTCAGAATCTTGAGTCACCAAATCAAAAGCCACTGAGAAGGTCAAGCAGGACAATCAAAGTCCCAAATAAGTTAGACCTATGATTTTAAAGGTCAAGAGGACTTTGACATTATTGTTTTGTATCTTGATTATGTTGTGGCATATTGTGCATTGTTTGTAAGGATGTAATCTACCATAGTGTTCATGTTACAATATAATTGGTGATTTTAGGATACTATCAATTGTTCTATTGAGAGATGTGTTATTGTGTTCTAAGGGTAAAGGGATGTAATAGATTGAGATAATTGTATTGGTATTATATTTATATTGTTATCTTGAGTGATGTCCCTTACATGTTGTTATCTATAAATAGTTGTCTCTCGCCACTTCCTTCCTCTCTTTGCATCATGGCTGTCTGTAAATAAAAGGCTGTTAACACCAATGTGGCTCCTCGTCAATCTATAACAAATACTATAGATCTCTTTTATAGACTCTAGAGTTGACCATAAATTTAACAACATTATTTATTCACACTAGTCATACATAGTCATAGATTAGAGCTATCTACATTCTACAGTATGGGCAAAACATGTCACATCTTATTTAGAATCTAGTAGATTCTTCAATCTAGTCATATATTTAACTAGGCATATATATATATATATATATATATATATATATATATATATATATATATATATATAAAGGGATATATTTATATAACATATGTATATAATATATGTATATATATATATATATATATATATATATATATATGTATATATATGTATATATATGTATATATATGTATATATATGTATATATATGTATATATATGTATATATATGTATATATGTATATATATGTATATATATGTATATATATGTATATATATATATATATATATATATATATATATATATATATATATGTATATGTATATGTATATATATGTATATATATGTATATGTATATATATATATATATATATATATATATATATATATATATATATATATATATATATATATATATATATATATATATATGTATATATATCTATAATATAAGCGGGCTGTGTCTGTCCTTCCTTCCTTCCTTCCTTCCGTCCGTCATCGCTATAGATTTTGGGACTATAAAAGTAAACTACGCACCATGCTGTGCTTTTCAGTGCACCGCAGTGTCTTATTATAAGTATTAGAGTAGGGTTTGTTTATATAGCGGCATAGAGCTATTTTATAATTTCCACTGTTTGTACAATTTTGCATAACGTAAAGAGAATATTAAATACACGCACATTGCTAAAACATATTAAAAGGATCAATGTCAAATATCGTTTTCGTTAATATTCCTAGAAAAAGTGGATACATTTTAATAACATAATAACTGTAGGTTAGAAAAATCAAATGGATTTAACTCTTTTCTAATTTTGACAAAGGAGGTAATTTAAAAATACATTAAACTCACGCTAATAAAAAATGTGAATGCAAATATACGTTCGTCATAGAAGGAATTAGTGTTGCAATAATATAATTAGCAAAATGTGAATGCAAATTATTCGGATGTCTAAGAGGAAATTATAATTAGAAAATTATAATTAGCATGGATTGATAAAAGGCAATCTTTTATTTATTTTATTCACTGAATGTAGGCCCTACTGTTTATTACTTATAATTTTTAATCAACTATTCAGCACTATTATAGACGCGTCATCACGTTCATTAGGTGCGCAATGGTTTTAGTTATGAAACTCTATTGTAAATTTTTAAAATTTAAAGTACTGGAAAAAAAATGCGTGAATGGATAAAGTGAAATATTGTATATATTATAGATACTGCCTATTATTTATACTGTTTTCTAATTATTATTCTATCTTTCGGGTTTTATAGGAGAGGCGTAGCGAGGGGGGGGGGCATATATCCCCGGGTGCCGACCTTAGGGGGCGCCAAAGTGGGTTGGAAAAAATTTGTGAGGGGGGGGGTGGTGGAAATCGAAAGTTTTAGGGCGGGGGGGGGGGGGGGGGGAAGGGGTGCAAATCGAAAGTTTGAGGGGGGTGCAAATCACCGAAAAGGGCGCGATTTGGCGCTACGGGCTAGACTGTGAGCAATATGCCTTTATGATTGCATTTAAATTGTGTTTATATTATGAGTGTTGTTTGTTTTTTCGTTTTTTTTTTTTGCGTTCGTTTTTGTTGTGTTTAGTTTTGTTCTGTTCCCAAGTTGGTACATCTATAATAATAGTTTCGCTGTCTGTCTATCTATCTATCTATCTATTTATCTGTCTGACAAGAACGCTCTAGAGAAAAGACAAGCAATTTAAAAACATGCATAGTAATTCGAAAAACGAAGTATGACGTCGACACATTTAGCGCACAGAGTAGAAAATAATCTCACAGTAATATAATGACGTCATTGATTCTGGCGTAAATATTGAATAAAGAGGAAATGTTGTCTAATCTAAGTGGTTTGCGTGAAGAGTTTCTTGCATACAATTCTTCGGGTAGGGGCGAAGCCCCACCCCCCGCGTAAGAACGTCTGAGCCCCTCCCCCTCCCCAACTCAAAAGAAATTTCCTCATCGATACTCTATAATAAAATTACCGCCTAATTAATGTGTCTAATCTAAAAAGTGGTTTTCTTGCAATGGGACGGTAGACATGATTTTTTTTTGGGGGGGGGGGGGGGGGTGGAGGGGTTGGGGGGGGGGGAGTGTGTGTGTGGGGGTGGTGTGTGTGGGTGGGGGGGGTGTGGGGGGTGGGTTGGTTTCAGTGTTTCTTTCAGACTTTTTCCTCCCCGGAGAGGGGTGGGGGTACTTGAAATTTTCGGGGGCGGGGGTAGAATTTTCTGGGAGGGGGCGGACACTGGAAAAAGTATATAATTATATTTCGTTGAATGGGACGGTAGACATGTTTTTTTTTTGGGGGTGGGGGGGTGGTGGAGGGGTGGGGGTGGGGGGGTGGTGTGTGGGGGGGTGGGGTGGGGGGGGTGGGGGGTGGGGGGGGGGTTGGTTTCAGTGTTTCTTTCAGACTTTTTCCTCCCCGGAGAGGGGTGGGGGTACTTGAAATTTTTGGGGGCGGGGATAGAATTTTCTGGGAGGGGGCGGACACTGGAAAAAGTATATAATTATATTTCGTTGAATGGGACGGTAGACATGTTTTTTTTTTTTTTTGGGGGGGGGGGGGGGGGGGTGGGGGGTGGGGGGCGGTGTGTGGAGGGGGTGGTGTGTGGGGGTGAGGCGTGGGGGTGGTGTGGGGGTGGGGGTGGGGGTGGTGTGTGGGGGTGGGGGTGGTGTGTGGGGGGGTGGGTTGGTTTTAGTTTAGAGAAAAGAGACAGCACTATCAGCCTAGCGCCCGTGGTACCCTTCCTCAACGGGCCATTTTTCTCGTTTAAAAAAGATTTACAGTGGCGGAGCACGGGATGCAGCTAGTATATATATATTTATATATTTATATACATATATATATACATATATATATATATATATATATATATATATATATATATATATATATATATATGTTTCATTGTTAATTTAACAATGAATATCCAAATGTAAACATTACAATAGATGAGTCATTGTATTTTATAGTTATTTAAATAGTAGTATATTATTATATATTTAAAGAAAATCATTTATGTTCTACATTTTAAAAATTTACAATAGAGTTGCCTGACTAAAAACCATTGCACTCTTAATGAACATGATAATGTGCATGCAATAGTTGGATAAGACAGCCGAGTAATTAGGACAAAATTTCCACAGACAGACTGATGACAGAGGATTGAGAGGAAGCAAGTTAAATGAAAGCTTGTAAAAACTTTGCATCTTTTGAATCATCAATGATTTTGTGATAAGAAAGTATGAAATGTTCACCAACTTTAATCACATGATATAAACAAAAGATGTTAATTGACAATAATCACATGATATAATCGCAACCTTTATATTTCTGCTTCTCCTTAGGGATGAGCCACAACAATGTCAGAGAAAAGAAAAAATGTCTGGCCAGGTAAACAAGGGGGCTCCAGGTCTTACAAAGTTTCCAACAGCCAGTTTGCTTACAGCCACCAGGGTCCTGCTCAGATCAATGCCCACACAAGCACAAGTCTCTATGACTGTGCTTCAAGTACCAGAGTTCATGATGATGATGATGAGGGGTGCAGGGCAGCAGAGAGGCGTGAGGTCTACCAAGGCACCTCCACCAGCTTACACAGAAACCACATTGACCCAAGATATCAGCCCAGCGCCTGTAACATGAGACCAAGGTCAAGGATGCAATCTTTAGGCAGCGTTGACAGTTTAGAGTCTGCCAGTAGCTCACCAGGTGATGATCACATTAGAAGTAACAACAGGGAGAATAACGCTGCTCACAGAAAAGGATTTGGCAGACCACAGAGCTCCAGAACTCCAAACTCTTCCATCAGCTACACACCACAGCTTCGGCCCTGTGAGGGTGCTCAGTGGGATCCTACTCCACCCAACCCCAGGACAAGACATGCACAGCACACTAACCCTAGTGGGGGTGCTCACTGGGAGGAAATCTATGACAGGAATCAGAACCAATTCCCTGCAGATTCTCACAGAAGTGCACACAGCTATACTAGTCATAAGCCCAACAGAAGCTCTGGCTACAACAAAACTTACACAAACCATAATTTAGTGGAAGTCAAGTCTAGATATCCTCGGCAAGTAGACACTGTATGTCATGTTAGACCAGCATCAAGATCAAACTATACAATCAGCATGGAGAGTTTAAACTCTGTGGGTGGCTCTCAAGGTCATGCTGGAGATGATTTCAGGACAGGGGACACAACTCCAGCTGCTGACAAAACAGCTGTTAACAAAAATAAAGTTAGAAACAGGAGAAAAAATAAGAAATTACAGAAAAGAGACAGACCATTCAAAACTATTGCTAGCATTGAAATCATGAAGCAGTTTTCTAATGAGAAGAATTTAAAAGAAATAATTAATCAACATATAAATACATCAGAAAAGTGCATGGTTACTTTGAATGAAGCATCTGTTGTTTGTGGGAAAAATAAAGGCCAGTTCATATTGGTTGTTAATGCAAATAAATTAATGGCTGAGAAAGTAGTTAAAGAGTTCAGCCAAAATGTAAAAATGGCCTTGAATGTTCCAGTCAGTTTTGAGATAGCAAACAGCCCAGACCAGGAGGAAGAAGATAACGAGACGTTCAAACAAACCAACATTCAGGACGGTGAAAGAAAAGAACCAAGGGCCTGGTCTAATCCAGAACAAGACTTTTTAAAACCAAAAAGAAAAGTTGAGACATCTGTAAAAAAATATGGTGCCCAAAGTAAAATGGCTGAAAATGTTAATTCATCAAATTTGGTTAAAACTGAAGAAACTTCAAGTCCTCGGCCCACAAAAGTCTCAGTTTCTGTTGGGAAAAGTTTCTCTAGTAAAACTGAAGCCAGAGATTTTTTCCAAAATTATCTGTACCATCAGGTCAGTATGGATAATTTGTCCGAGGTTCAGCTACTGGATTCTCGTACAATTTTTGAAATGTTTTGTCCAAGCAAATCTGCTGCCTCCAGGCTTGTCAAGAAACTGAACAGGGTAAGACTAGAAGGAATCTCTGTGCGACCTTTGATAGCTGACACAGCTGTAGGCAAGAATCCCCCACTGAAGAGCGAACACCTCAGAACTCAGGTTGATGCTACTGTTTGTGAAATTGATAGAAAGATGGTCTCTAGCATGGAGAAACATAAAGTAAAGATAAGATATTATGAAGAAGCACTTAAAAAACATGAAGAAAAGAATCGTTCTAATGAAGAGTCTATTAAAAGATTAGATTCACCTGCTTTTGTTGAGGAAAGCGAAGATGATGTTGACAACAGTGAAGAGCTGGCCCTAAGAGATAAATTAGTTGAGTTAACTAAACAGCTGAAAGTTTTTGAAGATGATTGTAATGAACTAAAAGAAAGAGTGAAACAGCTGAATCTATTGACAGCTTCAATGACAGATTTGAACAATGTCCTTGAGACAGTGGGAGTGGAGTGTCAACGACTTAGCACAGCTTTACCCATTTACGCCAGGAGAAAGGACATTGTAGAACATGTGAAGGCAAACCAAGTCTCTGTCATACTGGGTGAGACAGGCTCAGGAAAAAGTACCCAGATAGCCCAGTACCTGTACGAGGCTGGTCTAGCAGGAAGTGGTGCTATCATCTGCACACAGCCTCGTAAAGTGGCGGCCATAACTCTTGCTGAACGTGTGGCGAAGGAGATGGTGAAAAAAGTTGGGGGTCTTGTTGGCTACAAAACTGGAATTAAAAAAACGGTCTCACAAATGACCAAAATAATTTTCTCAACTGACCACTGTTTGCTAAATGAGTGCCTGAAAGATGCAGAGCTCACTGAGTACTCTTGCATCATTGTGGATGAAGCACACGAGCGCAGTATTTACACTGACCTTCTACTGGGCATGATCAAAGCTTGTTTACCCAAAAGACCTGATTTGAAAGTGGTCATTACATCAGCCACTATAGAACCAGAACTTTTTATCAGGTACTTCCAATGTGGTCCAGAGTTGAGAGTTTCAGGAAGGACATTTCCAGTAGATGTCTTGTATGAGATGGACAACACAAATGAGTTTGAAGATTATGAAAAGAAAGCGGTTGCTAAAGTAGTACATGTCCACAAGAATGAAGGTCCTGGTGATATTCTTGTTTTTCTCACTTCCCCTGTTGAAATCATGAGATGCTGTGAAGAGTTAGTCAAACAGTTAGCAGCATGTGCCAAAGAAAGACAGCTAGCAGACTTCAAATGTTTTCCACTTCATGGACAGCTTCCACCTGATGAACAAAAGAAAGTCTTTCAGCCTCTTCCAGATGGAGTAAGGAAAATAGTTTTTGCCACAAACTGTGCAGAAACCTCCATTACAATTGATGGCATTAAGTATGTTATAGACACAGGTGTGGCCAAAGAAATGAAATATGATCCCAAGAAAAACATCAATCTTCTGGGGACACACGTCATCAGCAAAAGCTCCGCTGACCAGAGGAAAGGCAGAGCTGGACGTACTGTCAATGGCAAGTGCTACAGGCTCTGCACTGAAGAGAGCTACCACTCCATGGCCACCATCAGTGATCCAGAAATTCTTCGAGTCCACCTGGGTCAAGCTGTCCTGAAACTTGCAGAACTTGGCACTGACTTTACCAAGTATGAGTTTGTTCAGCCCCCCAGCAAGGAGGCCATTGACTCAGCTTTGACCCTTCTGCACCAGCTTGGGGCATTGAACTCAAGTGGAATAACAGACATTGGGAGATGGATTTCAAAGTTACCCTTTGACCCCAGACAAGGCTACCTAATCTTCCAAGGAGACAGAGAAAACTTACTGTATGACTCTTTAGTTGTGGCAGCTCTGATAACCCATGGGACAAATCTGTTTTACAGGGGCCTAGCAGAGTCTGAACAGCAGAAATCATCCCAGAAAAAAAATCTCTTCAGTTCTGAGTTTGGTGATATATTTACACACTTGCAAGTTTACAAACAGTGTGAAAAGCTTGATAAATCTGGACAGTCCAAATGGTGTAGAGAAAACAGCATTAATTATAAAATCTTTAAATTTGTCAAGCAATGTGTTGGTGAAGTGTCTTCTGTATTGAAAAAAGAACTTGGTACTTCCATGGATTATGTTTTCAATGAAGATAAGGCAACTCTCAATGCTTTGAGAAAAATGATCTTTCTGTCTTACCTCCCTTCACTGAGTCATTATCTGGGTCATATCAAAGCTGGATATTTTGTACCTTTGGTAGAAAGACAAGTACATTTTCATCCATCCTCTAGTCTGGTGTCCCAAAATGCCCAACCAGAATGGGTAGTGTACACAGAGTTGACTAAAACTTCCAGAGATTTGATCAAAGGAATGACAGTGGTTGATGAAGACTGGGTCACTGAGGCCATTGCCAGCCAAAAAATTTCCCTCAACCTGCAGAGTGTCAGGGAGAGAAGGATCAAAGTTGTGCACAAAGAGGAAGTTGGAAGGTTTATATTTCAAAAGATTGTTGGTCCAAGGTACAGTAATCTGCGCCAGTTGGAAAATGAGTTGCTTGAAGAAGGAATGGCCAACATTGTTGTAGAAGCTGACAGAGAACTGGGGACCATTGAGATCTACTCTACATCTACAATGAAGAAGGAGGCCCTTAAAAAAATAATGAGATCAAAATATGATCTAAGAACAGTTTTGACATTGGAGGAAGAGGAGTTACCACTTTTGAGAGTAGATCACGGAGAACCTGAATGTGGGTTTCGAGTCATTCTTGGTCAAGGGGGAGAAGTCAATCTTCTGCTCATGCCTGACCAAAGCACTGAAGTCCTGGTCACAAACTGTACTCACAACACCACAGAGGAAATGATCAGGGCCAAGTTTGAATGTTTTGGAGCAATAAAAGAAATAATATCCTTTAGAAAATCGGAGCCCTGGGGTTTTGTTAGATACAGCTCACCAGCTGAAGCAGAGAGAGCTGTTGAAGGTACACAGAAGGATGAGACACATGTTGGTAAACTAAAAACTCAACAGAAGAAAAAGAGAAATTATTCTGCTAAACTTTCCTGGTGCAGAAGACCCATTAAACCACCTGGGACTGCCTTTATAGTGTGTCCAGCGGTGGAGAAAGCAGGATTGGTTGGACGCTACTTATCTCTGCCTACTGGAATGTTTGAAATTCAAATTTCCAAAAATGAGAATGACTTAATGTGCTTTAAAACAGGGTCAGCAAGTGAAACTGAGATCAAAAGTGCAGTTTTACATTTACTGGATAATAGGGAATACTTAGAAAAACAAATACGTGTAAGCCTAGTCCGCAATAAAGTCAATGCCCCAACCAACATTGAAATGTCCTGCTACAAACAACAATTGGTTGAAGAATTTGAAAAATATATCTCTCGACATAAATTTGAACTGGATTTGATACTACCAAAAGAGAACCATGTTGATCATATTGGTTTCATTCAATTTGATGACCCAGTAGCTGGACTGGCTGCTTGTGATTCTGTAAGAGGATGCACAATTTTTGGCAGCTCTATTCAAATCCACCTAAACCTCAAGACCACTTTTCATGTACCCCAGTTCATCATGAGAGTCTCAGAAAATCAGCTGGATGAAATTCGTGAAGGTTTGCAGAAGTACAAGCAGATTGTGGTGTCCAAACGAATCATAAAAAACAAGAACTTTATCATTGAAGTATCATCAGAGAAAGCTCATGAGATAGCTGAAGCTAGAGACTTGATACAGAAGGTGCTGGAAGGTGAGATCATCCAGTGTGGTGAGGATAATCTATTAAAAAAACTTCTCAATCGTGAGGGGAAAGCATTTTTACGTGAAATACAACAATCTTTATCAACTGTCATAGTCATTGATGAACGCAGAGAAAAACTTCATCTCTATGGAAGTCCAGAAAATATTAGCCAGTGCAAAATAGAGATCAATAAATATTTGGATAAAATCAATCAAGGATACCATAAGATTGCCAGCTTAAAAGGGCCAGGGAAACCAGTAGGTCTAATGAAAGCTTTGATGGCAGAGTTCCAAAATCTCCGTGATGACCTTGTTGAAACGTTTTCTCTTAGTGATGTCATTATAAATTTCAAACTGCAAGAACTGTCACTTATTGGGGATAGAGAGTCTGTAGACAAGGCGTTGGCGAGAATAGCTGAGGTGGAAGCTTCCCTGGCTAGAAATCCTGGCATTGATGGGGATAAAGTTTTACCAGATTGCGGCATATGCCTGAGTCCAGTAGACACAGCAGAAGATCTGTACAGGCTTGAGGGCTTTGGGCATGGCTACTGCCTGGGCTGTCTCAGGCTCCAGCTTGACGATGCTCTGGGGGAAAACAAATTCCCAGTAAAATGTGAACGTCAGACATGTGGTCTGCCTTTGGTTTGGAGAGATTTCCAGTTTATGGTCAAGAGAAAGTGGGTAAACAAAGCAAAACTGCTGCAAAGGTCTCTGAACGCATTGGTTTCTCTGAATCCCAGCAAGTACAAATTCTGCTTGACCCCCAACTGTCCTATCGTGTATGAGGTGACTACCTGTGAAGAGGGCAATGAGTTTACCTGCCCATCCTGCTCTGTCAGCCTGTGCACCTCCTGCCACACAGTGTACCATGCAGGTCTCACCTGTAAAATGGCTGCAACCACAAAGGAAGCAGATTTAAATATAGACCAATGGATACGAGCTGACCCCAACAACAGAAAGCACTGTCCCAAATGTACAACTGTGATAGAAAAAAGTGAAGGATGCAATAAGATGCATTGCAGTGGGTGTAAAATCTACTTCTGTTGGATTTGTTTGGCAGATTTTCAATCAGGGCAAGAATGTTACGCTCATCTGGTTAAAAAGCATGGTGGTTTTTTTGATTAATTAAAAAATTAAGCTATATTTACCTTTGGATTTTTCTATAGGCAATGCTTCCATGCTTTAAATACTTATTTAATTTGATTTTTATGCAATGTTTGTTTTAAGCTTTAAATTAAACCTTCAAATTAAAACTATCAGCAATGGTTTGGTGTAAGCAGAGAAGGACAAGAACTTCCTTTACAATTAAGAGCAACAATATACAGCATAATAAAAAGACTTGAAAGATTATAAAAAAAATTTGGCTAAAATGTCTGTGTTGGAAAAAGAAGTTTGTATCATTAATGTGGCTTAAGCTAAGTAATGTTCAGAAAGCATTTTTAACCATTTTTTTTACTTCTGTTAGACATTCAGATTTTGTTTTATGTGTCGACTAATTTGCTAATAAAATGTAATCCACACTGTAACCTGTATAATCTCAGTCCTTTAAATGAAGAGGATCACAAGAAAATACATTATAATAATTATAGACAATCATAAAATTAGCTTTTTGTAAAAAAAGTTTTCCTTCATAGGTAGTATGCTTAAATCAACCTTTACTATATATATAAGCGGCTAGGTAGTGTGTCAGTACGTCATGGCTATAGATTTTGGAACCATAAAAGTAGACAGCAGCATGCAGTGCTTTTCAGTGCATCGCAGTGTCTTATTATAAGTAATAGAGTAGGTTTTTTTTATATATAACGACGTAAAGTTATTTTATAGTTGCCACTGTTTTTACAAGCTTTTATTTAACTCACTTCCTCGTCGGTCTGTCTGTCTAGACGGAAACACAGGAGTGAAAATTCGGACAGTTCTACTTGACCGATACGATTCACAGTTGGCACGTGGGTCAAGACGTGAAGACAATGCAATCTAAAACTAAATTTGACTTAATTGGATGCCTAATTAATTTTTTATGAATTAATAAAAATTTGAACCGAATTAGTAGGCATGTCTAGCCAACCACACCACACGCGTCATCACCTTCAATAGCTGCGCCATCACGTAATGGCTGCGTTCAAAAACCATTGCGCGCCTACTGAACGTGATGTTCAGTAGGCGCGCAATGGTTTTTAGTCATGTAACTCTATTGTAAATAAAACATGTAAAGTACTGAAAAAAAAATTCATAAAAAACGTTTTAATAACAAGCTTTTATGTAATGATGCACTAAAAAGTAGAAAATAAATTATACACTACTATTTAAATTACTATAAAGAAAAGCGTGGGTGTCTTCCTTAACATTAGTAAAGGTATCCAATAGATACTAAAGTGACCAACGCTTTTCTTTATAGTAATTTAAATAGTAGTGTATAATTTATTTTCTACTTTTTAGTGCATCATTACATAAAAGCTTGTTATTAAAACGTTTTTTTATGAATTTTTTTACTCTTTTGCATAACGTAAAGAAAATATTAAATACACGCACATTACTAAAACATATTAAAAGGATCAATGTTAAATATCATTTTCGTTTATATTCCTAGAAAAAGTAGATACATTTTTATAACAGTAGGGCGAAAAAACTAATTAATTCAACTCTTTTTTTGTAATTTTTTGCAAGGGAGGAAATTTAAAAATAAATTTAACTCATATCAATAATTTAAGTTAATTTTTTTTATTACTACCGCATTGATTATTATATGTTAAGGTTCATAATTTAAAAAGAAAAATGTTAAGATTATTTATATTATTTTCTAATTAGTCTATGATCTCTCAAAATCACTACTTTTTGTTTTTGTTTTTCGGTGTTAACAGATAGTGAAATTTTAGAATTAGAGTATAATTTGGTATAGAGAATGCTGGAAAAGATCTCTCTGGGAGCGGACGCCTCGGAAAAGCGTGTTTTTCGGTGGTGATTCTAATTACATTGCCAATGTGTTTTCTTAGAACTATAAAAGTAAACACCACTTGCCGTAAATTTATTTGCATCGCATCGTTTTATTATAAGTTATGGAGTAGGATCTATTTATGTGACTTAAATTTTTTATGCTGGGAAGACTGTCTTTGGGCGCGGACGCCTAGGAAAGCGTGTTGTTCGGTGGTGATTCTAATGTTGTGGTTGTGTTGTTGTTTTGCTTTTTTTTATGCTGGAAAGGCTCTCTTTGGGCGTGGACGCCTAGGAAAGCAAGTTGTCCGGTAGTGATTCTAAGGTTGTGTTGTGGTTGTGTTTGTGTTGTGTTTTTGTTTGTTTTGTTCTGTTTCCAAGTTGGTACATTTAAAAAAGATTTACCGTGGCGGGGCACGGGTATGCAGCTAGTATATATATATATATATATATATATATATATATATATATATATATATATATATATATATATATATATATATATATATATATATATATATATATATATATATATATATATATATATATACACTAAGCAGTTTAAACAGGCTGTGCCATTATTGTAACTATTGAAACTAATGTATTAGGCCTAATATATTTTAGATGAGAAATTAAAACTTTTTAAAAAATTATGAAAGAACTGAATTATTATTTTATAGACTATATCGCAAAATTTGTTTTACTGATGTCATAAATAGTGAACTAATTATTATAACTTAAGTTTTAAAAAATGCTAACTGATTTTGTTATTATATATAGTATGACCACAAATGAATATTGTCAATATTTTGACTGTACCAAAAATTGATCCTGATTACATAATTCAATGGTTAATTGGTTATGGGTTTAAAAAGGTTCAAAATAATGTTTGTAAAAAACATTAACTAGATAATGTTGTGCGCCTACCTAATCAACAAGGATTAAAAGAATTTTAAAGTTGCTTCTTTCAAAAGCATTTGTCATTGATAAACATTCATTAATTTTGCCTCCAAACAAAGTTTTAAAAATAATTAGCATATAATTTCTCTTTTTTTTAAAATTTATTTTGCTGTTATTTTTAAAAAAATCTGTTTTTACAAATATGTTTTGTAGGCGATTATTTGTATCATTATTTGTATCTTCAATAGAGCGTAATCCATATTAATTTATTTGTAGTTGCTAATATAAAATTTAAAAGGTCTTTCTTTTTGCAATAAATAATTAAAGGATGCATATGACAATGCTTTGTTAATGAATTAAAATTATGAAATGTAGCTGGTAGTTGTTTTTTGAATACTTTTTAAAAATAATTTCATCTATTTATTTTCATATTTATGCTAGTGTAAACCAAAGTTGATGTTCTTATAATTATCTGCCCATTGTCTCAGTCATCTGCTGAGTAATTCTGCAACGAGCAGCCAAGTCCAATTTTTGATGTCTTTCATCCAGTGACGTCTTTGACTTCCCCTTCTTGCACAGTGCCTTCATTTTTGTTTTGAATAGGCCATGGATACTTAGGATTAGACTAGTTCTACATTTTTTATCATCAATAGTTAACATTTGTTTTTAGGCCAATACTCACTACATAATTATCACACCAGTTTTATTTAAATATTTAAGCTATACTGTCACGATATTTGACATTTGTTGGTCTAAAAATAGTTATTTTATAACACAAATACTCTAACCTACAACTAATAATAGTAGTTATTTACATTAAAATATGATGGTCTGGTTAATCTAATGTATCAATTCTTCCATAGTGAAAATTGTAGAGATTGCAGCTGGGTTCATTTCAAAGATTTAATTTCAATAAAGAAAGAAAAAACAGATTTTAATTATGACACTCTAACATTTATTGCAGGAACATCACAAAAAGATAAAAATACAACATGGTTTAAAAAACAAAACAAAAATTTAAATACAAGACCTTAATCACCGGGTAAATAATGTAAACACAAATACAACTAGGAGATAGCTTTAAACCCACACACTAATAAAACATTTGTAAATAGGAATCATTATTTTTAATATTATTTAGATAGCACACTAATAAAACATTTGTTAATAGGAATAATTATTTTTGATATTATTTAAACAGCTTTAACTAATAAATCATTTGTAAATAGGAATAATTATTTTAAATATTATTTAGATAGCACACTAATAAAACATTTGTAAATAGGAATAATTCTGTTAAATAGTTTATGCTAAATAGAGGAAAAACAATCACCAATCTTAAAAATTTGCAAAATATAGTAACTGGTTAATTTAATAAAAACATTCTTTTTTATCTAGCCTTATTTTCAGTTGACAAATTATTAAAATATCATATTGCCGGAGCATACAGAATTTGATATAATAACATCAGTCAACTTTTTTTTCAAGGTAAAAAGAGTTTAAAAGTAAACTAGCATAATGAAAAAATCTGTATCAGATTTTAAAATAAAAATCATCTCCACAGTAAGGGGAAGTAAGTAGTTACCACAGGGAGAGGGCTGAGTTATTTCAAAATAGAAATAAATAAACCAGAATACAATAAGCATTGCTACACAGCAATGGAAAAGCAAATAAAAATGGAAAGCTATGCCATTCTACCAAGTCAAATGTCTTTTAAGAAACATGTATTGAATGGTGTACAGAGCTAAGATCTAGCTAAGTCATGTGTGAAAATGGTAGGTACTTCATAAAGAGGCACAGATTTTAGTGTAATTATATTGCAGGCCAATAGTAAAAACATGAAAGAGGCAGTCTAGTCTGAGTCATCCAGAGATTGAGAGAGTTCAACTTATGCATGTAGTATGTTCTATATTTTTATATGCTTGCATGCATTTTGCAATTGAGACCAACATGGTAGATGGTGTGACATGATGTGCAGACACTTAGTGAGCAAACTGGACAATTGAATTCTGACCCCTCCTCTGTGCTAGTGACCTCATACACAACTGGACAATCAGGGGTCAAACAAAACTTGTATTTGTCTGAATGATTCAGCACAAAGTGGTCAATAGACTTGGTCACTAGGATGTCAGACAGGAGCCATTCATTCTCAAAGAGAGCTTTCAAGTCCCTCCAGGCCAAAGGTGACTTGCAGCTTTCAACAGCACATGTAAGGGGGAAATCTCTGCCTTCAACACAGGCATTCATGCTTATAATCAAGCACATTACACAGTAGCAGTGTCCACAGCACTCAAGTCTGTACAGGTCAGATTTATCAGACACTGGACACTTGCACATGATGCAGTAGGGCATCCATGGACCTTCCTGTGGACCTTGAGCATACAGGTACGACACAGCTAGGTCACCAATCGTGGCTAGTGCTCTATCCACTGCACCACTCTCACCCAACAAAGTGATCTGTTGTTGTTTTAAGTTGGTGTCAATATCTATCAGTTCCAGCTGATCATTGACTCCATCTGGCCATGAGCCGTACAAATTTGCCAGAACTTTCAATATGCCCAGTAGATATCTTGAATCTCTCAAAGAGATAACCTTTTTGTTCCTGCCTAGTTTATTGAGATATTCCTTGATATAATTCTGAGCATTGGTCACATTTTCTGCAGTTCCATAGAAATGGATCCTCTCCTTGCGGCTGTCAACAATGATCACCACGGAGTGGCTCTTCTCAACCTCTTCCAACAGCTTCTCTCCTTGTGCTTTGACCAGTATTTTAAGGATGTCGTTTCCCCTACATTCCACTGTCAGACCTTCCAGCTCATTAATCCATGTAATAAATATATTTTGAACAGTAAAACTGGAAATATCAAACGTTCTAGCAAGCTCAATTACAGGGTAATGGTGCCTTAATCTAACCAACATTAATAAAAATTGGTCATGTGTACACAGACATTCACAAGACTGAGTATAAATGTAATTTAATTTATCAACCCCTCTCCCTAATGTCCACAACACAGTAAAAAAAAAGTTGCTGTACTGTCCAAGCCAGTGTAGTGATTGATAAGTTTGTCATTGTCCTTTATCCTTTCAAATGAAAGATAACGTTGTTTAACTGATTCTTCTAATACATTTGTCTCCTCTTCTGTGGTATTACTGCACCCAATAGCTATTACTTCTGGACCTGGGTCTTCACAGAACTCACCAACAATTTCTTCAGCCCCAATGTCTAGGTTGCACACAACCATTTCTGATGCTCCTGGGTCTTCAACTGTTGATCCTTCACCCAAGACACATTTCACCACAGTAATGTTGTCCTCTTGGTGGGGTTGCACAGTTTCTGTCCTTTCTTGTTTTAATAGCCTTCTTTTTCTAGCCATTTCAAGTGTCTTGGGGGATATTGTCCATTCAAAAATAGATGGCACTGCCATCTTTTTCAAACATTTCAAAATTCTGGGATTCCTGAAATACATATTTTATCATAGAATTAATATAAGCAGTTTTTTCTAGCAATGGTTAATTCAATTTAGAAATAGTGATGATATGAATGTAATTTTAAATTTATGCCAGGTCTAAAGTAATAGAAATCTAATGGCTGGCCTAGATTATAATGAATAATACAGTAATCAGATAATTAGGCCTACTTAATAAATTACCAGAAATTGCTCATATTATGCCTAATCTAAAAGTAACGACATATTATTAAATTTAAAATAATAGGGCTAGGGCCTATTAAATAGTAATATTTATTTGAGATTATAGTGTAGTGTGGTAATAGTAGTCAAGATAGAGATGTAAGACTACGATTAGTGATTAGACTAAGGGTAAATGCAACACTTAGTTCAAGGCCTTCGATTCTGGCATATATATAACAACTGACCTAGGCTCTATACTACCTAATGCAATATGACTACAAGTTAGGTGGTAAATTTACCTGTTGCAAAATTGAAAAATGACATCACTCTTAAAATCATCTTCTTTAAAATGTCTTTTACAGACAATCGACGTCTTTGATGGCTCCCACTTGCCATGATCAGGTTTCTCCCGTTTAATAGATGCGATCCATTTGGAACGAAGTTCTTTATTTTTGGGGAATAGGTGTCCACCTTTTCCCCTACACTTTGGTACAGAGCAATAATACTATTATTAATTATTAAATTATTAATATATGCTGGCATTTTTCAGTCTTATAACTTATACATTATACACTTTATTATATAATTAAAATGCGAGTACAATCACTTGAAAAGCTATCCAGTAAATAGTACACCGCATTATGAAGGCATTTTCAGATATTACGCAATTTATTTGATTTAAAATACACACACGATCTCTCAAACATACTACTATTTACTATTTAAATATCAGCATACATGTTTGTTTACAAACAGTTTAACCCAGATGTACGTGTCGCCATCTAGTGTCAGGGGTGGCTACTCTGCGTAGCAATATTGACCATTTCGGACTAGATCTCTAGATCAGGGGTCTCCAAACTACGGCCCGCGGGCCGAATGCGGCCCGCGATGTCCTCTCATCCGGCCCGCGGAGAAGATCTACGTCCAGGAAGAAAAATTGGGTTTGACAATTTGATGGTGCTGCCTCAACCTTACATGCAACGGATGGTGCAGGCCCTTGTACTTTTTAGTTGTGTAGTCCTGTATTATGGCGCCGCTGTCTAACTGTTTATGTCCCTGTTTACAGCTAGTTTGTATATATTTCGTTTATATTGTTGTCAATGTTTATATTAAGTGTCTTTTTTGTATAATTCTGTCGTATGTTTCGTGGCGTTTTGTTTGTTATCCGCGAGTTAGGGACTATTTGTTTATGTGTAGTGTGTGAAAGTCACTTCCGTGAGGGAAGGTAGAACACATTTGATGCGGAGAACGGAAGAAGGGAGGCTGCTTTAATTAATTGTTAAAAGTTTTTTTGTTTTTATTCTAGTTCTAGACTAAGGTTAGGTTATTAACCAGTCTGGGTTTAGCCGGACTTGGGTAAAATCTTAGTTAAGCGTCGTAAATTCGGCCAAAACAAGTAATGTGAGGGAGAGTGAATTAATAAATATGTCTTTAAATTTTAAATAATAAATATGAGTAGGCCTATATTTTCGTATATTTTAATAAAATATAGATAATTGAATAATAGATCACCATTGATTCATTGCCATTGATGGTTAAATCAATTTAAATACCCTGAAATTAGTTCTTATCAACCCTGTTCGAGATAGTAAATTTGCTATTAAATAGCTGTCATCTTAAGAAAAAGTTATTTAGAGTAGCATTCATTTCTATTCGTATGAAAACGTATTTAAATATGATGTCTTGTTGTATAGTCCGTCCTGCAGGGCCCTTTAAAAACTAAATTTCCTAACAAATAAGTTTATTAACTCTAGATGTTTTGTGAGATGCAACTTGTATCTAAAAGATCACGTTTTTTGTACTAATTATATAGTTTGAGTTTTTACTTTCTCGTATATACGAAGTATAGAGAAAGTATTGTAATCGTGCAAAAAAAAAATCGAGATTTTTACAAATCTCGACGTTTTACACCTCACGGATACGGAAAAACATAATTTTGCAATCTTGTCCGTATGTCTGTGTGTAAACACGATTACTTGAGTACCGTTACAGCTAGGTTGATGAAATTTCATATATAAGTATTTTTTTCAAAATCGTAGATCCGTATCAACTTTTGAGCGATTTCCGATAACCGGAAGTGGTACTTTTTCTACTTTGAATTTTTCAAAAGCCTATAACTTGAGTACTATTTCAGATAGATAAATGAAATTTCACATGTAAGTAAAAGATCTAATTCTCTACCTTCTGTTAAATGTTGAGTAATTTCCGTTGATCGGAAGTAGTAATTTACGCTACTTCCGATTTCTCAAAAAACTAATGTAAATTTTTAAAGTACTAATAATATTGCCCACCATTATGCACTTTTTTATTTGGCGTTCACTTGGTGTGCAATTTTTTTGTCTACGAGATTTTATTCTATTTTTAAAACTTTAAGTATTTAAAATGGATTAAAAATCATGTCTATAGCCCGAGTTCCCATCCCCTGTTATTTTATATAAGAATATTCGAGAAAGTTTACGGGAGATCACTCCCGGTTTATTTCTTATTGTTTGAATGTTCACTATTTTCATTTCAGTTTGTTCTTTTCATTACTTAGTGTATCAATCGTAACTTATGACAGTTTCTTTTTTTTACTTCTCTTTACCTTAATTAAACCCCAACCTCCGTCATATTTTTGTTGTCAATGTCACAAAAAGTCATGATGTAAAAAAAATACGTTTCTCTCTGCCTTATCTAAGATATCTAGCCATAATTTTGACAACAATAAATGTTTGTCCTAATTTATATATACAGAGAGACAAATTGTATTATCCACCAGCTCCCTTGGTAAAACATCATTTAAAACAATCAGCCACTCCCAGTGGCGTAGGCAGGGGGGGGGGTAGGGGGGGTCATAACCCCCCCCCCCCATAGACCCCTCGGTATATAGAAAAAAGTATGAGGGGGGTGTGCAAATCGAAAGTTTGAGGGGTGGGGTGCAAATCGAAAGTTTGAGGGGGGGGGGTGCAAATCGAAAGTTTGAGGAGGGGGGGTGTGCAAATCGAAAGTTTGAGGGGGGGGGGGTGCAAATCGAAAGTTTGTCCCCGGGTAAAAATTGGAACCCCCCCCCCCTTGAGACGATCCTGGCTACGCCACTGGCCACTCCACCCCTTCAGTGCGTGTTGTCATTATGGTCGATCGCAAGTCTCCACCTGTCAGACACATTTTGGTTATCCTTTGTAGTCAAAATGTCAATATCAAGTACCCAAGTGAGTGATATGGGGTTGTCCATAAATGATGTCACATATGATTTGCTAGGGAGTGAGTGAAGATTTTTGACGTCAACTCAGGCGGCTCCGCAATTTATGACGTGTCGGTCTCATGAAATGAGGTGATCGGGGAAAAATATCTAGGTCATTGATGGAGAACCTCTATAATGCTTTGTTCAATCAAAATAACGATAAATAAGCATTAGAAGGCCTATACGTGTACCTTGCTCAAAACAAATCATCATAAATGTTGCAAGCCTGCTAGTTTGAGACGTTTGGCAAAACGGCCTCAACACATTATCCCCGTCAAAAAGGCTTGCCACCAAGTGCCTGCCGACGAATAAACCGCGTCTAATGCGGGGAGTTAGGAATACGGCCATTAGCATGGGGCCGCGTTAGAGCACCAGTAGGCCAACGCGCTTTGTAAGATGACGTGAATACTTTAATTCAATTTCGCGAAACTGCAAAAATTTAGTAATGTTCCATCCTTTGAGCAAGTTTTTTTTTTCTTGGACTTAAATTGAAATATGTTGACTCAGTCTGGCTCTTAATTTTCGAATATCACTTTTACTGTATCAAGATTCAGAACTATAATTTACTTTAAAGAAGTGTCATCTTATCGTTTATTGTGATTTTTATAAAGCGCAGATCATCTTCAAAATCGGACGGCCATCCTATTGTCACCAAGCTTCTTTTGGAGCTTAATATGGGTAGTCTAGTTCTATACGGTCGGAGTTTAATACATTTTTAAAGGGCCGAAAGTCTCAGAACAGCAAGCTTGCAGAAATAACCACGTACATTTAAATGGCGGAGTGATGGATGGGTGGTGGGCTGTTTAATTGAACAACAACAACAGTAATCAAATTAAACGTCGCATAAGTGTCAAAACGGCAGTGCTTATTTCCATAAAATTAGCCTAACGGCTGGCGGTACCGGTACATGACGTCACGCGCGAGCGTTAACTCGGTGACGATGTGCTAAGTGGGGGAATGAAAAGGTGGGGTTCAAGAAATGCGACTTAGCATGCTTTTTACATTTCTTGGCCCTTCTTAATAGTTCTATCGCCCCCACTGAGGAAATGGATCGCCAATGAATAACGCGTCATACTTCTACAGCTGGTCTTTCTCCCACAACCATCACGTTTTTAGAAGAAAAAAAAACAGAAGAAGAAAAAAACCTGACTCGTCTAAAAATAACATCGCTGAGTTCTACTCAACCTCTCCCCACCAAAAATCACAATTTCTATCTGAAACAATATGTTCATAAGTTGTGTTCTGTAATAATGTACGCTGTCATTACTATCTTAAGAGCGACGTCATTTATGGGCGATCTAATATTGATTTGATTACTGCAAATAAAGTGTTCAAAAGTTCGACCTCCCAACAATTGTTGTGGTCTTGGATGCACACTATTAAGTCTGAATAGGTCTATTAGACAACTATATTGAAAAAAAGAAACATTAATATATTAAAAAATATTAAAAAAAACAAAACAACCATTTTAAACATTTTAAACCACAAAATCAACACAACAGACATCCGAATAGACAATTTTCAAGGGAAACTACTCGATTATTGTTTTTGAAACATGGCCGCTGCTTGTATTTACTCATTGTTGTCTGGGTAGTTTAAAGTTTATTCCAGGATATTTTTGACTGGTTTGGTCATGTATTGTGATTTGTTATTCAATTATCTGTTTAATTATGTAAAATATGTCATAAATATGGCCAAATGAAAGAAATATTCATTAGTTACCTTCATCGCACATTACTAATACTAACTAGCTACGTTGGAATTTACGACGCTAAACTAAGATTTTACCTTGATCTATTATTCAATTATCTATAATATTTTATAAAATACTAGCCGTCCCGGCCAGGCCCTGCTCTGGCTTCTGTTTAAAACCTTTCTGTTAAAGACCATTACCTGTGTGTTTAGTAATCATCATAAATCCGGCATTTCCCATCCAAACCACAACCAACCAAAACCAAAACAACAAAACGCAAACATAACGCTAACACAATTACAAATACAAACGAAAACAAAAATTTAACAACAATACAAACACAAAGAAAAAACAAACAAAAAAGCAAACGAAAACAAACCAAATCCAAACGCAAAAACCAACCACAAAATCAAATACAAACCCAAAGAAAAAAACACAAACAAAAACGAAAAAAGAAAGAACAAAAACGAAACAAATCAAAACGCAACCACTAACGCAAACCCAACCTAAACACAAAGAAAACACTAACGCGAACATAAACGCAAAGTGCTCGCAGTCTAGCCCGGGGCGGAATCGCTTGTTTCAGCTTAATAAACGACTATAGTACCCCAACTTATTCATAGTCTTTTGCACTCACTTAAACGAACGCGCCCGTTTCAATTTAATGAACAATTATAATACCCCAAGCTTATCCGTAAAATACCTACAACATTTGCACTTGATCAATCCCCGCTAATTATGTAATTATTTTTTTCCCAACACCAAAACAAAGTAATAAAAAGTAAATTCTTTTCCACTAATGCAATGTTTTTTATAAAGGGAAGTAATTGCGTTTTCCTAATTTATCAAAGGGAAGTAAGTGCTAAAGGACTAAATAAAGACATAATTAGAATTTTTGTAAAAGATGATATTTTTTAAAAACTTGTGTTTAATGAACATGCCGACAATTATCACTTTCAGTTTGAAAAATGAAAATTATTTCCCAACACTTTCAATATTAATTTTTTAACTCATAAATTTAGACCATAAGGACTTTAATAACCTAACACTTAAATCCATAGAAGTATCCGCGACAAACATTTTTCACTTTACATATTACAAGTTACATACAGAATTGAGCTTTATATATTAGATATAAGAAAATAAACTCATATTTAAAGACATACACATAAATTCACTCTCTCCCACATTACTAGTTTTGGCCGAATTTACGACGCTAAGCTAAGATAGATTTTACCACTATGTCTATACTACTAAATTCTAGATCTAGTACTAGGCTAACTAAAGTTTACATATTTGTTAATTTGATGTATGTCCATAGTTATAACATTTGTTAACTTATGCAAATTAGAATACATAGATCTACGTGCTATTAGCCTATCGGAGTATTATTAATCAGCTATTTCTATTACTATAGAGGACACACATAGGCTAATATTTTATTTTTAATTATTAACAGTAGAGGCCTATTGAATATAGATCTAGAATCTAGTCAAAATAGTACATCACAGCAATATGTACCTCAACATTTTTGTTATTTCATTATTATTTAGAGTCTGCTATTATTATTATTACTATTATTAGGCTATTATTATTAGTTAATTGATGTTATAAAACACATTTTAGTGTAGATCTAGTTGGGCCTAGATTTTTGGCTACCTAATTTAAAGTTAGTAATTATGAACTAATAAATTACTTAATTATAGTATCACTTTACCAGTATGCCAATTAATATTTTAACTTAGTTGAAGTTAATACAGTGTGGTATATGCTTACAACTTACAATGTTAGTTTCAAATAATGATATGCAGGTCTAAATTTATTAGCCAAATAATTTTCAGTATTTTAAGTTTCAGATTGAGTAATAAGCCAGGACTATTGTACTATTTTATTTTTAGTTAACTGCCTGTCAAATAAATTGCTGTATGTTATTTACATTGAAAGTAAATAAAAATTTAGAATAAAATTGTTGGCAATAGGTGTTCAATCAAGGCAATTGGGAACATAATACAAATCAATAAATTAACATAAAAATCAATACATCATATTGATACTGCAACCCCAATCCCAACTCTTAATGTTTTAGTTCCTAAAGGAATATATTTAAAGGGCTGGCTAATCAGTCTATCCCACTAATGCTCTCAACTTCAACAGTGCTATTGATTCTCAGGCCTTGGTCATGTGACAGAGATTAAGGCTCAAGTAGCTAAACCTAATGCAACTGCAGGTTCCCTCAAGAGCTTAAATAATTTGGAGAAAAACAAAAAATAACAAGATTTAGTCAAATAAAAAGGTCTATTCATACTATGGATCAACAGGTCCATTCATTCATTGGATCAACAAGTGCAATCATACTATGGATCATCTCTTCTGGTTATTGTAACAGCCCAATACATTTTAGCTTTTTTTAGGGTGGGCCATTCCCAGACATGCCTACCGTCCCGACAAAAGCGGAACCGTTCCGCTTTTTTACCCTCAAAAGTAATTTGTTCCGTCGTTCCGACTTGGACTCGTTTTGTTCCGAATTCTTTTCGAAAATAATAAAAAAAAGTTATTTTAAAAAAAGGAAAAAGAAATTTATTAGCAAAAGTGCGAATATCCCTCCAGAAAACTAGAAAACGGAAGTGAACGGCGTTCCCTGTTTACTTCCGTTTCCTTGTTGAAAAATGCCGAAACGTTCAGTATCTGAGATCGGGGAATCCCCTTCAACCTCAAAAAAACGTGTTCAGTGCTTCAGAACTGAATATTCGGAAGAATTTCCTTTTATCAAAAAAGGAAAGAATTGCGAAACAAATGCTCATTGTGAGATTTGGAATTGTGAGTTTAAAATAAAATATGGAGGAAAGTACGACATTACCAAGCACAGTGCAAGTGCAAAACCCGTGGAGCTAGCTAAGCTAGTCAAAGAATCAAAAAAAGTTGAATTGTTTTTTACTTCGACTAAGCCTAAAAAATCAATCAATGATGTTATAAAAGCTGAAGTTATGCTAGTTGATCTAGTTACTGAAATGAATTTGCCTCTTGCTTCATTAGATACATTTTCTAAAGCTTTAAATTAATGTTCAAAGAAGATAAAGTTGCTAAACAATTTCAGTGTGGGAGATCGAAAGGGACAGCCATAGTTAAAGAAATAGCTGCAAAATCTACAATGTCTTTAGCTTTAAGGATGAAATCGAGTCCTTTCACCATTTCTACAGATGGTAGCAACGATTTTGGGAGCTGTAAATTATTTCAAATTGTAGTCAGGACTGTTATTGGGGGGGGGGGGGGGTTACTGGTTAATTTATTTTAAAAAATGTAAGCTGACGTTAAGCAGTATTTAAATGTATCCTAGAGACTAGTTATATAGGACTAGAAGCCTACTAATGTCATTAGAGTAATTTTTAATTAATTATTTTTATTTTTGACTTAGTAAAGTTGCGTCTGTGCGTGTGTTCCTCTTTTTGGCTTCAAATTCCTCTTTTTAGGCATAACTGTTCCTACTTTTGGCTGACAGGGGTAGGCATGTCTGCATTCCACTTATTTTGTCCTAGGATGCATTTAATCTGTGGTAGTTAAAGATTGTTTACTTATTTTGTCCTAGGATCCATTTTATCTGTGGTAGTTAAAGATTGTTTAGTTATTTTGTCTTAGGATCCATTTTATCTGTGGTAGTTAAAGATTGTTTGAACAGTGTTCCCACTGGGTGTGTTAGCTCCCCAATGTGGGGCAGGGTAACAGGGGCATTGGCTTTAAAATGTGAGAATCATAGTTTTCCAGTTCAAAATTTTATTTTTCAGTTTTTTTCACAATACAACCAAGGTTCTACTAAAAACAAATCAGCTGAATAAATTTGAAAATGGCCTTGAATGTTCCAGTCAGTTTTGAGATAGCAAACAGCCCAGACCAGGAGGAAGAAGATAACAAGACGTTCAAACAAACCAACATTCAGGATGGTGAAAGAAAAGAACCAAGGGCCTGGTCTAATCCAGAACAAGACTTTTTAAAACCAAAAAGAACAGTAAAAAAATATGGTGCCCAAAATAAAATGGCTGAAAATGTTAATTCATCAAAGTTGGTTAAAACTGAAGAGACTTCAAGTCCTCGGCCCACTAAAGTCTCAGTTTCTGTTGGGAAAAGTTTCTCTAGTAAAACTGAAGCCAGAGATTTTTTCCAAAATTATCTGTACCATCAGGTCAGTATGGATAATTTGTCCGAGGTTCAGCTACTGGATTCTCGTACAATTTTTGAAATGTTTTGTCCAAGCAAATCTGCTGCCTCCAGGCTTGTCAAGAAACTGAACAGGGTAAGACTAGAAGGAATCTCTGTGCGACCTTTGATAGCAGACACAGCTGTAGGCAAGAATCCCCCACTGAAGATTAAACACCTCAGGACTCAGGTTGATGCTACTGTTTGTGAAATTGATAGAAAGATGGTCTCTAGCATGGAGAAACATAAAGTAAAGATAAGATATTATGAAGAAGCACTTAAAAAACATGAAGAAAAGAATCAAATTAATGAAGAGTCTATTAAAACATTTGATTCACCTGCTTTTGTTGAGGAAAGTGAAGATGATGTTGACAACAGTGAAGAGCTGGCCCTAAGAGATAAATTAGTTGAGTTAACTAAACAGCTGAAAGTTTTTGAAGATGATTGTAATGAACTAAAAGAAAGAGTGAAACAGCTGAATCTACTGACAGCTTCAATGGCAGATTTGAACAATGTCCTTGAGACAGTGGGAGTTGAGTGTCAACGACTTAGCACAGCTTTGCCCATTTACGCCAGGAGAAAGGACATTGTAGAACATGTTAAGGCAAACCAAGTCTCTGTCATACTGGGTGAGACAGGCTCAGGAAAAAGTACCCAGATAGCCCAGTACCTGTACGAGGCTGGTCTAGCAGGAAGTGGTGCTATCATCTGTACACAGCCTCGTAAAGTGGCGGCCATAACTCTTGCTGAACGTGTGGCCAAGGAGATGGTGAAGAAAGTTGGGGGTCTTGTTGGCTACAAAACTGGGATTAAAAAAACGGTCTCACAAATGACCAAAATAATTTTCTCAACTGACCACTGTTTGCTAAATGAGTGCTTGAAAGATGCAGAGCTCACTGAGTACTCTTGCATCATTGTGGATGAAGCACATGAGCGCAGTATTTACACTGACCTTCTGCTGGGCATGATCAAAGCTTGTTTACCCAAAAGACCTGATTTGAAAGTGGTCATTACATCAGCCACTATAGAACCTGAACTTTTTATCAAGTACTTTCAATGTGGGCCAGAGTTGAGAGTTTCAGGCAGGACATTTCCAGTAGATGTCTTGTATGAGATGGACAACACAAATGAGTTTGAAGATTATGAAAAGAAAGCGGCTGCTAAAGCAGTACATGTCCACAAGAATGAAGGTCCTGGTGATATTCTTGTTTTTCTTACTTCTCCTGTTGAAATCATGAGATGCTGTGAAGAGTTAGTCAAACAGTTAGCAGCAGGTGCCACAGAAAGACAGCTAACAGACTTCAAATGTTTTCCACTTCATGGACAGCTTCCACCTGATGAACAAAAGAAAGTCTTTCAGCCTCTTCCAGATGGAGTAAGGAAAATAGTTTTTGCCACAAACTGTGCAGAAACCTCCATTACAATTGATGGCATTAAGTATGTTATAGACACAGGTGTGGCCAAAGAAATGAAATATGATCCCAAGAAAAACATCAATCTTCTGGGGACACACGTCATCAGCAAAAGCTCCGCTGACCAGAGGAAAGGCAGAGCTGGACGCACTGCCAGTGGCAAGTGCTACAGGCTCTACACTGAAGAGAGCTACCACTCCATGGCCACCATCAGTGATCCAGAAATTCTTCGAGTCCACCTGGGTCAAGCTGTCCTGAAACTTGCAGAACTTGGCATTGACTGTACCAAGTATGAGTTTGTTCAGCCCCCCAGCAAGGAGGCCATTGACTCAGCTTTGACCCTTCTGCACCAGCTTGGGGCATTGAACTCAAGTGGAATAACAGACATTGGGAGATGGATTTCAAAGTTACCCTTTGACCCCAGACAAGGCTACCTAATCTTTCAAGGAAACAAAGAAAACTTACTGTATGACTCTGTAGTTGTGGCAGCTCTGATAACCCATGGGACAAATCTGTTTTACAGGGGCCTAGCAGAGTCTGAACAACAGAAATCATCCCAGAAAAAAAATCTCTTCAGTTCTGAGTTTGGTGATATATTTACACACTTGCAAGTTTACAAACAGTGTGAAAAGCTTGATAAATCTGGACAGTCCAAATGGTGTAGAGAAAACAGCATTAATTATAAAATCTTTAACTTTGTCAAGCAATGTGTTGGTGAAGTGTCTTCTGTATTGAAAAAAGAACTTGATACTTCCATGGATTATGTTTTCAATGAAGATAAGGCAACTCTCAATGCTTTGAGAAAAATGATCTTTCTGTCTTACCTCCCTTCACTGAGTCATTATTTGGGTCATATCAAAGCTGGATATTTTGTACCTTTGGTAGAAAGACAAGTACATTTTCATCCATCCTCTAGTCTGGTGTCCCAAAATGCCCAACCAGAATGGGTAGTGTACACAGAGTTGACTAAAACTTCCAGAGATTTCATCAAAGGAATGACAGTGGTTGATGAAGACTGGGTCACCGAGGCCATTGCCAGCCAAAAAATTTCCCTCAACCTGCAGAGTGTCAGGGAGAGGAGGATCAAAGTTGTGCACAAAGAGGAAGTTGGAAGGTTTATATTTCAAAAGATTGTTGGTCCAAGGTACAGTAATCTGCGCCAGTTGGAAAATGAGTTGCTTGAAGAAGGAATGGCCAACATTGTTGTAGAAGCTGACAGAGAACTGGGGACCATTGAGATCTACTCTACGTCTACAATGAGTAAGGAGGCCCTTAAAAAAATAATGAAATCAAAATATGATCTAAGAAAAGTTTTGACATTGGAGGAAGAGGAGTTACCACTTTTGTGTGCAGATCACGGAAAACCTGAATGTGGATTTCGAGTCGTCCTTGGCCAAGGAGGAAAAGTCAATCTATTGCTCATGCCTGACCAAAACACTGAAGTCCTGGTCACAAACTGTACTCACAACACCACAGAGGAAATGATCAGGGCCAAGTTTGAATGTTTTGGAGCAATAAAAGAAATAATATCCTTCAGAAAATCGGAGCCCTGGGGTTTTGTTAGATACAGCTCACCAGCTGAAGCAGAGAGAGCTGTTGAAGGTACACAGAAGGATGAGACACATGTTGGTAAACTAAAAACTCAACAGAAGAAAAAGAGAAATTATTCTGCTAAACTTTCCTGGTACAGAAGACCAATTAAACCACCAGGGACAGCCTTTATAGTGTGTCCAGCGGTGGACACAGCAGGATTAGTTGGACGCTACTTATCTCTGCCTACTGGGATGGTTAAAATTCAAAGGTCCAAAAATGAGAATGAATTAATGTGCTTTAAAACAGGGTCAGCAAGTGAAACTGAGATCAAAAATGCATTTTTACATTTACTGGATAATAGGGAATACTTAGAAAAACAAATACGTGTAAGCCTAGTCCGCAATAAAGTCAATGCTCCAACCGACACTGAAATGTCCTGCTACAAACAACAGTTGGTTAAAGAATTTGAAAAATACACTCCTCGAAATAAATTTGAACTGGATTTGAGACCACCAAAAGAGAACCATGTTGATCATATTGGTTTCATTCAATTTGATGATCCAGTAGCTGGATTGGCTGCTTGTGAATCTGTAAGAGGGTGCATGATTTTTGGCAGCCCTATTCAAATCCACCTGAACCTCAGGACCACTTTTTATGTACCCCAGTTCATCATGAAAGTCTCAGAACATCAGCTGGATGAAATTTTTGAAGGTTTGCAGAAGAACAACCAGATTGTGGTGTCCAAACGAATCATAAAAAACAAGAACTTTATCATTGAAGTATCATCAGAGAAAGCTCAGGAGATAGCTGAAGCTAGAGATTTGATTCAGAAGGTGCTGCAAGGGGAGATCATCCAGTGTGGTGAGGATAATCTAATAAAAAAACTTCTCAATCGTGAGGGGAAAGCATTTTTACGTGAAATAGAACAATCTTTATCAATTGTCATAGTCATCGATGAGCGTAGAGAAAAACTTCATCTTTACGGAATTCCAGAAAATATTAGCCAGTGCAAAATAGAGATCAATAAATATTTGGATAAAATCAATCAAGGATGCCATAAGACTGTCAGCTTAAAAGGCCCAGGGAAACCAGTAGGTCTAATGAAAGCTTTGATGGCAGAGTTCCAAAATCTCCGTGATGACCTTGTTGAAACGTTTTCTCTTAGTGATGTCATTATAAATTTCAAACTGCAAGAACTGTCACTTATTGGGGATAGAGAGTCTGTAGACAAGGCGTTGGCGAGAATAGCTGAGGTGGAAGCTTCCCTGGCTAGAAATCCTGGCATTGATGGTGATAAAGGTTTACCAGACTGCGGCATATGCCTGAGTCCAGTAGACACAGCAGAAGATCTGTACAGGCTTGAGGGCTGTGGGCATGGCTACTGCCTGGGCTGTCTCAGGCTCCAGCTTGACGATGCTGTGGGGGAAAACAAATTCCCAGTAAAATGTGAACGTCAGACATGTGGTCAGCCTTTGGTCTGGAGAGATTTCCAGTTTATGGTCAAGAGAAAGTGGGTAAACAAAGCAAAACTGCTGCAAAGGTCTCTGAACGCATTGGTTTCTCTGAATCCCAGCAAGTACAAATTCTGCTTGACCCCCAACTGTCCTATCGTGTATGAGGTGACTGCCTGTGAAGAGGCCAATGAGTTTACCTGCCCATCATGCTCTGTCAGCCTGTGCACCTCCTGCCACACAGTGTACCATGCAGGTCTCACCTGTAGAATGGCTGCAACCACAAAGGAAGCAGATTTAAATATAGATCAATGGATACGAGCTGACCCCAACAACAGAAAGCACTGTCCCAAATGTACAACTGTGATAGAAAAAAATGGAGGATGCAATAAGATGCATTGCAGTGGGTGTAAAATCTACTTCTGTTGGATTTGTTTGGCAGATTTCCAATCAGATTTCCAATCAGAGCAAGAATGTTATGCTCATCTTGTTAAAATGCATGGTGGTTTCTACGATTAATTAGATTTAGCTCCGGTTTTTAAATGCCTTTACTTTATTCACCTTTGGATTTTTCTATTGGCAATGCTTCCATGCTTTAAATAATTATTTTAATTGATTTATATGCAATGTTTGTTTTAAGCTTTACACTTTCAAATTAAAATTATCAGCAATGGGTTGGTGTAAGCAGTAAAAGACAAGAACTTCCTTTACAATAAAGAGAAACAATATGCAGCATTTAAAAAAGACTGAGAAGATAATAACAAAAATTTGGCTGAAATGTTTGTGTGGCTCAAACTAAGTAATGTTCACATTTTGTTTTATGTATCACCTAATTTGCTAATAAAATGTAATCCATACTGTAACCTGTATAATCCAAGTCCTTTAAATGAAGAGGATCACAAGAAAAATACATTATAATAAGTATAGACAATCATAAAATTAGCTTTTTGTAATGTTCACATTTTGTTTTATGTATCACCTAATTTGCTAATAAAATGTAATCCATACTGTAACCTGTATAATCCCAGTCCTTTAAATGAAGAGGATCACAAGAAAAATACATTATAATAAGTATAGACAATCATAAAATTAGCTTTTTGTAAAAAAGTTTTCCTTCATAGGTAGTATGCCTGGGAACAGGGCATTTCCCCCCTGTCAATTACCCCCCGGATATTCCCCCCTTCGACATTACCCCCCAGAGTAATAACCCCCCCTGTCAATTACCCCCCGCCCAGTAGGACATTACGCCCCCCCCCGGACAGGGTTAGGGTTAGGGTTAGGGTTAGAGCTGTGTTAGGGTTAGGGTTGTGTCTAGCTTTGGTTTTGTGTGAAGTTTTAGGCTAAGGTGGATGCTTAGGTTTTGGTCTTTTTCTTACGGTTTGGATTAAAGTAGTATATAGGTATGAAATTCTAGTTAGAGTTAGGATTTTAACTTGAGGGGGGGGGGGGGTAATTCCCCGGGGGGGGGGGGGGTAAGTGACAGGGGGATAATTGCTCCGGCGGGTAAATACGGGGGGGGGGGGGAAATATCCAGGGGGGTAATGTCCTGTAGCCAGTATGGCTAAATCAACCTTATATATATATATATATATATATATATATATATATATATATATATATATATATATATATATGTATATATATATATATATATATATATATATATATATATATATATATATATATATATATATACATACACTAAGCAGTTTAAACAGAATGTGCCATTATTGTAACTTATATTTGAACTAATGTATTAGGCCTAATATATTTTAGATAATAAATTAAAACTTGTTTGAAAGGACTGAATTATGTTATAGACTTCAATGCAAAATTTGTTTTACTAATCTCATAAATAGTTAACTAATTATTATAACTTTAGTATTAAAAAATGCTAACTTATTTTGTTATTATATATAGTATGACCACAAATGAATATTGTCAATATTTTGACTTTACCAAAAATTGCTCCTCATTACATTATTATGGGTTTAAAAAGGTTCAAAATAATGCTTGTAAAAAACATTAACTAGATAATATTTTGCGCCTACCTAATCAACAAGGATTAAAAGAATTTTAAAGTTGGTTCTTTCAAAAGCATTTGTCATTGATAAACATTCATCAATTTCGCCTCCAAACAAAGTTTTAAAAATAATTAGCATATAATTTCACTTTTTTTTAAACTTTATTTTGCTGTTTTAAAAAAAAAATCTGTTTTCACAAACGGTTTTGTAGGCCATTATTTGTATCATTATTTGTTTCTTCAATAGAGTGTAATCCATATTAATTTATTTGTAGTTGCTACTATAAAATTTAAAAGGTCTTTCTTTTTGCAATAGATAATTAAAGGATGCATATAACAATGCTTTGTTAATGAATTAAAATTATGAAATATAGCTGCTAGTTGATTTTTGAATACTTTTTAAAAATAATTTCATCTATTTATTTTCATATTTATGCTAGTGTAAACCAAAGTTGATGTTGTTATAATTTTCTGCCCATTGTCTCAGTCATCTGCTGCTCTGAGTAATTCTGCAACGAGCAGCCAAGTCCAATTTTTGTTGTCCTTCGTCCAGTGACGTCTTTGACTTCCCCTTCTACTTCCTTCTTGCACAGTGCCTTCATTTTTGTTTTAGATAGGCCATGGATACTTAGGATTAGACTAGTTCTACATTTTTTATCATCAATAGTTAACATTTGTTTTTAGGCCAATACTCACTACATAATTATCACACCAGTTTTATTTAAATATTTAAGCTATACTATCACGATATTTGACATTTGTTGGTCTAAAAATAGTTATTTTATAACACAAATACTCTAGCCTACAACTCTAATAATAGTAGTTATTTACACTAAAATATGATGGTCTGGTTAATCTAATGTATCAATTCTTCCATAGTGAAAAGTGTAGAATTGCAGCTGGGTTCATTTCACAGATTTAATTTCAATAAAGAAAAAAAAAACAGACTAATTATGACACTCTAACATTTATTGCAGGAACATCACAAAAAGATAAAAATACAACATGGTTTAAAAAACAAAACAAAAATTTAATAACAAGACCTTAATCACCGGGTAAATAATGTAAACACAAATACAACTAGCAGATAGCTTTAAACCCACACACTAATAAAACATTTGTAAATAGGAATCATTATATTTTTATATAATTTAAATAGCTTTAACTAATAAATCATTTGTAAATAGGAATAATTTTTTTTATATTATTTAAATACCTTTAACTAATAAATCATTTGTAAATAGGAATAATTATTTTAAATATTATTTAGAGAGCACACTAATAAAACATTTGTAAATAGGAATAATTATGTTAAATAGTTTATGCTAAATAGAGGAAAAACAATCACAAATCTTAAAAAGTTGCAAAATATAGTAACTGGTTAATTTAATAAAAACAAATTTTATGTAGCCTTATTTTCAGTTGACAAATTATTAAAATATCATATTGCCGGAGCATACAGAATTTGATATAATAACATCAGTCAACTTTTTTTTCAAGGTAAAAAGAGTTTAAAAGTAAACTAGCATAATGAAAAAATCTGTATCAGATTTTAAAATAAAAATCATCTCCACAGTAAGGGGAAGTAAGTAGTTACCACAGGGAGAGGGCTGAGTTATTTCAAAATAGAAATAAATAAACCAGAATACAATAAGCATTGCTACACAGCAATGGAAAAGCAAATAAAAATGGAAAGCTATGCCATTCTACCAAGTCAAATGTCTTTTAAGTGAAGCAAAATGTACTGAATGGTGTACTGAGCTAAGATCTAGGTAAGTCGTGTGAAAATGGTAGGTACTTCATAAAGAGGCACAGATTTTAGTGTAATTATATTGCAGGCCAATGGTAAAAACATGAAAGAGACAGTCTAGTCTGAGTCATCCAGAGAATGAAATAGTTCAACTTATGCATGTAGTCTGTTCTATATTTTTATATGCTTGCATGCATTTTGCAATTGAGACCAACATGGTAGATGGTGTGGCATGATGTGCAGACACTTAGAGAGCAAACTGGGCAATTGAATTCTGACCCCTCCTCTGTGCTAGTGACCTCATACACAACTGGACAATCAGGGGTCAAACAAAACGTGTATTTGTCTGAATGATTCAGCACAAAGTGGTCAATAGACTTGGTCAGACAGGAGCCATTCATTCTCAAAGAAAGCTTTCAAGTCCCTCCAGGCCAAAGGTGACTTGCAGCTTTCAACAGCACATGTAAGGGGGAAATCTCTGCCTTCAACACAGGCATTCATGCTTATAATCAAGCACATTACACAGTAGCAGTGTCCACAGCACTCAAGTCTGTACAGGTCAGATTTATCAGACACTGGACACTTGCACATGATGCAGTAGGGCATCCATGGACCTTCCTGTGGACCTTGAGCATACAGGTATGACACGGCTAGGTCACTAATGGTGGCTAGTGCTCTATCCACTGTACCACTCTCACCAAACAAAGTGATCTGTTGTTGTTTTAAGTTGGTATCAATATCTATCAGTTCAAGCTGATCAATGACTCCATCTGGTCATCTGGTACATAACTAAGGCTTTGGTTTTTTTAAAGGTAAACGACTAAGACTATCTGCACTATTCTCAGATCCAGGTTTGTATTTCAATTCATAATTGTATGCGGCTAGTGTGATAGCCCATCTTTGAATCCTTGGTGAGGCATGCTCAGGCAGGGGTTTGTTTTCCCCAAATAAACCCAGCAATGGCTTATGATCTGTAAAGATGGTGAACTCCCTACCAAACAGAAACTTGTGAAATTTCTTAATACCAAAAATGATGCCTAAGCCTTCCCTATCTAACTGAGAATAATTTTTCTCAGCCTGGTTCAAAGATCTACTGGCAAAAGCAATGGGTCTGTCACCATTTTCATCTATGTGGGATAAAACTGCTCCTACACCATCTGGTGAAGCATCACATGTTAAGATAAGTCTTTTCCCTGGGTCATAGTGAGTTAGCAAAGTGTCAGAAGACAAAGCTTCTTTTGCTGAATTTACCCCAGTGCCAAGTTGCATTTTTCTGCAGCAGCTTGTACAGTGCTGATAGTTTACCAGACAGATTCCCTATGAACTTCGCATAGTAATTTATCAAGCTCTTAGTTGTTGGGTATTTTCAGGTTTGGGTGATTCTTTAATGGCTTTTGTTTTCTCAGGTTGAGGTCTGAGACATTGTCTGCTCAAATTATAACCAAGAAAACTAATATCTGTCAGCATGAATTGACATTTATCTTTGTTTATCTTTAAACCCTTTTCACCAACTATTTTCAAGACTTTATCAAGTGTTTTAAGATTTTCAGTGTCATTCTTTCCAGTTATGTACACATTGTCAAAGTAAACACAAACATTTGGAATATCCTTAAAAATACTGTCCATGACAGCTTGGAAAATTCCAGGGCTGGATGATATACCAAAACATAGTCTTTCATATTGGTAGAGTCCTTTATGTGTGTTTATTGTCGTATAGACTTTTGAATCTGGATGCAGTTCTAGTTGAGTGTAAGCATGACCAAAGTCTAATTCAGTGAATTTGTCTCCTCCTGCTAAATTCAAAGAAATTTCCTCAATGTTAGGAATAGGGTACTTATTTAGCTCTATTTGCTTATTCAATGTAGCTTTATAGTCTCCACAAATTCTTACAGAACCATCCTTCTTTAACACTGGCATAATGAGCGTTGCCCTATCGGAATAGTCTACCTTCTTTATGATGCCATTAGATTCCAATCTACTTAGCTCATTTTCAATTTTATCCCTCATTGCATAAGGTGGAACTCTAGCTTTGCAGTATCTTGGATTTGTGTCTTTAATGCTTATCTTCACTGTCCTATCATTTAGTAATCCTGAACTACCAAAGACACCTTCATTTTCAGATACAACTTTATCTATTGAAGTAAAACTAGATTCTCTTGCTTTGTTCACTGAAAATATACTCCCCCAGTCTAACTTAAGATCAACTAACCAGTTCCTACCTAGTAATGGTGATCCATTTCCTTCAACCACAAGAAGAGGAAGTTTAACACTTTGACCATTATAGCTTACATGAACCATACACTCTCCTATCACCGGAACATTGTCACCTGTGTATGTTGTTAGGCACTTGTGACATGGTTGTAGAGGCACTGATCCTCCTGTGACAGCGTCAAAGACCTTCTTTGTGATGACGGTTAGAGATGCTCCAGTGTCAAGTTGGAAGATGATGCTCTTACCGTTAATATAAACTGGAACTTTGATGGGAGCATGACTTGTTGATTTCACAGAGAACAGGTTGAACTCCGGCTGCGAATCAGTTTGAGCATTTTCACAGGTAGATTGGTTCATTGGTTGGGTTAGGTTGTCTTGGTGACAGTTAACATAGTGCTGCCTTTGGTTGCGGTACTGTCTTGACTTGCTAGATCTAGCAACAGACGAAGACTTTGCAAAGCAGGCCTTGGCAATGTGACCTTGCTTACTGCACTTATCACAAGTTGCTGACTTGAACTTGCATCGATGAGATGCATGGGGACCGTTGCATCGATGACATTTTTGATAATTATTACTAGATTTAGATCTAGGATTTGAACTTGCAGGTTGTTTAGCATAAGTTGAACTGCTCTGATGGGGTTGGTGTTTGTTGACTAACCTGCTGTCTACTGCATGGATCCCTGAGGGCGTTAGAGATCTGGCCGCCTCGGATGACTGCTGGAATGAAGTTGCAAGTTGTATTGCTTTTTCCAATGTTAGATCTGACTCGAGAAGCAACTGTCTTTGAACATCAGGGCTGTTTACACCTGTCACAAACTTTTCACATAATCTGTCAGACAGCGTGTCGTCCCCCCCCCCCCCCCCCCCCCCCGAATTCACAAAATTCACTTAGACGACGTAAAGCAGCAACATATTCTGATATTGATTCGTTTGGTTGACGAGTCCTACCGTCAAATCTGGCTCTACACAGGAACTTTGATGGTGCGGGCGCATGGTGGTCTTTTAGCAGTTTGCTCAGCTCGTTAAAGCTCTTGGTAGCTGGACTAGCTGGTGCGCATAAGTCCTTTAATAGCCTAAATTGTTGAGGCCCTATGGCTGTTAACAAAACAGCTCTCTTTTTGGCTTCTATCGTCACGTCGTTAGCTTCAAGGTAAAAGCTTAACCTATCTAGATAATCATGAATGGTTTCGTCATTTGAATTAAATTCTTTTATCTGGCCATACCGCGCCATTATCCTACAAATACTTAGCAAATATACTCTATCAAGCTTCTTCTTAAGTAAGCATGTGCTCTTTTTAGTGGATGATCCCATCCTCGTCGCCAATGAAGTGGATTGTTATCCTTTAATTCTAGATAGATAACACAACAGACGAGGAAGCCATTTTGTACCTTGTTTATTCTGTATCGGAAACGGAAACATAACATGCAAGGAACATCACTCAAACATTATGTGAGCGGCTGGAGTGTGTTTATCTGTTATTATAATTATTTGTAACTAAAAAGGTGAATGTCACTTTTTGTGTTCCTTTTAGGATTGTTGTGGTTTTTAGTTAAGTAGTCCGCTATTATGGCGCTGATATGATTTTTTATTTTAGAATGATTGATAGCCTGGTTATTGTGTCTTGCTTATATTTTGATGTTATTATTTATGCAAACTTTGTTTTGGAGTGTGGCTCCACTTTGCTTTATATCCTGAATGTTACTTATTATTGTATTAGGGACTATTTTCTTGTGCGTAGTATTGGTTTCTTTGTTCGTAGTATTGGTTTCTTTGTTCGTGAATGTGGTGTGTCGACAGGGAGGGACATTCGGCTGGAATGTCGAGGCCTGTGTGTTGAAGAGTTTCTGTGTCACGTTTATGTGGTGTATGGTAACGACGGTGGTCCGAGATTGGGTGTTTTGTTTCGTTGAGTTCTGTTTGTTTTGTATGTCTTGAGTGTTTTATTTTGTCTAGATCTAGATCTAGATCCTAGTTTTTTTATAATAACTTTTGGTTCCATATTTTGCTAAATAAATTTTATATTATCTGTTAAAGCTTTTGTCTTATTTTAGTATTTTATTTAGACTAAGGTTAGGTTATTAACCAGTCTGGGTTTATCCGGGCTTGCACTGACCGGACAGTAGTTAGTTAGATAAGCCTAGAAGGGTAGATATTAGGTATCCCCCCCTAGCAGGGCTTACAATTATAAGACTAATACTTTTTAGCTCTCGCCGCACGAGCAGAGACTGGCCGATACTATATCCATAAGGCCGATTCATTTACCCAGGTTTATGGTAACAATGAGCGAGACGTACAGAGCCGAAGTTCCAAAACATTGTTTTGAAATGAGTCAGAAAATTAACAATGTTTATATAGGGAAAATTCGGACCGGTCAGTTCTAAGGGTCTTCCGTAGTTTTCCGGAACATATCATAGTTTTTTTACCACCCCCCGTACTTCACCCATTGCTATGAATATCTTAACTCACACACGAACAAAGCACATTCAATATTACAAATTTGGATTTTTCTCAAGTTTTGACAAAAATAAACCATCAAAAACTAAAACAATACTTTATTAAGAAATAAGCCCAATGTTTTCCTATCGTTTATGTGTGTTTTGGTTGTGTTTATAATAAAATATGCTCAACTGGCAGAGGCGTAGCTAGGGGAGGGCGGGGAGGGCGGCCGCCCCGGGCGCCGACCCTAGGGGGGGGGGGGCGCCAAAAGGGGTAGAAAAAAATTATTAAAGTTCATTTTAAGCTGCAGTTTTGAATTATAAACAAAGTAAAGAAATTTAACGGCTGAGAGCCTTTGCATACTGATTTAACTGTTTTCTACCTTGATTGTGTAACTGTAAAACGTATATCCTTAAGAAATAGTGACCGGAAAAACCGCTTTCCAGCTTTCCTAGATGGGGGGGGGGGGCGCTTTTTCGAAGACTAAAATCGGAAAATTTCACACCGGATTAAGGAATAAATAACCGATATCACCCAGAAAAGAAACCCATTGAACTAAAGCGCATTTTAAGATTGTGTAACATTAAAACAAGAGTTAGTGACGTTTAAAATCCGCTCTACCATTTTTGTCCAAGATGGTTGGGGGGGGGGGGGCGCTTTTTACCAACAAAAACCGCAGGATTTGTACTGGATCGCTTACTAGATAACTCTTTTAACACTTAGAAAAGAAATCAATTGTGTAATGTACGATTTCACTACCCAGTTTTGATGAGTAATAACGCGACTAGTTCTTTAAACGATTCTTACGATTATCTCAACTTCATCGTAAGAGATCAGATACTTTTACTTGATTTGCATTACATCTTGCCTGAATCACTGTATTAAAGAGAAATCAATATCACGGATCCTTGAATCGCTATCCGATCAGTAAAATAGCTGACTGTCGGAGCGTGTGGTGGAAAGCGACACTCTTTGCCTAAATTTTAAGAGAGAAGAAAATTAGTATATTGTACTAATTATTACTTTGTTCAACTTAACTGATAATTCAAAATTGTAATATAGGCCTACAATTATCGAAATTGTTCTAAAAATACGACCAAAAGTATTTTAACTAACGCTTGCACCTTCTACAAAATACACTCTTAAGCAGTGGTTCTTAACTTTTGGAGTACCGAACCCCACCAGTTTCATAAGCGCAATCACCGAACCCTTCTTAATAGTTGTATCGTCCACACAGACAAAATCCGATCGTGAATCATAAAAAGACTGTGCTAAACGAATTAGCACCGCTACAATTGTAATTTTTTTCTGGCATTACTAATCATCATTTTTAAAGAATAATGCATCTTAACGGGAATTTTATTGGCGTCGAGTGAAGTTTTAGGGAACGACAATCAGCGTAATTTGTTAATTTTATTCTAGACTGTCGCACAGACATACACACACACGTATATATATATATATATATATATATATATATATATATATATATATATATATATATATATATATATATATATATGGGGGGCGCCAAACTGAAAGTTCGCCCCGGGCGCCGGGAGGGGTCGCTACGCCTCTGTCAACTGGATGTGAACGTGATTCGGCGAATGAAATACGCTAAAATGCAGTTTTACCGAAATTTCACTCGGCAGTTTCGATCTATGACAACAGGTAGACAAACAGGCAGACAAGAGGAAGCAAGTTAAATAAAAGCTTGTAATAATTAGAAGCGGAACAGCTATAAATAGAACGGACGGTCTCTTTCTAAGAAACTATGTGAATAAAATTTGTTCCTGCATGTTGGCACTGCATCAAACTAGGCAAGTAGCCTAAGATTGCTATACACATTTCAGAATTCTAATTAAATTTAACATGATCTTTACATACTATAAATTAAATGAGTTTGTGTTTACTTTTGTTTTCCATTAAGAATGAAACGAGAATTCCAAGAATTAAAATCTTTCAGATTATGATTTCAGTAATGTATGATACCGCGAAATCATAAGCTCTCGCTAAGCTGGTTTTTTTTAAACCCGTAATAACATTTATAAAACAGTCAGTCGGAATACTGAAATAGACGTCACAGTAAGCTTATTTATGTATAGTTTATTAAAATTTACTTATTTGTCAAATTAATGTAAGTCTTTAGTTATATTATATTTGTTTACATATTCAAATTAGAATATATACGCCTATTATTAATCGGCTATTTTCTATTACTTTAACTATAGGACAGACATACTATGTAATTTTTAATTATCAATTATATTACTAGTAGGATATAGTAAAAATAGTGTATCATGGCCATATGCAACTTAACATTTTGTTATTTCATTATTATTTAGTGCCTACTATTATTACTATCATTATTATTACACTGAGTTAGTAAGTAACATGATATCACGAGGCTGTAAAATGAAAATATAGTTAATTACAGTTAACCAGGTTGGCCTAATTAACTGCTGTTATAAAATACATTTTAGTCTAGTAAATATTTGGCAACCTAATTTAATAATTATGACTTAATAAATCACTTACTTATTGTATTACTTTATCATTATACCAATTAATATTTTAAGCTTATTTGAAGTTGATAGTGCGGTGTAGGCTACAGCTTAATATGTTAATTTCAAATATTGACACAGGTCTTACGTTTTTAGCCAAATAGTTTTCAGTATTTTATTTTTCAGTTTTAGTTATATGCCAGGCTTATTGTATTAGTTTATTTCTAGCTAACTGCCTGTAAAATGAATTGCTTTATCATTAAATATTTAAAGTAAATTTTTGAAGTAAAAATTTAGAATAGAATTTTTGGCAATAGGTGTTCAATCAAGGCAATAGGGAACATAATACAGATAAATAAATTAACATAAAAATCAATACATTATATTGCTAATGCTCTCAAAAGTGCTATTGAGTCTCAGGTATTGGTCATGTAACAGAGATTAAGGCTCAAGTAGCTAAACCTAATGCAACTGCAGGTCACCTCAAGAGCTTAAATAATTTGGAGAAAAAACACGAAAAATAGCGAGATTTAGATAAACAGGTAAATTCATACTATGGACGAAAACACCCACACCCACACACACACACACACATATATATATATATATATATATATATATATATATATATATATATATATATATATATATATATATATATATATATAAGTATGCTCGTTCCAGCTCTTCGCCGCGGTCTCAGAAGAAAGTCTGACGTAATATTTTATGCGGGTTTCATCGTTGCGTTACCAATCTTATTCTTTGGCGTGTGACCTTGTTTTCTAACACTGAGTTATATAAATGTAGACAATGCGCAATATTTCTTGGATCTTATTTGTAGGGGCACGGGTTTGCTCACACTAACGCCCAGCACGACCCAGTGCGTCCTGTATAAACCCTTGAGGACACGCCTGATTCGATTTAGTGAACGATAATAGTAACCCATCGTACTCACATTCTATCCTTTTTTTTAAACGAACATAGGCGCCATAGCGCTCTGGGGAAAGCCCAGATAGCCAAATCATACCCTTTGGGGTGCCGGCTTTATTCTATTTAAAGAACGAATATAAAACCACATCTTATCTTTAGTCTAACGCAAAGTTTAAAACGAACGTATGCGCCATAGCGCTCACGAGGAAACTCGCGGCGCTAATTTGCACCCTGCCGGGCTGTCGCTCCTGCGCAATTAGAACATTTTTTTGTGTGTGCAGAATACCCCTCAAGAGTATTCTCAACAATTTCCAAAAACTTCATGGCGATCAGATGAAAGGTATGGTAAAGCATAAAAGACAAACCCACAAGCATACTTTATATATATATATATATATATATATATATATATATATATATATATATATATATATATATATATATATATATATATATATATATATATATATATATATATATATATATGTATATGTATATATATATATATATATATACATATATATATATATATATATATATATATATATATATATATATATATATATATATGTTTGTATATATATATATGTTTGTATATATATATATATATATATATATATATATATATATATATATATATATATATCAGTGGCGGAACTAGAAAAAAATGGCCACCCCGCAAAAAAAATTTTTTAGGCCCCCCTTGTATATATATATATATATATATATATATATATATATATATATATATATATATATATATATATATATATATATATATATATATATATATATATATATATATATATACTAACACAAAGTACGAACACAGCATAGGTTACTCATTGCTGGCCTGTTCGGGTTTTGAAAAAAATAAATGGTTTTTTTTTTTCAAATAAAAGAAATTACTGCATAATATCATGTGTGTAAGTGCATTAGTGTGTTTTTAGAAAAACAGTTTTATTTTATTTGCTTTGGGTTCTTTTACCCACTATCTGGCCAAAAAGAATATAAAACGTGAAATCTTTGTAGAAGTAATGGTGTCTCGTGCTATGATTATTTTTTTTTTGTATTTATATTCTTAATTTTAAATACTTTTCCTTTTTATACGAGGTCATTCGTTAGTAAGTACTTTATGAAAAAATATTTAGTAAGAGAAGTAATTGCTTTTTAATTTGTTTAGTACAAATCTATTAAAAGGAGCTTATGAGCACCCCAATTTGACTATTTAAAAAGGGAAATAAGTCATGGAAGTGGTTTGAAGGTTTGCTTATATTTGTTAAGTTTAATTGTAGAAGAGAGAGGACTTGGCTTTCACAGTGGTTTAAAAAGAAAGGGAAAAAGAATATACAAGAGCGTGGGGATGGTGTCTATAGAATAAAGATAATCAAACCGCAGCTATGGTAATCGTTTTACAAAACAAACATCAAGTAAAAAGTTGCAAGAAAATTAGATTTTTTAAAACTACAATAAAACTTATTAGGGTCGGCCGTGGGCCCCTAAATGGCGTGCCCCCCCCCCCCCCCCCCGCATGCGGGGTCTGGCGGCACTGTAGTTCCGCCCCTGATATATATATATATATATATATATATATATATATATATATATATATATATATATATGTTTGTAAGTGTGTATGTCTTTTATGCATTACTCAGCCTTTGGGAAGTTGTTGAGAATACTCCTTGGGAGGTTTTTGCGAAAACGAAATTTAATTTCGAAGGAGCGTCGCCCCAGTAGGGTGCATTTTGGCACCTACATTTTTTTTTAAAACAGCACGATACAAAAGGGATACGATGGCATATGCCATTCAATGATTAAACCGAACCATGGGCCGTACACGGCGACCCTGCAGTAGTGTAACCGGTAGCTCCCCAAAACGCCCCGCGACGCCCCTGAAAAATGAGCCATCGCCGAACGGCGTTTACCTCAATATTACGGAGGGTGACTCGAGACTTTTATACAGCACGCAATGGGGCGTCTGGTTGGTAGCATGGACAAACAAGCACTATAACAGCTAAGATCTAAGAAATATATCGCCTGCTTTCTTTACATTTTAAAAACTCAGTTTTAGAAAACAAGGTCACGCGTTTAAAATTACACACTTGTGTAGATTTCCAATATTCATTTCCAGATTAATACTAAGAGAGTCGGCTGGTGAATAAAAATTATTTTATACCTAATAAAAATTGTATTATTTTCTTCTTTTTAGTGCATTTATAAAAGCTTGTAATTATAAATGTTTTTATGTATTTATTATTTTTATACTTTTTAGTATTAACGAGTTATACGCATGTTAAGACAATATAGTGTATCAACAAATATATGATACACAATTTGAAAAACAGTTTTGCTTTAATAATATGATTAGTTTTACATTGCGTATCACATTTACTGATGTTTTAGTTACAATCCAAAAATTGCCACAATTAGCTGAACACATATCCTAGAACACAAATCTTTAACACTTCTTTAACCGAAGACATTAATACTGTTCAGTCTGTGGTCAAGTTTATATCTAAAGTTTCAGTAAAGTATTATGGGATGGCGTAGTCTAGTGGTAAAGAACTAGACTGCTGACCCGACTAAAGACCATTGAGCGCCTATTGAACCTGATGACGCGCTTTTGTCGTAGAGCCCCCCCCCCCCCCCTCGCTCCACGCCCAAGACGGCCGTGATGACGCGTGTGGATAGAACTGCCTACTAATTCGGTCCAAATTTTAATTAATTCATAAAAAATTAATTAGAGATGCCTGGAAGAAACTCTGATTGAATGTCACGATGCATTGTCTTCATGTCTTGACCCACGTACCAACTACGAACCGTATCTTTCAGTTAGAAGTGCCTGCAATTTCAAACGAGCGTTTCGGTCTAGACAGACATACAGACTGACGAGGAAGTGAGTGTAATAATAGCTTGTAAAAAAATTCTTAACAAAACGTTTTAATAACAAGCTTTTATGTAATAATGCACTAAAAAGTAGAAAATAAATTATACACTACTATTTAAATAACTATAAAGAAAAGCGTAATTTTTCAGTACTTTACATGTTTTATTTACAATAGAGTTACATGACTAAAAACCATTGTCAAGTTTATAGCTAAAGTTTCAGTAAAGTATTATGGGATGGCGTAGTCTAGTGGTAAAGAACTAGACTGCTGACCCGACTAAAAATCATTGCGCCCTCCCTCGCTGCACGCCCAACACGGCCGTCATGACGCGTGTGGATAGAACTGCCTACTAATTCGGTCCAAATTTTAATTAATTTTATAAAAAAATAATTAGGCATCCAATCAAGTCAAATTTAATGTCATAATGCATTGTCTTCATGTCTTGACCCACGTACCAATGCGAACCGTGTCTGTCAGTTAGAAATGCCTGCAATTTCACACCGGCGTTTCGATCCAGACTGACAGACAGACTGACAACTAACGAGGAAGAGATTAAATAAAAGCTTGTAAAAACTACGCCGTTATCAACTCTCCACCTAAATTGTTTTCAGTTGATATATATTTTATTTCCTCAACTTTGTATACAATAGCAGTTTTCAAAATTATTAGTTTATTTCTTGTTAAATCATTTTTGTTTTTACATATAGGACAAGTCTTATTTAAGTTATTAATAATGTTTTGTTTCTATGTTAATTCTCTAAATTTTTTCTACCTTTCTCGCATACCACGAACAAAGCAATTAACTTTACAGTTTCACAAAATGAAAAAAATATATAACCTAGCACAACAGGATTTAATATTACAATTTAAAACATGCTTGCATCTATTATACTTGTAATTAAAGTGTCATACAAATATATATATATATATATATATATATATATATATATATATATATATATATATATATATATATATATATTTTTTTTTTTTTTTTTTTTTTTTTTACCAGATCAGAAGATGTACGCCAAGGATATGAAACCCTATGGCAAATTTATGTTCTCACTAGATCAACAGATGGATACCAAAGACGGGAGGCCCCTGGTCAAACCTAAACCCATAATTTCACCAGGTCAAAAGATGGATACCACAGATGGGAAGCCCTTGGTCAAACCTAAACCCATAATTTCACCAGGTCAAAAGATGGATACCACAGATGGGAGGCCCTTGGTCAAACCTAAACCCATAATTTCACCAGATCAAAAGATGGATACCATAGATGGGAGGCCCTTGGTCAAACCTAAACCCATAATTTCACCAGGTCAAAAGATGGATACCACAGATGGGAGGCCCTTGGTCAAACCTAAACCCATAATTTCACCAGATCAAAAGATGGATACCATAGATGGGAGGCCCCTGGTCAAACCTAAACCCATAATTTCACCAGATCAAAAGATGGATACCAAAGATGTGTGGCCCCAGGTCAAACAGATAGTTTCACTTTTTCAGAAAATGGACTCCAAAGATGTCAAGCCCTATGGCCAATCTATGGTTTCACCAGATCAGAAAATAGATACCAAAGATGGGAAGCCCCTGGTTAAACCTTTGATTTCACGAGATCAAAAGATGGATACCATAGATGGGAGGTCTCTTGTCAAACCTATGATCTCACAATATCAAATGATAGATCAAACTGATGTGAGGCCGCTGGTCAAACCGACAGTTTCACAAGATCAGAAGATTGACACTACAGATGTGAAGCCCTATGGCAAAATTATGCTTTCAACAGATCAGCCAGTTAGACTAATGAAGCCAAATGGAAACGTGTTGCCAAATAGAAATAATCAGCTAAGTAGAGATGATAAGACCTACCAGCAAGCAAACGTTCTGGTTAATGAAAGAAAAAAGTCAAAAGACTGTTTAAATCAAGGACCAGATTTTTTAAACTCAGAAGACTCGGCTGAAACCTGTGTAAACAAATATGAAGCTAACAAATCAAGAGCTGCAAATAATAGTTTGTCAACGTTTACTGAAAATCAAACGTTCATCCGTACACCAACACAATCAGCTCTTGATGATGCTCTAATGGAAATCGATATGAAGATGAGAGACACTATTGGGAAACACAAAGTAAAAGTGAGAACCTTAAGAGATTCTACTCTTAAAAAAACAAATATAAAAGTTTTTGTAGAGGAAAGGATAGATGATGTTGACAACAGTGAAGAGCTGGCCCTAAGAGATAAATTAGTTGAGTTAACTGAACAGCTGAAAGTCTTTGAAGACAATTGTAAGAATCTAAAGGAAATAGTGAAAGAGCTGAATCTACCGACAGCTTCAATGACAGATTTGAACAATGTCCTTGAGACAGTGGGAGTGGAGTGTCAACGACTGAGCACAGCTTTACCCATTTACGCCAGGAAAAAGGACATTGTAGAACATGTGAAGGCAAACCAAGTCTCTGTCATACTGGGTGAGACAGGCTCAGGAAAAAGTACCCAGATAGCCCAGTACCTGTACGAGGCTGGTCTAGCAGGAAGTGGTGCTATCATCTGTACACAGCCTCGTAAAGTGGCGGCCATAACTCTTGCTGAACGTGTGGCGAAGGAGATGGTGAAGAAAGTTGGGGGTCTTGTTGGCTACAAAACTGGAATTAAAAAAATGGTCTCACAAATGACCAAAATAATCTTCTCAACTGACCACTGTTTGCTAAATGAGTGCCTGAAAGATGCAGAGCTCACTGAGTACTCTTGCATCATTGTGGATGAAGCACATGAGCGCAGTATTTACACTGACCTTCTACTGGGCATGATCAAAGCTTGTTTACCCAAAAGACCTGATTTGAAAGTGGTCATTACATCAGCCACTATAGAACCTGAACTTTTTATCAGGTACTTTGAATGTGGGCCAGAGTTGAGAGTTTCAGGCAGGACATTTCCAGTAGATGTCTTGTATGAGATGGACAATTCAAATGAGTTTGAAGATTATGAAAAGAAAGCGGTTGCTAAAGCAGTACATGTCCACAAGAATGAAGGTCCTGGTGATATTCTTGTTTTTCTTACTTCCCCTGTTGAAATCATGAGATGCTGTGAAGAGTTAGTCAAACAGCTAACAGCAGGTGCCAAAGAAAGACAGCTAGCAGACTTCAAATGGTTTCCACTTCATGGACAACTTCAACCCGAAGAACAAAAGAAAGTCTTTGAGCCTCTTCCAGATGGAGTAAGGAAAATAGTTTTTGCCACAAATTGTGCAGAAACCTCCATTACAATTGATGGCATTAAGTATGTTATAGACACGGGTGTGGCCAAAGAAATGAAATATGATCCCAAGAAAAACATCAATCTTCTGGGGACACACGTCATCAGCAAAAGCTCCGCTGACCAGAGGAAAGGCAGAGCTGGACGTACTGTCAATGGCAAGTGCTACAGGCTCTACACTGAAGAGAGCTACCACTCCATGGCCACCATCAGTGATCCAGAAATTCTTCGAGTCCACCTGGGTCAAGCTGTCCTGAAACTTGCAGAACTTGGCATTGACTGTACCAAGTATGAGTTTGTTCAGCCCCCCAGCAAGGAGGCCATTGACTCAGCTTTGACCCTTCTGCACCAGCTTGGGGCATTGAACTCAAGTGGAATAACAGACATTGGGAGATGGATTTCAAAGTTACCCTTTGACCCCAGACAAGGCTACCTAATCTTTCAAGGAAACAAAGAAAACTTACTGTATGACTCTTTAGTTGTGGCAGCTCTGATAACCCATGGGACAAATCTGTTTTACAGGGGCCTATCAGAAACTGAACAACAGAAATCATCCCAGAAAAAAAATCTCTTCAGTTCTGAGTTTGGTGATATATTTACACACTTGCAAGTCTACAAACAGTGTGAAAAGATTGACAAATCCGGACAGTCCAAATGGTGTAGAGAAAACAGCATTAATTATAAAATCTTTAACTTTGTCAAGCAATGTGTTGGTGAAGTGTCTTCTGTATTGAAAAAAGAACTTGGTACTTCCATGGATTATGTTTTCAATGAAGATAAGGCAACTCTCAACGCTTTGAGAAAAATGATCTTTCTGTCTTACCTCCCTTCACTGAGTCATTATCTGGGTCATATCAAAGCTGGATATTTTGTACCTTTGGTAGAAAGACAAGTACATTTTCATCCATCCTCTAGTCTGGTGTCCCAAAATGCCCAACCAGAATGGGTAGTGTACACAGAGTTGACTAAAACTTCCAGAGATTTCATCAAAGGAATGACAGTGGTTGATGAAGACTGGGTCACTGAGGCCATTGCCAGCCAAAAAATTTCCCTCAACCTGCAGAGTGTCAGGGAGAGGAGGATCAAAGTTGTGCACAAAGAGGAAGTTGGAAGGTTTATATTTCAAAAGATTGTTGGTCCAAGGTACAGTAATCTGCGCCAGTTGGAAAATGAGTTGATTGAAGAAGGAATGGCCAACATTGTTGTAGAAGCTGACAGAGAACTGGGGACCATTGATATCTACTCTACATCTACAATGAGTAAGGAGGCCCTTAAAAAAATAATGATATCGAAATATGATCTAAGAAAAGTTTTGACATTGGAGGAAGAGGAGTTACCACTTTTGTGTGCAGATCACGGAAAACCTGAATGTGGATTTCGAGTCGTCCTTGGCCAAGGAGGAAAAGTCAATCTTCTGCTCATGCCTGACCAAAACACTGAAGTCCTGGTCACAAACTGTACTCACAACACCACAGAGGAAATGATCAGGGCCAAGTTTGAATGTTTTGGAGCAATAAAAGAAATAATATCCTTCAGAAAATCGGAGCCCTGGGGTTTTGTTAGATACAGCTCACCAGCTGAAGCAGAGAGAGCTGTTGAAGGTACACAGAAGGATGAGACACATGTTGGTAAACTAAAAACTCAACAGAAGAAAAAGAGAAATTATTCTGCTAAACTTTCCTGGTACAGAAGACCCATTAAACCACCAGGGACTGCCTTTATATCGTGTCCAGCGGTGGAGAAAGCAGGATTGGTTGGACGCTACTTATCTCTGCCTTCTGGGATGGTTGAAATTCAAATGTCCAAAAATGAGAATGATTTAATGTGCTTCGAAACAGGGTCAGCAAGTGAAACTGAGATCAAAAGTGCAGTTTTACATTTACTGGATAATAGGGAATACTTAGATAAACAAATACGTGTAAGCCTAGTCCGCAATAAAGTCAATGCTCCAACCGACACTGAAATGTCCTGCTACAAACAACAGTTGGTTAAAGAATTTGAAAAATACACTCCTCGAAATAAATTTGAACTGGATTTGAGACCACCAAAAGAGAACCATGTTGATCATATTGGTTTCATTCAATTTGATGATCCAGTAGCTGGATTGGCTGCTTGTGAATCTGTAAGAGGGTGCATGATTTTTGGCAGCCCTATTCAAATCCACATAAACCTCAGGACCACTTTTTATGTACCCCAGTTCATCATGAAAGTCTCAGAACATCAGCTGGATGAAATTTTTGAAGGTTTGCAGAAGAACAACCAGATTGTGGTGTCCAAACGAATCATAAAAAACAAGAACTTTATCATTGAAGTATCATCAGAGAAAGCTCAGGAGATAGCTGAAGCTAGAGATTTGATTCAGAAGGTGCTGCAAGGGGAGATCATCCAGTGTGGTGAGGATAATCTAATAAAAAAACTTCTCAATCGTGAGGGGAAAGCATTTTTACGTGAAATAGAACAATCTTTATCAATTGTCATAGTCATCGATGAACGTCGAGAAAAACTTCATCTTTACGGAATTCCAGAAAATATTAGCCAGTGCAAAATAGAGATCAATAAATATTTGGATAAAATCAATCAAGGATGCCATAAGACTGTCAGCTTAAAAGGCCCAGGGAAACCAGTAGGTCTAATGAAAGCTTTGATGGCAGAGTTCCAAAATCTCCGTGATGACCTTGTTGAAACGTTTTCTCTTAGTGATGTCATTATAAATTTCAAACTGCAAGAACTGTCACTTATTGGGGATAGAGAGTCTGTAGACAAGGCGTTGGCGAGAATAGCTGAGGTGGAAGCTTCCCTGGCTAGAAATCCTGGCATTGATGGTGATAAAGGTTTACCAGACTGCGGCATATGCCTGAGTCCAGTAGACACAGCAGAAGATCTGTACAGGCTTGAGGGCTGTGGGCATGGCTACTGCCTGGGCTGTCTCAGGCTCCAGCTTGACGATGCTGTGGGGGAAAACAAATTCCCAGTAAAATGTGAACGTCAGACATGTGGTCAGCCTTTGGTCTGGAGAGATTTCCAGTTTATGGTCAAGAGAAAGTGGGTAAACAAAGCAAAACTGCTGCAAAGGTCTCTGAACGCATTGGTTTCTCTGAATCCCAGCAAGTACAAATTCTGCTTGACCCCCAACTGTCCTATCGTGTATGAGGTGACTGCCTGTGAAGAGGCCAATGAGTTTACCTGCCCATCATGCTCTGTCAGCCTGTGCACCTCCTGCCACACAGTGTACCATGCAGGTCTCACCTGTAGAATGGCTGCAACCACAAAGGAAGCAGATTTAAATATAGATCAATGGATACTAGCTGACCCCAACAACAGAAAGCACTGTCCCAAATGTACAACTGTGATAGAAAAAAATGGAGGATGCAATATGATGCATTGCAGTGGGTGTAAAATCTACTTCTGTTGGATTTGTTTGGCAGATTTCCATTCAGATTTCCAATCAGAGCAAGAATGTTTTGCTCATCTTCTTAAAATGCATGGTGGTTTCTACGATTAATTAGATTTAGCTCCGGTTTTTAAATGCCTTTACTTTATTCACCTTTGGATTTTTCTATTGGCAATGCTTCCATGCTTTAAATAATTATTTTAATTGATTTATATGCAATGTTTGTTTTAAGCTTTACACTTTCAAATTAAAATTATCAGCAATGGGTTGGTGTAAGCAGTAAAAGACAAGAACTTCCTTTACAATAAAGAGAAACAATATGCAGCATTTAAAAAAGACTGAGAAGATAATAACAAAAATTTGGCTGAAATGTTTGTGTGGCTCAAACTAAGTAATGTTCACATTTTGTTTTATGTATCACCTAATTTGCTAATAAAATGTAATCCATACTGTAACCTGTATAATCCAAGTCCTTTAAATGAAGAGGATCACAAGAAAAATACATTATAATAAGTATAGACAATCATAAAATTAGCTTTTTGTAATGTTCACATTTTGTTTTATGTATCACCTAATTTGCTAATAAAATGTAATCCATACTGTAACCTGTATAATCCCAGTCCTTTAAATGAAGAGGATCACAAGAAAAATACATTATAATAAGTATAGACAATCATAAAATTAGCTTTTTGTAAAAAAGTTTTCCTTCATAGGTAGTATGCCTGGGAACAGGGCATTTCCCCCCTGTCAATTACCCCCCGGATATTTCCCCCCCCCCCCCCCCGACATTACCCCCCAGAGTAATAACCCCCCCTGTCAATTACCCCCCGCCCAGTAGGACATTACGCCCCCCCCCCCCCCGGACAGGGTTAGGGTTAGGGCTAGGTTTAGGGCTATGGTTAGGGTTAGAGCTGTGTTAGGGTTAGGGTTGTGTCTAGCTTTGGTTTTGTGTGAAGTTTTAGGCTAAGGTGGATGCTTAGGTTTTGGTCTTATTCTTACGGTTTGGATTAAAGTAGTATATAGGTATGAAATTCTAGTTAGAGTTAGGATTTTAACTTGAGGGGGGGGGGGTAATTCCCCGGGGGGGGGGGGGGGGGGGTAAGTGACAGGGGGATAATTGCTCCGGCGGGTAAATACGGGGGGGGGGGGAAATATCCAGGGGGTAATGTCCTGTAGCCAGTATGCCTAAATCAACCTTATATATATATATATATATATATATATATATATATATATATATATATATATATATATATATATACACTAAGCAGTTTAAACAGAATGTGCCATTATTGTAACTTATATTTGAACTAATGTATTAGGCCTAATATATTTTAGATAATAAATTAAAACTTGTTTGAAAGGACTGAATTATGTTATAGACTTCAATGCAAAATTTGTTTTACTAATCTCATAAATAGTTAACTAATTATTATAACTTTAGTATTAAAAAATGCTAACTTATTTTGTTATTATATATAGTATGACCACAAATGAATATTGTCAATATTTTGACTTTACCAAAAATTGCTCCTCATTACATTATTATGGGTTTAAAAAGGTTCAAAATAATGCTTGTAAAAAACATTAACTAGATAATATTTTGCGCCTACCTAATCAACAAGGATTAAAAGAATTTTAAAGTTGGTTCTTTCCAAAGCATTTGTCATTGATAAACATTCATCAATTTTGCCTCCAAACAAAGTTTTAAAAATAATTAGCATATAATTTCACTTTTTTTAAAACTTTATTTTGCTGTTTTAAAAAAAAAATCTGTTTTCACAAACGGTTTTGTAGGCCATTATTTGTATCATTATTTGTTTCTTCAATAGAGTGTAATCCATATTAATTTATTTGTAGTTGCTAATATAAAATTTAAAAGGTCTTTCTTTTTGCAATAGATAATTAAAGGATGCATATAACAATGCTTTGTTAATGAATTAAAATTATGAAATATAGCTGCTAGTTGTTTTTTGAATACTTTTTAAAAATAATTTCATCTATTTATTTTCATACTGAACATGGAAAAAATTTTCTATGCTGTGTTTATGTTATGGGTAGATCATAGATCACTTCTGTATGGATAATTTGTAAAAAAAATTATGGGATATTGCTTTTGTAGGTATGTTGCCATGCGGCAACATGGTGTGTATAAGGGTAAAAATTTCAGTAGTTGCCAAATGGCAACAAACTAATAAATTTTAGTATAAACAAAGACAAACAAGCTCTAGGGCAGAACAAACTAAAGATTTATTAAACATATCAATAATATATGTATTTCAACACATATTTTAATTTTCACATATTACTAAAACACATAAAAATGTATTTATTTATATATGAAACTCATAAGAAAGAGATAAACTTCCAAAACTTGTGTTGGATGCTTGGTATTGAAATCAATGATCACATTATTTAATTTCATTATAATCCTAACCCTTATTTTGGACCTAACACAATAAGTACCATTATTTATCTGTTTATGTAAATTTGGAAAGTATTATGAGTAACTTAGTAAAACATATCTTTATTTTTTATCACATGAGAATATTGTAGCTAAAATAAGTTGCTATAGCAGTTTTCCTAATGGGATTGACACAAGTGTGTATTTCTTGAACTTGCTAGTTGTAGTAAGTTTCTGGTAGCTAAGAGATTTATAAAAAAAAAAAAATTATACAAGCACATAAATTATCCAGTGATAGTTGTTCTTTTAGCAGCACTGCATGGTACAATACACTTTTTACCACCTTACATTATTGTGATTACTAAAATATCTACCAGATAATAACCATGTATTCTAGCTGCTGTAATATTTACAAATATTTACAACATATATACAATATTTTATGATGGCTAACAAAATGTTCCTAGCACTTTTAAAAAATTTTTTTTTACAAAACTGAATTTCAAAATTTAATTATTGACACAATTCCCATACAACTATCACTTTACAACAAGAGAGCCAATTATATTATTAGATTAGTATCTTTTATATCCTCATAATTGTCCACAACTTGTAGATTTTATTTGTTGGTCCTACAATGGTGTGGTATCAGACACTTTGTTTCTGATGTGGCATAATCTGTTTCTTCTGAGAGAACTTGTGCAGTGTTTCATATTTCTTCACCTGAATAACACAAATAAAAATATCAAGTTACCCACCATTTAACTGTAGGCTACTGGAATAAAACTTACTGTGTCAATAGTACACAAACATTTGTTTCCCTATAAGAAAAGGTTAAGATTTCTAACAATAATTAGTCAAACAAATATGCTCGTGTCGTCAATAACATTTCTGCGCTAAATAAACCCTAAGGTATAATTAATTATATTGGTAATTCAGGCTAGATATCCTGACATGCAGTGTGCACAATCAATAAATACATTATCAATAGATAGTGTCATTGATTACTATCTTGTAAACATTTTGTTATGATTACAGAGCTCCTAAATCTATTTGTAACTAACCGTCATGATTTTGAAATGTATCTGAAGTGTTTCCTGGTCATCTGTTTGGTGATGCTTCTAACTTTCTTTTCATGTTACTCTAATAAAATTCTCTAAAATCCATTTGTATCAGTAACTAGCAGCTTCTGAAAAAATAATTTAAAAATTAAAAACTAAATCATATAAGCTAGGATTATATTATAAATTTTATTAGCCGATAAAATATAATGTAAAGTTTATATAAGTAATACTACTACTATTCTAAATCAGTAATGTTCTTGACTAAATAATATATTGCATTTGCCAATAACAGTTTATACATATATATTTTATAGTGATATATGTGCTAAAATAGTTAGATCTATTTACTATTTAGTAGTTATACTAATCCTAGTAAATGGGCCTATTATTAGTAGGCGGATAAATTTAGTAAATAAATTTTCTTTCTGTGACATCCTCTCAACAAAAGAACTTAGGAAGTAATTGGTAATAGGAGCATTATTATCTTCTTTGAATATAACTAAATACATAGAAAAATCTTTGAAAAACAAAAAATAGATTTATTGTTGCCATTTGGCTACAGAGCCTGAAAGTAACCTCTGTTGCAATATGATGCCATATGTAGCGATGTCGGCATCGCCGCCATCTTGCTTTAAGAACGGCAACCGGGGAATTTCGCTATTGTAAAATTTCGTCGATTATCTTCCTTATTGAAATACATAGTGAGAAAATATAGGGATTTTAAAGTAATCGATTCAATTTCGTAGTCGGGCCAACTTTTCACCAATTTAATGAAATAATGTGTGATTTTAAACTGCTAACTGCATTACTTTTCTCTCTTCCTTCTCCAAGTTATAATATTGCGAAACGTGGTCTAATTTTGTGCGTGTTTCAACGACAACTTTTGATAGAAAGGTGAGTTTATCAAGCTATCTCTTTGTATTCTCAAAAATTACATTATGTATATTATAAGTTAATAATGATTTCATCTAATTTGAGGTACGTTTTCTAGTGGTATTTTGACCGAAAAAAGGGTGTTTGATTCACCACAATAACGCCATTTTATAATAAAAAAATATGGCGAGACCGGAAAGCCTATAGGGGCGTGGGGGCCGGCGTCGCCTTTATAAATGTTCACTTGTTCCTTAATCGTAGAGTTTATTGCAAATGAATGATTGCCTTTTAAAAATAAAAGATGTATAAATATGTTAAAGGCTGTTGAAGAAAGCCAGTGGGTTTTTTTTTTGCACATCAAGCTAATAACCAATAATAAATTACCACTCAAGAAAAGAAATTATTTTAAGCATATATTTCCTTATCCCTTACTTTATTATGCTACACACTTGCCTCTATTAAAACAATAAATTCTACTTTTACAGTAGTATTAATGTTGATTTCTTTTCCTCTAGATATATGATCAAGAGTATGGATGAGGAAATGAATACTTCAGCAGGTGGTAAATCTACAGGCTCTGGGAGCCCTGATAAGCATTCTGCCAAAGATTTACCAATTCTGATTAATCAATATTCTGACTTTCGGACAGCAGCTGGCATAAAGCAAGGCCATATAATTCATGTATGGTATGAAAATAAAAAACAAATTAAAAAGGCAGTGCAAGTTTTGGAAGATATAATACCAGCGTCAAGTAACAGTCATCAACTTTA